AGAGTAGTTCGAATCACTCTTTATTATCTATTATTGTCCATATGTAAACATATAAGCGAGTTCTTTATTATCTCAAGTTTACAATATTACATAAGTTGCATCAAGTTTTTGATTGTTTAATCATTACAAGGGAGGAGAGTATTTTCTCTTTATTTGACGTCTAGATTTTCTCATAAAACATATAATAAGCTATCTAATAAAAATAGTTTATAAAACAATATTAGATGAAAGTAAATAACTTTTTTATTGGATATAAAGTGGATAATCAAATTTATCTGTCTATTTTTATCAAAAGTCTAATAAATAATATTCATCGCAATAACATCAACCATAACGTGATTGTAAAATCTATATGATTAATTAATACTTATTTACTTTTAATAAATAATTATTCTTCAATAAGAGAAGAATCATAATGCTTTAAAAAAAAACAATTATGTAAAACTCTTACAAAACAAATAATAGCTAAAACCTTAATGAAATAATTAAAAAGCTGGTTGGAAGGCTAAAAAAATACCAGGAATAACTACTAACTAAAGATGGGTATCGGGAAATTTCAAACTCAAGAAGTTGGAACTGCAGCAAACTGGTCAGGTCATAATGGTAGAAGACTCATTTTCAACTGAAGTATCCAGTGAGTATGGTGGTTACAGGTTACGCTAGTCATGGATTAATTGGGTGAATTTATTTAGTTGTTGGCCAAAGTGTGCAGTTTTCAAGTTTTTTCTTTAAATTCTTGCAATTGTAAATGAAATGTCAAAGAATATGAAAGAAATAATAAGTAAAAATATAAAAAGAAAAAATGATAAAATGAAAGAAAAAATTGAAGAGATGAAGAAAAAATAAAGAACAACACCACATTAACCCGGTAAAAAAATAGCTGATAAAAATCAAGATTAATGAAAGTTACATGAATTGAACTAGTGTATTTTTTTTAATAGGCTAAATATTAATAGTCAAGTAGTTCAAATGTCAACAATTTCCAAAAATTAAATCTGCATCTTATATTTTTAACCATTTAAAACTAAAATTTTAATTTGTTTGATCTTATACTCGAACTGAAGCACCCATTAAATTTTTTTTACTTTAATTGTGAAGGATTGGATCAATTTGTTGATATCTGCCCAACCCTATTACTAACACCACTAAGCAATCCAGTGAGCAGCCAACATCAACCACAGAAGTGGGTCCTTTCATGAAAAAACCATATGGTTGACTAGTCAAAGGACATAGAAGTTAGGACAAGTAGGCATATGCTATCACCTTGACTTTGATTGAGCACCGAGTGATAAATAGACAACATCTCAAATGTGTAGTTAAACTTCTGCCACCACGTTTCTTTGCAATATCTATTTAAAAATTTCCACCAATCCCTGCCATTTGCTTCCAAAGGTGAACCACCCACACCAGTATCTTGCACTCACACCACAATTTCCAAGTTATCTGCGAAATCTGTTTAAGGCAAATAAGATAATGTTTATATAAAAAATAATAATTTTAAATAACCTATTTTTAGAAAGAATTTTATTTTTTATTATTCTTTTCATGTTTTATGAAATTCTAAATTTGTTCATCCAAACACAACAGAATTTTAAAAAAATGATATAATTTTTATAAAAAATAAATTAACCCAGTTTATAATTCCAGAGATACAATGTGTTTAAGCTAATTTTTTTAATGTATAAAAATTTAAACAACGATGGAAAGAAATAAATTAGATTTTTTTTTATATGTTTGTTGTATTATCATCCAATCTAAAAAAATGCTCAACTCTTTCACATAATTTAAATATTGTAAATTAACATGTTTATTTTTATTTTGATTAATTCTAAAGAATTTCAAAGAAGTATATGGCCAGTCCAATAAAGTTCAAAATTTAAAAGTTTTATATGAAATTATTGCCAAGAAGATAAGCTTTTGATCTCTTAAGGTCCAAAACCTCCACATTTAAGTCATGGTGCATTGTATGTATATTTTGAATGTTACATAACTAGCTAATATTATTATATGCTGTGGACATTATTTATCATCTTGTACTATTACTTTTAGGTGTGACAACTAGGTGAATTGATGGTCAATTTACCCCTCTTTAAACCTAAAATTTGACATCCCCAAAATTAACCATACTCCCATTTCTATTGGGTTAAAAAAAAAAAACTCAACCCAATCCTGTTGGGGTTCGGGTTTTCTTGCCTTACCATGTCTTTGCACGCTTGTAAGTAAAAAAATAATAAATTTTAAAAGATATTTGTTTATATTTTACTTTGTATACTTTTTAATAACATTTAAATTAAATATTATATAGAAATTATACAATATGGGACGAGTTTGGAAGGAAAGTGAATACCTGAACCTCCAAACCAAAATCCAAACTCAACTTTTTAAATAAAAAATAACAAACTTAAATTCAGTCAAAATAATTTTTTTTTCATCATCAAAAGAATTCCTTTCAAATTTCATTGTTCATCACTAATTACTTATAAAAATAGTGTATTGACTTAAATGTTAATTAATCACATTTGCATCGACTCTCTCATCCTCAACCACAAGTACATTAACAACTCAGCAGTCTCATCATCAAACTATGTTGGGGTCACTACCATTGGAGTAAGTAAATTTAAATAAATAATACAATTTTTCAAAAAAAAAAAACAGAGTGCATGAGTGGTGCATCCACTATAACACTGAGAAGGAAAGCATGTTTTTCTTTCTTTAGTATTTATTAGCTATATTAACTTTTCAAAATTTAGTTTATTTCACATACACTTTGACATTTTTGTGCATATAAAAATTACACAAACATTGTTGATTAATTTAGTTAAAATTAATATACTTTTCTTTCAAAAATCAATGAAAGAAATTTTCTTATAAACTAAATTAATATAAAAACTATTATGTAATGAAAAACTTAACATTAAATACAATTGAATAATTTCAGATAGATTATTCTACCAAAATTGATCTTGAAAGTTAAGGTTAAATATACTTAATAACGGTTAACAACTTAATATGTTTATAAAAGTCAAATCAAATTTCAATAACTGCTATTTGATCTGTTTATTCTGAAATTTCAAATTCCTGAAATTAGGAGTACACTGCCACCTGAGATGTCCAATACATACTCTCTTGTTGTTGGAACACAATTCAAGCATTCAAGACTCCATGCTAGCCCTGAACTTGGGCAACTGCATTTGATAGTTTTTATTTTTTAACATGATAATTGTTAATTAAATTAAAATTAAATATACTGACAATATAAATTTCTTTTATACTATCATTTAATTATAATTTTTGATAATTTCAAAATTATTATTTTTATAATAATTAATATAAAAATTATATTTATAGTATATTTTAATTAATTAATAAAATAAATTTTTTTACACTAACCATACACTAAATATTGTGAAAATTCATAAAATTTAATACGTTAATAATGATAAATATCAAATTTTATTATTTTATAAGTATGTACTTTTAAATTAATATTTAAACTTTTTAAATTTAAACATATTATCAATAGTGTATTTTTTACATTGTCATTTAATAATTAATTGTTAAATCAACAAGAATTATAATTTTTATAATAATTAATATAAAAATTATATTAACAATATATTTTAATTAATTTTTAGTATAATAATTTGTATATTAATGATATGCTAAAATTAGATTTATTAAAAACTATTAAATAAATATGAATTAATATCTTATTAAAAATAAAAAAAATTATCTACAAAATTTATTGAGGCATCTTTTATATAATTTTTAATTTTTAAATTATTAATAAATATTTTAAAGACACTGACTAATTTAATCTAGAATATTATTATTTAATAATTTGTGGGTATGAATAAATTCCCACATAGTAAGCGTGTGGACTCGAGATTCTTTCATCAAATTTGAGAACAATAATCACATTTCTACCCTTTGACATTTTAAGAATGTCAACCCCAAAAATCAAAACCAAGTTTGAGGTAATTACATTTAATAAGAGAGAGAAAAAGCACACTTGCACATAGAGATGCCAAATTGTCAATCTCTTTATATCTCCTCTTAAAAAAATAATAAATAATAGTTGCGTGATCTCATGTTACCCTATTTTTTAATTCTCATCATAATAGTTAAATAGTCTGTTACTAATTATCATTTTTTTTCCATATTACATCATTAACATTTGTAGATTCATGTTGAATTATTTTATACTAATGTTTGCTTTTGTTGAAGTACAAAATTTAGGTATACTTTTTTTAAAAATATATATATTATTTTTAATTAAAATTAATTTTGATAATTTAGAATAGTTAAATGTATGTAATTTATTGAGATAATAATTTAATTTTAATTAATAAATGTCATTAAAAATATTTAACTTTATAGTTAATTTTATTTATTATTAAATGTCATTTTAGAATTTTTTTTTTGTTACTATAAATTGAATTTTATTTAGCTCTAAAATTACGTTTGTAAAGCATGATAAAAACTGTGATTTCTGCATTGAATTAAAAAAATATTAAATTTGACTGTAACTTTTTAAAAAATTTAAAACAAATTATATTATTTTAAAATTATTTTTAAACAAATTTAAGTTTGTAAACGCTTCTCATCCATCCAAATATGCACTAAATTTATCCTTTTCCTTCTTCTTTCTTTCTTTTTTAATATTTATACCTAGAAACTTTTTTTGTTAAGAGAGATACTAATAACATATTTTTAATATATTTCTTATTATTAGTTAATTTTTAAAAATCTAAATTAGTTGCATAAAATGTATTAAAAATTTTATTAAAACTGTCCATGAGCCATGACATTTTACTTCTACTAAACATTTTTTTTATAACAAAAAAAAACCGATATTATATTTTAAAGTTCTAACACATTTTTTAACAAAATTGAGAAGAGATAAGCACCCATTTGTTTGTGAGTAGACTTTTGTTAAATGTCCACTTTTTCTCTCTCTATATATACTTGTCTTTTCCTACCAATTGCATCTTATCATTTCTCTCTCTTACCTTACCAAAAGTCAGCGCCTTCTTTTGTCCCTCTTTCAACAGAGCACGCATTGTCTCTATGATCATGGAAGATGATTGGGATCTCCACGCCGTGGTCAGAGGCTGCACCACCATTACCACCACCTCTTCCACCACCAACTCCTCCTCTGTTTCTTCCTCTGCCTTTGGCACTTGTAGTCTACCTTCAACTTCTTGTAGCTTCTTCTCTACTTTACCTTCTGAACAAAAGGGTCAAGTTTTGTCTCTCTCAAACCCGTCTGAGGCAAGAAGTTCCATAGAAGAACTTCATGAACTTTGCAAGCCTTTCTTCCTCAAGTCACAGCCTTTTCAAACCTCTTCTCCACTCTCTTCTTTTTCTTATTCATCTGCACCCAAATCTCCTCACACACAGCAAGAACAAAAGCAGCCAAATAAGGTCCCTCATCAAGATGGTTCAGCCACCGCCCCACGATCCAAAAGAAGGTAAATTCAGCTTCTGTTTTTTTATGTCTCAATTGGGTATTGGAAATTGGAGAAAAAATCTTGAATTTAATTAGGCTAGCTAAGTCTTAAAAATTAAAAAACTATGCCTTTGATGTATGATTTTATTGTAACATGCATTTTTTTAATGTCAATCACAGGAAGAATCAGCTTAAGAAAGTTTGTCAAGTGCCAGCTGAGAATCTGTCATCAGATATATGGGCATGGAGGAAATATGGTCAAAAACCCATCAAAGGGTCACCATATCCAAGGTTACCCTTCAAAGATTTTCACTTTACTTACCAAACAATTTCAAGCAGTTTTTTAAACAAATGGGTGATGCAGTTATGAACTTAAAAGGGTTCATTGTGTTTGAAACTATGTTCATTAATTTAATGTAATAATTATAACCAGCAACATTAAAATAAAAGTAAATTTATATTCATTCAAACGTGAATTTTAACATGTTACTAACCAAACTTTGATTCTTTGTTGTGTGATTCACAGGGGATATTATAGATGTAGTAGCTCAAAAGGATGCTTAGCTCGGAAACAAGTGGAGAGGAACAGATCAGACCCAACAATGTTCATAGTCACATACACGGGTGAACACAACCACCCTGCTCCAACTCATAGAAACTCCCTTGCTGGTTCCACACGCCAAAAGCCACAAACAAAACCTATTTCTCCTGCAGCCTCAGGGGTGGAAGAAGAGGTTGTAGCACAGTTGAGTGCAAAGTCAGAGAGCACAGAAGACATGGAAGATCTGATGATAGATGATGATGAGGAACAAAATGAATTTGTGCTATCAGATATGGTGGTAACAGATGATTTCTTTGAAGGGTTAGAAGAATTCACAGGGTCTATTGCAACTGATACCTTTACAGCTAGTAGTAGTAGTAGTAGTATTGTTCGGTGGCCACAGGCCAACAATGCTGCTACTGCCGCTGGTGGCAGCTGACTCATTGGTGGTGAATGCTTTTCATTACAGAGAATAGGAACCTTTGTTTTTTTTTTTTAAGGGAAATTGGTGAATTTTGGAGGAATCTAAACTAACAATATTTTGTGAAGGGGTAAGAAAAGTTCTTCCCCTAAGTATATAGTGATATGATATAGTGTTAGATTAGGCATTTGTAATATTTGTCAATCTTAGTGATTGTTAGCCATACTTCTGTTAATGTAAAATCAATTCGTTTCTATGTCCATGTAATTTGTTTAAGTTGGTTGAATTTTATAATTGGTTGTGATAAATTTGCTAGCACTTTTGCATTGACTTTTTCTGGTAATGATGAGTATTGTGTGACTATGATATAAAGGTCCATAATTGTTGGGTAGTTATTCCTATAGTGGTGTGCTCAACCACAAAACTTCTAACCCCCTTTTGACTCGGGGGCTAAGGGACAATGGGTGTTTGAGGAGAAATATAATCTAATCCTTTAACACTTTTTTAATATGTTATTATTAGATTCATGTATATCACCAAGATATTATTATTAGATTCATTGCATGAGAGGGAAGTTGGCTAAAAAGAGAGTGTAATTCACATCATTTAATAAATTTTACATTAGTTTTATTATAGAAATTTTAAAAGATTAAATTAAAATTTGTTATATTAAAAATGTATAAAAATTATTATTTTCATAAAAATAATGTCATTACCATCTTTTTCGTTACAAAGACCATTTCTTTTGACTTGAAAACTTATCTAAGTCGGATGCGGTGCCTCAAAATTAGACTTTTGTTTTATTTTGCGTCATGTTCACATTATATCCGATTGAGCACAACTTTATTCAATGTCAATATATGTATATAATTTCAACTATTAAGTTATATTATAAATGATTAAAACAAAAATATGAAAATTATATGATATTTTAAAAAAATTATGACATCAAAATTAATGTAATATTTTTTTACATATTATGATAGAATTTCAATTGATGTAATTTATTTTTAAATACACATGATAAAATAGTTTCATTTTGAATCTTAATTAATTTCATATACCTTTAGATAACATTTCAATTTATAAATTTATCTGACTATTAAGTCAATCTATTAGTTAGTTTAGTAATAAAGGAAGCTGGACTAGAAGAAAATAAACCTAGTCAGGGTACTAATCAGAATCAAAGTAAGATAAACCTATTTTAATCCGACCATAAGCACTGCTAGATTAAAGTAATTAAAAAGTTAAGTTCCAATTAAGCACATACATTTTAATTAATTAACTGGTATCTCTGTTTCGTTCAGTCAGAAGCAAAGTATTTCACGTCTGCCACATGTCTATTCCAAGAACAGCCACGTTAGCGTGAAGTTAACAAGTTAGGCACATCAATTACTCGACACTTTGTGCCATTTGCTTGGTTCTAAATAAAGAACGATGCATCTCATCTCTAGTGGAACGGGTCAATTTGCCAAAATTATCTGAGCAAGAGAAAAAAAAAACCCCAATAAAACGTTATATAAAGGACATCATAAAGAGTTTTAAATTCACATTAACCATAGAATTTGATTTGTTTCATACATAGATGTAGAAGAAAACAAAACAAGTTCATTTTGAATTTCTCAGCTCCTTTGTTAATGAGTCAATGCACAACTTGTAAACCAAGAGCATTGGCGGTGGAATATAGCAGATGTAGATTGTTTAATAAAAGACCTTAAAAACAAGGCAAATGTTAATATAATATTAATAGTCTCTCTTTTATTGTCAATTATAATTGTATTTAATAATCTTTTAAACATATGTTTCAGCACATTTTTTTATGATCAGTTAGTTTTAACAAAGAATTACTTAATGATATAAATATATATTTTTTAAATAAATCAATCACGAAAAATATGATAGAGTATACACTTTAAAAATGTATTGTTAATTTTTTTATTACACAATCATTAAATTTATTCAAAAACTAATTTTTTAGACGTATTCTTTATTAGGAAATTTCTTTTAATAATTCTCTTAAAAATGTTTCTCTCTTCACCCTTTTTTACATAACTAAAAATAATATGATATATACTTTTCTCACCTATGTTGCAGGAACTGACTTGGCATATATTTATACTAATTTAAATGTTTTTTTTTTAATTATCCTGCTTTCAATACTGTCACAATTATTCTATATCTTATCTTTTTTATAATATTGTACATTTATCTTAATATTTTTATTTCTACTTCTGACAAATTTTCCTTGGGTTCTCACTTCAATCTTTAGCTACTCATATTCATTCTAAACATTCTAGGCTTTTAAAAATGTTTTTTTTCAATACATATATTTTTCATAAAGAAGCTGGAATAAAGTATAAATATGAACAAAAAAAAAGAGTTATGCGTTGAAGACCAAAGAAAAGAAAAGAAAAGAAAAAATCAGTTAACTAGCCCTTTCAACTATCAAATAAAGGTATTATTAAACATCACATTTTATGTGCGAAACGAAGGAAACATGACTTCTAAGAAGTCCATTGATCTCTTTTCATTGTACGGGAAAGCAGAAATTACTTATAATTTTAATCAATTCAAAATATACATACATACATACATATATATTATATTTGTAATTTCAAAGTTTTTATCGCCATTTATTTTACCAGTTTAAAAATAAAATTTTAAAATTAAATTATGTTTTTTTTCAAATTATAAGGACTTTTTTTATAAACAAATGAATTATAAAAATCTATTTGAAAATTAATAAAACTAACTAACGAAGTAATTTAGCACAAATTGTGATCAGTGGGGAGTCACCATACTTGCCTTTACAATGGCAAATTCAAAATAAAAATTTGACGGATGAAAACTATAAAACTTACGACCTAAGAGTAAGTGAACTGTAATGGAGACCCCACGCTTTAAACTATGTTTTCAATTAGATCATTATTAATTATAAAGTGTTATAACTATGTTCTTGTACAGTAATACAAAAAACCTTTAAATGGTCTTAAACAACCATTTAGAGAGTTTACTAACCATTAAGCATCTGCTGAAATTTTTTTAAAAGTGATAAAGATTATTTGAAAATCTAATACATCTACAAGAACTTACAAAGTAATTAAACCTTGGCAAAAAAACGCATGTACACCACTTCAAGCTTTATTTCAGCTTTGGTGTTCTAAAAATGGGCTTAGAAGAAATACCAATCTTGAGTTTAGCTCAAGCATACTATAAACAAAGTGAACTTTGAGATGGTGCTGGATCAGAGAAAACTTGAAACCCTTCGACAAAACGTTTCAGTTTTTCTATTTCACCAATCGCAGAAAGCCATTCAGTAAGAACCTCCATGGTTATATAGTCAGGTTTGCAATCATCTTCAATCATTCTGTCCATAAGTTCAAATGCTTTGTGTAACATTTTCTTATCGCGTATCCCTTTGAGAATGGCATTATATGTTGTTGTAGCAGGCCGAACCCCCTTAATCTTCATCTTCTCCATCAAAGAAATAGCCCTTTCTACATCATCATTCTTGCACAAAGCATCTATTAAAATGTTGTATATCACAGTGTTGGGAGGGACATTGGATGTAGTACACATTTCCTCAAAAAACTTCATGCCTTCATCAACATTCTTGTTTAAACAATACGCATGTATCAGTGCCCCATATGTGACAACAGAAGGCTTAAGACCCTCTTCCATCATCTTTTTCAACATCTTACTGGCAGTTGCAAAATCTCCACTTTTGCCAAGGTAGGCAACCAAAGTGTTATAGGTGAAAGTATTAGGCTTAACTCCAGTTTCTTCCATTTCGTTAAGCATTTCATAAACTCTTTCCAGCTTCTTCTTCTTACAGAATCCACTGATGAGAACATTGCAGCATGTTATATCAAGACCAAACCCAGCCTGTTTCAACTTCGACACGACAACGCTAGCATCGTCCATCCTTCCAGCAATGCTTAAACCTGATATCAAACTATAGTAAACAACTGCATCAGGAGTGCATCCTGAACTCAGCATCTCTTCAAAATATTGCATAGCTTTATCAATATTGTTCCCACCACAGAAGGCAGATATTAGCGCAGTATACGTATTGACATTTCCTTTTAATCCCTTCCCTTGCATCTCGTTGAAAAACTCAACTGCACTATGGATCCTCCCATTTCTGCACATACCATCAACCAATGTATTGAGAGTGACCACAGTTGGTTGCACTCCTTCCTCATTCATCTCACGAAATAGTTCTTGTGCTATATCAATGTTCCCAGCTTTACCAAACCCATCAATCAAGCAATTATACGTAATCGCATTTGGCCTGATTTTATTCTTTGTTTTCATCTCTTCTAGCAAACTCAAACCATCTTCTTCCCTCCCAACTTTACAAAGTCCATCAATCAAAGTATTAAACAGCACCACATCAGGTTCAACACCGACGCAATTATTTCCTCCTTTTCCTCCTCTCAATTTACCAAACACCTTTAATGCTTCGTCAACTTTCCCAGCCTTGCACAAATGATTAACAATAATCCCAAAAGTTACCACACTGGGTTGTATCTTCCTTTCTTCCATCTCCACCAACAACTTGTTCATCCTCTTAGTGTCCCTTTCCCTTCCTAGCCCCGTTAACATAGCGTTGCAAGGCGAAGCGTCAACTGCACCACCCAATGTCATCACACAATGCAAAACATCCCACGCTAAACCTCTCTTCCGTTTCCCACACAGCTTAGTCACCAACTGAGTAAGCTTAACCGTTCCCGGAAAAACTCCATGTTCACCCAACTTGGTAACCAACCCCACAATCTCCTCATCCGCAACGCTTCTTCCGTGGCAATCCCTCGTCACCAACTCAGAAAAAACAACTTCACCCGTGAAATCATTGGGAGAAAACGCGGAACCCGGTTGAAGCATTTCGTCGAGCATGTTGAGTGCGTCAACGGCACGACCCGATTTCAGTAAAATCCTCAAGAACCCATTACAAAGTTTGGTGCTTTTGGAAGACGGGTGGAGCTCTTTGAAGAGAATAAGAGAGTCTTCCACCATTCGGGCATTTTCGAAGCATTGTAAAAGAAGTGAAGCAGATGTGGGAGTGAGAGGAATAGTGGGGTGGTGTGATTTTCGGTAACGGTGGAGGCTGAGAAGGTGGGTTTGGGAATTGGGGTGTCGTAAAGCGAGTTGGAGAGAGCCCTCGAAGACGGAAGAGAGAGAATGGTGGTTATGGGGTATGAGGTAGTTGAGAAAGTCGAGGGCTTTGGGAATGGTGGCTAAGCTAAGAGTGATTTGCTGGAAGTGGTGAGAGGAGAGGAGAGGGTTGTTGAAGAGAAGGGGATGAAGCTGATCGTTGTTCCATTGCTCCGTTGGAGGTTGGAGAAGTTTCACGGCTTGGGTCACGATTGACACAGCGTCGTGCTGTGAGTGTGAGGTGCCGCGGAAGAGTTTTGATAGCGCGGGCATTGTTGTATTCAGATTTCTAAGAGTTGAGTCTTCTCTCTATTGGCATTGGCATGCAGAATCAGAATAGCATGTTGAAGTGCAGAGTTAGACGGCTACTGGCTAACTTTAATGCTTCGATCGGAAGAGCCTTGAGAAATGATTAACATACTCAGTATATGAACATCCTTAAAATAATAGAGATTAAAATATGTTTATTTTTAAAACATGAATAATGTAAATAAACAAAAAATAGAGTATTATTTAAATGAATAAAAATTTAAAATAAAGAAGTTAAAAAATAAGATAAATTTTTATAATAAATTTAAAAAATAAATCTAACTTAAAAAATATAAGCTTTTTATTATATATCTTTTATCTTGATATAAAATTATTTATTATTTATTAGTTATAAAAACAATATTTTTAAAACAATAAAACAAAAGTAAATTTTATGGTACTCTTAAAAAATTATTATAGTATTGTACATAAAATATTTTAATTAATAATATTTAGATACGTGTTTAAATAATAAATTTATTTAATAATAAATTATTATATTTATTATATTTAAATAAATTAAAGAATATTTAAGTCCATATAATTAAAATTAAATAAATTAAATTTTTAAAAATAATAATAATAATATATTAATATTTAATTATTAAATTAATATATTATTTATAATTTTTTTATTTATAATAAATAGAAATTATTTAAATATGAATTATATTTTATTTAAAATTAAAAATTTATAAAAAAATAATAAAAATAAAATAAAAAATTTAATATAATAATAATAATAAAATCATGTAACAAATAATATAAATAATATAATTTTAAATAAATATATATAATAATCTTTTTTAACTTATTATTTGTCTCTTTTTTATTGATATAAATTTTTTAAGTAAGATACTGATAAAAAAATTTTATAGAGTATCACAATACACACTTAAATAAATTGTTGCAGTGAACAGGCAAGAAAATTGTTTAGCGTGGAATGTACTTAAATCATATAATTTTAATTCTGTATTTTACCCATACCAAACCAAGGAAATGTACCATTACACTCCTTACAATTTTAATCTTTTCTACTTCCTTAAAAATAAACACACCGTAAGATATCACAAAATGATATTTTAAGTTTCCTTGATTAGGTTTGACAATTTTGTTCGAATTAATTTTTATATCTTACACTTTAATATCTTGAATTTATATTGAATTTTGAATAATTTAAGTTAATTGATAAATATTTTTCATTAAAATTTATATTAAAAGTGCATTTAAAATTACAAAAGAGTGAAATTCTTGGGAGTACTATAAAAAAAAAAAAAGGAAAAATGAGAAGTCAAATTTAAGGGAAGAAATGAAGAAAATGTACACAGAAAAGTCATAGTTAATGCAAATTTTTCTCGGGAGATCTATTAAATGGAATTTAGGTTTTAGAGATATCTAATAAGTAAATCTAACTTACATGCTTAAATTTGTAGGTTAAAGTTTTTTTTAGCACAATATAAGTTTGATACAAATGATTGCCTTATTTTAAATAAATCAAAACTTGCTTCTAGTGTTTGGAAATGAATTTTCAATAATTGGGCTTTTTTTTAGAAAAGTTTCTTTTATGGAATGCTAGAAATGATTTAAGAATTAAAATTTGTTTGATGATTAGATTTCTTATATTAAAATTTTCACTGATCTAATTTATTTTTCTATTTCAGAAGATAAAAAGAATCACCAAAATTTTCCTTTTTGTTTCTTATCAAATTAGATTGTTTATTAGTAATGTAATCCCCCTTAAATTTATGCTGAACCTAATACATCAAGTTGGTTTGTTTCTAGTAATGACATGTTCTTTCTAAAAATCTGTTTATACTTTACTTATTGAGTTTGATCAAGTAGATAACTCTAACCCTGTTTTGTTTAATGCAACAAAGAATTTAAATGAGCCTCCTAGAATTATTATTAATTTTTTTTGGAAAGTGGCACATAAGAAGTTATTAACTACCAATGAGAGGAAAAAAAAAAGATTTTGTAGCTGTGATGCATGTTCTAAATGTGACATTACTATTAAGTCTATTATGTGTGTTCATTGGGACTGCTATCTGGCTTTAAATTTATGAAATCATTTTAATACACACCATAATTAGTGTCAATCTTTTAGTTTTGATCTTTCTCATTGAAATTGTTATAGCCTGTTTGTAAAAAATTACGATAGAATTAATAATTAGAATAGTTACTTTGCTATGATTATTTAGCTGTTACTGTTATGAAAACATAAAAATAATTTGATTTTTAATTAGAAAAGCTTTGACAAGAATGATATTCTATTTAAAATTCAGCACTATGTAGATTACATAAATTCTAATGGTCATTCAATTGTTTCTTTGCTGCACATTAACTGGAATACTCATTTGATCTTCAAGTTCAAACTCAACGTTGATGGTCCGACTTACGTTGTGGAGAAGTCAACCATTTTTGGAGGAGATGACCAAGGACAATTTTGAGTTGCTTTTGTTAAAAAAACTTGTGTTATGCTAAGCTCTTGTTGTGTAACTTGGGGCCTTTACTATGATCTTCACATTGTTAAAAAGCTTGGGGTAGAAGGGGTTTTGGTTGAATTTAATTCTAAATTAGTTGTAAATCTAATTCGTTCTAGTGTTCCTATTTATCCTAAGCTTTTTCTTTTAATTAAGGAAATAAGGACTTTAAAGCATTCAATTAGAATTGTTGGTTTATTTAGATTTCTCTCTTTAAAGAGGATGGTTATGGTGTAAGTTTCCTTAGGATGATTAGTTAGTTTTGTTTTGCTTTTTAGGGTTTTTATTTTTTACTCTGTTTGATAATAATAAAAAAAATTACAAAAGAGTACCTTTCAAAAAAAAAAAAAAAACTGAAAGTGTAACATTCTACTTTCTTATAGGATTTGGCTGTTTTAAACTTGCAATACTTTGTTTAAAGTATTATGTAAATAATTGAAGAATATTTAAAAGCTTTAATCTACCAATAAGTTGAATTGTTGGTGATTTAATTAGTTTTATTGTTTCTATCTTTATTGTGAAAATATATTGAATTTTTTTATAATATTACAATTTATTTTAAATAAACACTCTTATATTTATCGTAATAATATCAATAAATTAATGAAATTAAATAAAATTTTAAAATGATTATAAATTAACTAAAAATATCAAATCCAAACTTCATATATTTTTTTTAAAAAATAAGTCTAAGCATTAATTCAACTCATATAATTAAATAAGTAAAACTTGAATTATATTTTTCTTACAAAATTAAAATTTCAAGTGTTTGACTTTATCTTACTAACTGAAACACCAATTGTATCTACCAAATACCTATGAACTGTCGTCAAGAAAGATTAGGCTCACTAGAAAACTATCTCGGCATATTTACTAATGCTCAATTCAAACATAGACCATCACAAAATGATACAAGAAATAATAATATGCAAGAAGGTTTAGCTTATTAGTTTCAAGCATTTTTTGAGAGCCTTAGAACTTACAAGCATAAATCAAACACTAAAACCCCTTATTGAAAATCAAAAGATTCAAATGAAAGGTAGGTTGAGCAGATTCCTAATCTGATATCTGTAAAACTTCATAAGACAGTTACCTAAAATTTCTTGCCAAGGTCTGATCTCGAGAGCTCTTTGCAAAATATGACGATGTTCAAGTTAATGTTAAGTAACATATAGCAGTTATTTTAAATGGAATTACTATAATTGCAAGTGAAATCCTTCTATTTCTGACCAAATCAAATCAAAATAAACTTTATTTTTAAATTATGAGGCATATGAGAGCAATATATTCATCCAAAAAATGTTTTAGGAATGATTTTATTACATATAATGGTTTGATCTAAATGGTCTCTCACATTTTGAAGTGCTCCAAGCACAACTATCTAAATTTGATCTATATGGCCATGACGTGTAATTCTCTCGAAGATTTTGGTGCATCCATCTCCTGAACAGCTTCAGATGCTGCAGATGCAGCCTTGTCCAAACCTAACCTTTGCAACTCATTGAAGAAACCATCAGCTTCTGTTTCACTGATTTTGTAAGGGCTATGGTCAGCATCAGGAAATGAACCATTTATCACATCTTCTTTATACTTCAACAAGGCATTGTTGATGACATCTCCAACACGTGCATACTGCTTACAAAATTTTGGATTAACCTGCAAAAGATAGATCCACTCAACTTTAGCAATGAGTCCTACAACAACTAAAATAAGAACAAGGCTAATATTTGGTATAAATAAAATACCTTTGCATGATGGGGGTGTTGTAGCATACCAAGCAGATCATGGTAAACTAGCGCCTACATGAACATTGAAACTAAATTAGAAATCTTGACTTCCCCCCAACCCAAAAAAGATTTCTTTCTTCTCTACAAAAGAAGAAAAAGTGTAATCTAAACTTGTGAACTCAAATAATTTAATTTAATTATCTCAACATAACTTATTGATAATCAAATTACAGTTCATTTCCTAGATATAAATAATCAAGAGAATGGAAAATTAAAGTGCATTCTTAAAGAATGGAAAATTAGCTAAAAGGGGAACTAGGCCAACTAACCTGTCCACTGCAAAAGGGACCAGCTCCGACTCCAATTGTAGGAATTTGAAGTGCTGCTGTTGCTGCTGCCGCAACTGGCGCAGGGACACATTCTAGAACAACAGAAAAGCACCCTGCTTCTTGCAAAGCCAATGCTGTCTCCACAACCTACATATACTTGTTCCTTTTAGGATGAGAATGAAATTGTTGAAATGTCAAATAGATGCATGAAGCATGAGAGAGATAAACCTTGACAGCACTAGCAACATTCTTTCCTTGAGGTCTAAACCCCACTAAAGCACTAATTGCTTGGGGAGTAAGCCCTACATGCCCCATCACAGCTATTCCAGCTTCAACAATAGCTTTTGCTGCAGCAATTCTTGAAGGAGACCCTCCTTCTAGTTTTATGGCATTCATTTCTCCTTCTTTTAAAATACGAACTGCTGCTTCCACAGCCTATAATAAAAACAACACTTAAAACCATAGCCCGTGTTAAGAAAGTTCAACAATGAATGAAACAATTAACAAACAACCAAATCATTATTTCCTAGCATTTTCTTTCCATATTGTAATTTCCAACCAATAATCAAATAGGGGTAATTTCAAGTCCAAAAGTGACAAATTTTTCTTGCTTGAAAATTACCAAGCTTGATCCAAAAATTGAAACAAAAACCCTTGTCCTTAATTCCTAGTCTTTTGTTTCCACATTACAATGCTAGAAGCAATGTGAAATAAACTTAACTTTGAAAGAACTCAACCAAATTTTATGGCTAAAACTTTTCCAACAACCAAGGTGGCACTTCAAGTCCAATAGAAACAAACATGACTTTTAATTGAAAATGACCAAGACCAACAAAAACATATAACCTGATTGGAACTGGATTCATATGTCCCAAATGGCAAGTCTCCAACAAGAAAAGGTCTTTTAGCCCCACAAGCCACAGCACGACAATGCACAAGCATTTCCTCAAGCGTGACAGGAAGTGTAGTGTTGTGTCCATGAACTACCATTGATGCTGAGTCCCCAACAAGGCAAATATCAATACCAGCCTCATCTACATGCACTGCCGATGAGTAATCATAGGCAGTGACCATAGTGATGGGTTTGGACTTTCTGTGGTTCTGCCTCAGTTGGATCAGTGTCACTCTCTGGCTCTTAGGATCATGGGATATGAGTCCTGAATACGCCTTGTTTTCAGTTTCAGGGACATTGCTTATGCACACAATGTGTCTAAAAAGAGACAAGGAAGGCTTGGTGGTGGTTGCTCTGATGAGAGACTTGAGTGAAGCCATTCTATAAGAGAAAGAAGGGTAGTGCCCAAATATTAAGTGTTTTTCTCTTTTTGGTACAATGCAAAGTAAGAAACAAAACTAGTTACAAATTGTAAACAACTCCAAGCTGATTCAATACATAGGAATCAATCTTTTAAATGTTTAGTTCATTTGTTTTTCATGAGAAACTCTGGTTACACACGAGTTTCATTATTTAAATAGAAGGTGCCACACACCAAATTTGTGGGGACCGCCATAAACCCATAAATTACATCTTATATTAGAATTTGTATTGTAAAATCAATCCATTTCACTATTTTATTTTGTAGGTTTATCTTGTGACAAACAATTAGATTTCTTGTTAGAAATTAAACAAAACAAATCTAAATTAAATATTCCATTTGAAGATAAATTTAAGTTGAACACTTCTTCATCTTAAAAGAAGAAAAACAAATTCAATTTAAAATTGTTTTGCTTAATTATTAAGTAAGATGATCTCTTCCAAACTCTATAAGTAGAAGATGCTATAGAATATATAGTTTTATTATGAAATAGTTTACTACTTAGCTTTTGTTGTGAGAGATTTGTATTTTAAAAAAATTCTAGCAAATTTTTTTGTAGCTCTTTGAGTGTGTAATTGACTATTAATAAAGACAAAGTTCTATTGAGTGTATCGATTTTTTAATAGAAAAATTATTTCTTGAGTATTCATTTTTTTCACAACAACGATATTTCAACTAGATAATTTATTTTAATTGCCAACATTTTTTTAAATTACATTGTAATATTTTTTCAAATTTAGGTGCTTGTTATAAATTTTAAATTATTTACCTGGTTAGAGCAAGTCATAGGATTTAAGGTTTTGGATTTTCAAACCCTAAATTATACTCTTCAACTATGATTTACTTTTTATACATATATATACAAATAAATCGTATTAACTTACACTAGTAACATAAATAATTTAAAATCTATATTGAATACATAATTTTGATAACATTGCACTAGTTATGTCAACTGTTTCTTTATTATTTGGGCTATATATATATTGGGGTGCATGCCCTAATTAAATATTTATTAACAATTAATAATTTCTTATACATTGTACACGTATTACTAAATTAAAATAAATTTTAATAATTATTTTTAAATTTTAATAAATTTATAAAAGGTAAATATTATAATTATTAATAATAAACATTTTATTATATTACATCAAATTTAAATTTTAAATTAATGTTAAATTTAAAAACACATAATGTAAAAAAATTAGGCTTTTTTATTTAAATAATATTTTTTTTAAAAAATTACCAAATTATAAATTTTTTAAAACTATTTTTTAGTTTGGGCTAATTTTAGTCACGTGTCATAAGTTTTGTTATTATTATTAGCGAAATTTTTATTTTTAAAATTTTTTAAAATAAATTTTATCACTAAAAATGTAAAACTTATAATTTTTTTATTTTTTAAATTAAGTTTTGCCACAAAAATTATAAAATTTATAAAATTTTTACACATATTAAAATATTATAAATTTTGTAATTATAATAAAATTATTTATTTAAAAAAATGAAAAATTTCGCCAGATTGATGAGTCGTACAGATCCGCTTTTCAGTCACTTTATCCAAAAGGTCAATTATATTTTTTGCCTAAGATTTGTAAAACTCTTAGAGCCAGTTCTAGATATTCATGAGGAGAGGAGCAGGATTTAAAAGCAAAAAAAATAATTAGTTGAAGAAGGCTGATGTTGCTGAATAAAGTGATCCAAGTCCTTTAGTAACACCGCATTTAAATTTAGTAGTTAGTATTTTTTATTTATTTTTAATAATCTCAATCTGGCGAAATTTTCATTTGTTTAAAAAATAATTTTATTATAGTTACAAAATTTATAATATTTTAACATGTGTAAAAATTTTATAAATTTCACAATTTTTGTGGCAAAATTTATTTTAAAAAATTTAAAAATAAAAGTTTCGCTAATAATAATGACAAAACTTATGACACGTGACCAAAATTACTTCGAATAGGAAAATAGTTTTAAAAAATTTATAATTTGGTAATTTTTAAAAAAATCATTATTTAAATAAAAAAGCCAAAAAAATTACTTGGAATAATAAAAAAAATTAATTCCTAAAAGCAAATTCCGTTAGTTCTGATTCAAGAATTAATATTCATAAATTATATAAAAACTTTCATAATATATTTTAGTTATTAATAATTTTATTATATTAAATAAGGTTAAATTAAAAAGATAGAATTTTTAAAATAAAAAATATAGAAAAGAAGTAATATTATTTAAAATAACTTCTAAAAATACTAAGATTCATAAATTATATTAATTAAAATTTTCATTTTTAATTAAAATCTAACAAGCTTGAGGGAAAAAAAAAAGCACGGTGTTGGTGGCAATATTTTATCTAACAAAGCAGAAAAACATTTTAAAAATGAAATTACTCGAAAGTATGGTTTGTAAATGCTTCACTCTTCAAAATACTATTTTATGTCAAATACACTCGCATACATATAATAGAAATTGGTTTTTTAAAATTTTATGTTATCAATTTTATTAAAATAAATTATACTAAAAAAATTATTAAAATAAATAAATAAATTATAAAATTCATACCGTGGAAACTTTTTCTAACACTTTCTTAAAATACAAAAAATAATCATATATGTTACTTTGATCTCTTTTTAATTTTTTTATATTACATTGTAAATCAAAATTTTTATTTTTATAATACGTTATTCTTTCTTTTATTAACTATGACACCTGATTTGTTGTTCTTGATTTGTGTGAAATTTAGATTCGTTCATCGAAGACACAATCACATTAGTTACTGAGTTTCCAAGACAAATTGTTTTGTTTTTGTCACAGAAGGTGGTGGGGACTGCGTGAGATTTTGCATGCCACGTGATTTAAATTCTCTATTATTCATATTATTTAGATACACACTTTAATTAATTATTTATCAGTAAGTTTTTTAAATTAAAATTTATGTTATAATTTTGATTATGAAATTTATTAAAGTAAAATTTAGAAATTATTTTAATAAGTTATATATTAAGAAGTTTATTAAAATAAAAAAGTTATAAGTTTTTAGAATCATACATTATTTATATATTGTCTAAAAATTCTTTCAAACACTTTTTTAGTACACAATTTTTTTTTATGAGACATGTTTAGTTAAAACATCAACTGAAGAGACCATGTGCTGAATCCTACACCAGAAGTACTTAATAACAACTAGTTACACTACCAGCAAACTTTCGAAAGTTGCTATTAACTTGTTAAAATAAGTATTTTAACTTCCATTAAACTAAACATAACTTAGCTCTAGAATTACCCACTCCCTCGAATACATGAGCATAACCCACCATTCTATTGAGATTGCAACCTAAAAATTTGAAGGGCCCCTCAGCTACTGGGGTTACATCAACATTGTTGAAAAACATAACATTAAGGAAAAATATTCTGGTTTAGTATTGAAGTGCAAAGTATGAGTTATGATGTCCAAGGCATTAGCTCGGACTCAAGTATTATAGCTTAATAATTATAAGCATGCTGTTAAATGGATAGATAAAAAAAAAAAAATCAATCAGTTTCTCACATTTTGCTCCATTACAGTGCTTCAAAACAGTATTTTTTTTTAGGTTTCATACATAATATTGGACACAACGAATATACTGTTTCTGTAACATCAAGAAAATTTTGTGCATTTGGTCCTGAGTGTCAAAACGATAGGAAGAAAAATAAGAAGTGAATTTCCTAAGAAAATGGCGTCTACTATCCATAAGTCAATGCTCAACTTCTATTTATACCTTCATTTTGTTCTGCCACTGAAGAAAATTAAGGACATCAACTTAGAAAAAGAAAACTGGTTCTGTAGCGATACTAAATCATCTTTGTTTGCTTTTCTTTACCAATTTATTTATCTGTATCCATTTTCTGAACTGCTTCCGATGCTGCAGATGCTGCGTTGTCCAAACCTAACCTTTGCAACTCATTTGAAAAACCATCTGCATCTGTTTTGCTGATTTTGTATGGACTATGGTGAGCATCAGGGAATGAACCATTTACCACGTCTTCCTTATACTGCAGTAAGGCCTTATTGATGACATCTCCAACACGTGCATACTGCTTACAGAATTTTGGAGTGACCTGAAAAAGATAGATCACCTCAAAATTAGCAACAAATTGAATAATGATTGAAATAAAACGAGGCTAACATTTGCTATCAATACCTTTGCATGGTGGGGGTGTTGCAGCATGCCCAGCAAATCATGGTAAACTAGCACCTGCATGAATGATGAAACTAAATTAGAAATCCTTTCCTTTCCCTTTAACCAGAAAAGGTTTCTTCCTTCTCTTCCCCAGAAGAACAACTGTAATGTAAATTTTAAAGTCACACACAATGCTTTGTTCAATTGCCCAAAATGACTGAGGGATAATCAGACAAGAATTCCATCCCTAGCTATAGGCAGTCAAGGGACCCAAGAGTACAAGACCAATCTTAACATATTCCTAAGCTCAATAATATTTACATAAACACATATGAAAGTGACAATATCATTCAAGAGCTAACAATTTATCACGAATTAGAAAGCCCAACACTGCAACTTAACGAAACAATGATCACTTGTCTTTAGCAAAACAAAAATAGTGCCACTAAGGTAGGCCATGCTCATCTCTCACTACAAATGTAAATCTTAAGAATATAACATTAGCCAAAACAGAAATTAGGCCAACATGCCTGTCCACTGCAAAAGGGTCCAGCCCCAATTCCAATGGTAGGAATCTGAAGAGCTGCTGTTGCTGCAGCAGCGACTGGTGCAGGCACACATTCTAGAACAACAGAAAAGCACCCTGCTTCTTGCAAAGCCAATGCCGTCTCCACGACCTACACAGACTTGTTCTTTTCAGTTTTAGGATGACAACGAAATTATTGAAACGCCAAATAGGTGCATCAAGCACGAGAGAGGCACACCTTGATGGCACTAGCAACATTCCTTCCCTGAGGTCTAAATCCCCCCAAAACACTAATTGCTTGGGGAGTAAGCCCTACATGCCCCATTACTGCTATTCCAGCCTCAACAACAGCTTTTGCAGCAACAATTCTCGAAGGAGACCCTCCTTCCAATTTTATTGCATCCATTCCCCCTTCTTTTAAAATACGAACTGCTGTATCCACTGCCTGCTCATAATCAAAACAGCAACACATAAAAACAATGGCACAATGTAAGAAAGTTCAAAAATGAGTGAAGAAAATTGAACACACACCCAAGTCCTTCATTCCTAATTTTTGTTAAATTTTGCTTCCACTCCACATTTCATTCCCAACCACCAACAAACTTTTGTCATTTTCAAGTCCAAATGAGACAAATTTCACCTTGATCGAATTTTTTTTACCAAACTTGATCCCATAATTAAAAAAATCTTATGTGAAACGAAAAAAAAACATTTCCTTAATTCCTTACATTCAACATTTCAATTCCAAAAACAACGTGAAAAGCATACTCCCTCGAACAAATTTCGATTTTTGTCTTCTAAAAATTTGCTCATGAACTTTCAAAGAACAGAGCTTTCCCAAGCCCCAACAACCAAACATGCATTATTTCAAGTCCAAAAGAAACAAATTTCACTACAATGGAAACGAACATATATATTTTTTTTTGTAGAAATAAAAAAGGCAAATGGCAATAAGTATCTCAAGGGCATAAACTAAGGAATTAAAAATGAAAAAATTACACCTTTACTACAATTTTTAACACACTTTTAACGTAATCTAATATATATTAATCACCACACTAAATAAACTAGTTTAATAATAATAATAAAAAAAACAGAACCTGATCGGAACTTGATTCATATGATCCAAAAGGCAAGTCCCCAACAAGAAGAGGCCTTTTAGCGCCACGAGCAACGGCACGACAATGAACAAGCATTTCATCGACCGTGATGGGTAGCGTGGTGTCGTGTCCATGAACCACCATGGAAACTGAGTCTCCAACGAGACATATATCAATAGCGGCCATGTCAAGATGCACCGCTGAGGGGTAATCGTAGGCGGTGACCATTGTGATTGGTTGGGAGTTTCGGTGCTTTTGCCTCAACAGGGTCAGCGACACTCTCTGGTTCGGGTTCTGATGAGTGGGTCCTGAATACACCGTGTTCTCGGGCAAGTTGCTCATGCACCGAATGCGCCTCGCAAGATAGGAACAAGGGTTTCTTGTTCTTGATAACAGTGACATTAGGGAAGCCATCGTTCAGTGTTGAGGAGGTGGAGAAGGTGAAGTTGAATTCAAGTTGTTTACACTTCTGTGATCAAATAGGGATGGAAATATAACAGTCTCCAGCGTGGCTATAACCTAGTCTATTTAAAGCTTAGTTGGCGTAGCTTATTTAATTAATTTTTTTAAAAAAATTTAATTAATTAAATAAATTAAATTTAAATTTTTTTAAAAATTTATTAAATCTATTAAAATAAATTATTAAAAAATAATAAAATTTTAATATATTAAATTAATTATAATAATTTTATATAAAAGTTATAATAAATTAAAAAATTTTAATTTTTTTTGTTAAAGTTGAAGAATGTCTTTATTACATATTTTATAAAAAAAAAGAGTTCTCAGCAGTTTTTTCATATCTTATAAGAATAATACTGATTTATATTGTGTGGTTCCGATTAAGTTTATTATTAATTCGTCTCATCCTATTTATATCTTCTTTTAATTTTGCGCACTTATTTATAATATATTATTTTTTAATAGTTTATTTAAATATAAATTTTATATTTTTTAAAAAATATTTATTTAAATAATTTAATAGTCTATTTATAAAAAAACTTAATGACCTGTTAAATATCTCGATACTAAGTAGATCATTAAAAAGGCTAATAGGTCAAATTAAACTTTTAAAAAAATTAAATTAAACTTAATAAAAAGATTATAATAAATAATAAGTTAGGCTTAAGTTTTAAAATTATTAGTTAGACTAAATTTATTTATGCAAAGCCTAATTAAATTAACCTATTTTTATCCCAAGACATTAACAACAATCACTGTTGTTTTCAGTTGCTCTCACTCTCTAGATTCTAAGTTTAATTGCTACATTTTGATTTTATTTTTTTTAAATAAAAATGACGTAATTTTAAAGATGTTACAGACTAATATGGTGATTAAATAATTAATATATAATCAATTAAATGTATTATTATTTTTTAAAAAATTTAATCATTATACATAAAATACTTTACTAGTATTTTCCTTTTTAATATTCATTATGATAATAGTATTACTTATAATCTATTTATTCATAAATATATTTTTAACATATTTTTTATGTGTTTGAATGAAAAATTTCATAATTATGAAGAATTATAAAGAATTTAAAAGTGAATTAAGTAAAAGAAGAATTATGAAAAATAATTTTTTAAAAAAATTTAAGAATAACAATTGATTTTTTTATACTTAATATTAAGAAAATTGAACTAAATTTTTAAAAATATTATATATATATATATATATATATATATAATATAAACATTTAAATTGTCTATCCAAATACAAACTAAGTATACAAAATTATATAATTAAAAGTAAAAATTTAAATAATTTTTATAAATTTTAGTTAATAATTAAAAATGTGTTTCTAACTTTCTTTTATCATAATAAAATTATTTTTATAAATGCATATTTAATTAGTAATTAAAATTTATTAAAAACATAAATAAAAATATTAAATTAAAAATAAAACATACGTTTTTTTAATTAATTTTAATAATAATAAAATATATTTGAAAGAATGTTTTAAATGGTGCCTTACCTAACTTTCTTTTAGTGTATCACACACATTACCTTTACTCAGCACACTAAAATTTATCATGTGAGGAGACTTGGTGCGTGGCTTTCGACTGGTATTAGAGTTTAATTTGAAATTTAATTTATTATTTTAATTAAAATTTGAATTCAAAATTTTAATTTGTCTATCACCTTTGGTGCATGTGCTAATAGTTTGTTTTAATGCTTTGTTTGAATATAATATTTCTATTTTATTTATCATTTTAGGAAGAAAAAAATTATTTATAAATATCCATCTATGTAAAAATTTTAAAATAATATTAATTATTATATTTTTGTTAGTACTCTTTTATCTATATAAGAATACTAAGTACAATAAATATTTATATTAATTTAATATCTCAAAAATAAAAAAATATTTGTCTATGTAAAAGAATTCAAAATTATATTATTTACTATGTTTTTGTTAATACTCTTTTATTTTTATAGGATAGTAAATAAATTATTTACTTTAATTTATATAAGAGAATAATGTTAAATTTGATCTTTTAAACTTTTTTTTTTCTTACGGTGATCTTATAAAATTCATAAGATAACTTACACACAATAAGAAGATACATGAACATCGGAAAAAGTTAAATTTTAATAGAAAATAATATTAATTATATTTTAAAATCATTAACTACGGTTGAGCGACTAAATAATAGCGCTCTAAAATAATATATCAACTTCAATTTTGAAGTTCTTAAAAACTTTAAATGCAACAAAATTAAATTAAAATATAAAAAAAATTGCATGACAAAAAGATTAATTAAATCAGTTAATTTTTTTTGGAAAAATAACGCTTGGTGGGTGAATGGATGATCACCATCAAAATAAAAAAGTTAAAAAGGAAAAAAAAAAATTATATATATATATATATATATATATATATATATTATTTTATTTTTTGTATGGCTATCATTAGTTTGAAGCTTGGATATTTAAACAAACCGCAGGCAGCAACTGCTACCTAGATTCTTTCACACTTGCACTGTCGTGTCTTGTCTTGTGTCATGGCATTAACTGCCTCTGCTTCCTTTACTTCAATCAGCACAACTCACCACAACTCTTTGATCTTTGCATCCAAACAACAGCTGCACGAGTTCAGAATCCACAGGTTTCGATGCAATGGAACTAATCCGAATCAAGAGTCTCCACCCCAGAATAATGCACTTCTTAAACTTGCATGGTATAGTTCTGAGCTTCTTGGCATTGCTGCCTCCGTTTTTCGTTCCCCATCTAAAGAAGAAACTCTTCCTCAGAGGTTTCTTGAGACCATTGATCGTTCTTCGATTGTGGAGACTATCAAACAAGACTTCCAAAGATCCTATTTTGTCACAGGTTTGCACTCACCCACTTGCTTATTTCCTCTGGGTCAATTCCAATTTATTCCCTTTTATTCATAATATATAAAGCAAATAAATTTAGTTTGAATTTGATGTATTATGAATGCCATTTTTTTTTATGCATCATTTGGATGATGCCAGTGAAAAATGTTTTACGCTTATCATTAACAGTATGATGCGTGAGAGGGAGAAAAGAATATAATGATATTTACGGTGAAAAATAACATTTTATAAAGAGCAGTTTAGAGACTGAATTTAGGTTCTCTTTAAAAAAATTTTAAGTGTGTTATTTTAAGGTAATGCTCAATTTGACATTGTAAAATAGAATATTAAACGGAAATAGTAAACAATAATTGATTGAATGTAAAGATTTTACATAAAGTGTGCAAAACAAGCACTACATAGTAGAAACATAAGCAAAGGGAAACGAACAAATAAAGGAAACGGTAATTAAACCCTAAAATACAGAAACGTAAATAAGTAGATAAATAAACGTATAACTCCTAGCGATGAACAATAACATCGTGAGTCTCCTGGTTGTTAGTGTCTAGTGCGTGGTGTAAGTTTTCAGTGTGCGGAGGTTTTGGATGCAGGTGTCTGGGTGCCAAAAGTTGCCTTCAGTAGAATGGAATTCTGAGGTATTTATAGGCAAGCAGATCACCATTATCCACCTTTTTTTGTGGGCACTTTCTTAATATCTGTCCTCCCTGTGTGTTTGCTTCCAACTGTTGCTGTCCATTATTCATGTTTGCTTATGATTGTGTTGGCGGTTGAGTTTCTTTCTGTAACTGCTATCGCCCATGATCTTTCTTTATGTTGTTGGCTCTTCATTTGATGGTAACTGTTGGTAATTGCTTCAAACCCTTCTGACCCTTGTGTTGATATTTTTCAAGTAGTTCTGAGGGGAATCAAATAAGCTCATTTGACTATGTGGACTTGGAGTAATTTCTTTTTTGGTTTCTGTTTTTCGACCAAATCTGGAGTAGTCGAGAGCTTTTTTGGTCTCGTGGACTTAGAACATTTTCTCTGCTCATTCCTATTTTCGAGCGACTCTGGAGGGAATATGAAACTCGACCAGATTTGTGGAACTTAGAATATTCTCTAACCGTTTCTTGGTTTTCAAGCGATTCTAGAGAAGATCTGGAGTTTTGTCAGATTGGTTGACTTAGAAGGGACTTGAGAACACCTTAAAACGTCTTAAAACACCTCTAGCCTCGTGGACTTGGAATGTTTTTCTGTTAGTCCTGTTTTCGAGCAGTTTTGCCTATTTTCAGTCCAGGGGCTATAAAATCCTTAGAAATTCCTCAAAAAGGCCTTCAATTTTGTGGACTTAGGATAATTTACTCTCCTGTCTTTCGAGTAATTTTGAAGAAAATCTGGAGTGTGACAAAAACCTCTAAACGAACTCGAAATGTGACCTTTTTGACAGAAATTAAGGTTTTCAAAAACCTTGTAACATTCTTTGGATTTGACCTACTTTTCAATAAAGAATGAGACTCCTTCTTCGGCCCTCTAAAACTCCTCGAAGTGTAATACCTTCGGTTTGGAAAAACTTTCTTTACTTTCAAAATTCCTCGAAGAGTCAATATAGTTTTATAACTTAGAAAATTTTTCTTATCCCAAACAAATGGATTGGTGAAAAAATCATTCTTGGAGTGAATTGGGGTATTTACAAGTGGTGAGAATGCCTTTTGTGATCTATGAAGAGTCATTTGATGAATTGATTATTTGGTGGATTTGGCTTTTCTCCAAAGTTTGACTTTCATTTCAGAAAGCAAAGCGAGAAATTATAATCATTGATTAAAAACTTGATTAAATGCATATTCATGTATAACTTTATAATTATTTAAATCTCAATCATTAATTTAGACTTAATTCTACTTCCAGTACCATAGCATGTCCTTTCACACTTGATGACCTCCAAACGGTTGCTTTCCATATAATGACTGGCATAAAATCAAAATAATACCAATTGGTATTTTCTAGTTAGTAATCTTATTATATTCAGATCAGCTGACATGGTTAATATGTTTTTCTCAACTCTCAGGAGATCTCACAGTAAATGCTTATGAAGAGAATTGTGAATTTGCTGATCCAGCAGGCTCCTTTAAAGGGCTTCAGCGTTTCAAAAGGAACTGCACTAATTTTGGATCTCTTCTAGAGAAGTCAAACATGAAGCTTATGAAGTGGGAGGATTTTGAGGTGAGGACAACATTTGATACTACTTTATCCCTTTCCTAAATTTAGATGTTGTGCTGATTTGCTTACTGCTGCACATCTGTATTTAGAAACTAAGAATTAAAAATTTCCATGTTTCTTATAGTGTTTTTATACATGTGGTTCCATTACAGGATAAAGGAATTGGCCATTGGAAATTCAGCTGTATCTTATCTTTTCCTTGGAGGCCCATTCTTTCTGGTTCATTTCAAGCTTATCTGAGTATATCCCATTCATTGAACCATTGAGGAATAAAAGGAAATTGTTTCCTTGCATGTCTCAGATTACTATAAATATTTTTTGTTCTTTGTATTTTATCTGCATTTTACTAGAAACTCTCTCATTCTTTTGCTTTTCATACTATCGGTTACAATTTCTAATAAGCATTAGTCTACAGAAAAATGCTTATTTAACAGTTACACAGTAGCATAATTCATATTATATGCAATGCAATTTGACCATGTTTATATATGCTGCAGCAACTGGATACACAGAATACTATTTTGATGCACAATCTGGAAAAGTTTGCAGGTGAGAAAAACTCAGTTATGAAGGTACATGTTTCTACCTTATAATGCTGTCATTTTGGCAATCATCTAAATGTCTATGCAAATTTTTTAGGCATGTGGAGCACTGGAATGTTCCGAAAATGGCTTTGTTTAAGCAAATTCTAAGGCCTAGCCGTGGATTTGGCTTAAAAGATTATGTGAGTAGGTGGTTGAAAGCTGTGCAGATGAAGCTTTAAATTACAACAGTTTTGTGATAGTAACTTCAAAATTTTGGATGCTCGATGCAACCTGATGAAAATCTCCTGCTGAAAATTCCTTGGGCATCAATTTGGATATTCCTTGCAATATTGGTATGAAGAACTAATTTTACAAGTTTTACAAGTGTATGATAGAAACATATGACCTGGTAGGAATCGTATGTAAATATTTGGTTTCATGAAGGATTAAATGTATGAATAATTGAAGCTTGATTCTGGAAATGTATGGGCAAAATTAAAGGTAAACAAACACAACAAATCTAACTTGCAACACACATTTTTTTTTTCTTTTGTATATTTAACATGCATAAAGCAATACTTAGGGATACACTTCATCTTTTTTCATGACCGTTTATCACACGCAATATATAACATATAATAGAACCACTCTTCATTTTTTTTAACTCAATTATTTTTAAAATAAACAAACATTGACCAAAAACAAACACCCACAAACGCAGTAGAACTAGGCAACCTTGTTCCTTGTCATCAACAATCTTTACTATCAGTATCTCCTTTTACTGCAATATCGGAGGCGATCAACTCGGCCACACAAATAACTTAAACAGCTATGTTATTTTCACAATAACGAGGAAAAAGTTCTGAATTTAATTATAGAAGTAGTAAACTCGTTTTTCAAAACTTAAATTAATCTTTTTACATAACGTTATCATGAATTGATGCTAGATTTAATAATTTTGTTGAATGTTGTACAAAAATAAAGTTAAAAATAATTTAACTTACACCTTGCTCTCAATTTGGGAATTATTGACAAAGCAAACTCAAATTCAATGAACTTTCTTTCCTAAAAGTTATATATGTGATGATTGCTAACAAATACAATGCATTTTCTTTCCAAAAGATTGAACTACTGACATGGTGCATTACAACAACAACAATATTGTTAAAAAAATAAGAAAAAGAAAAAAACTAAACACGTACTGTTGCCAGATATGCCTTCCTGATGGTAGACTTGAGATCAACTTCCAATGGGATAGGAAATGAGGTATCCTGAAATTGAACTCCCAACAACTTGTCTGCATTTATGATACCTGGACAGCAAGTTTCCATCTTGTAGCAGTTGACTACTGACAATTGCTTCAAACATGGGAAATTTGAAGTAAAAGCCCCAGTGTAAAAGCTCATGAGGTTTGGTAAATATTCAAGATTCAAACATTGGAGCTGCCAAAATATTATCTCATCCTCATGTGATTCATCCCCCTCCATAGACACTATCTCTTGAATGCTTTGATCTGTGATAGGAGTCTAGTACAATCCACATTAGGCCTTTGAAAGCTGAAAATCTCCTTGATGGAACTAAAACCGACCCCTAGTTTCACTATATTGGGCACCTGTTGTAGTAATCCACATGAAAATACATCGGACTCAAAATTAAAATACACCAAAATAAGAACTTCTAACTTGTGTAAGAAGTTTCCTCAAAATTCTCCATGCCAAATCTTCTTCAATTCATTTTCACCAAGTCACAGGCACTGTAAGTTGGGAGTAAGCGACAATTACAAAGAGAAAACAATAACGAAGCAAAAGCATGTTAGGGAAGTTATACATTCGGCTCTTCCGTATGTATACAATCGAGTGTTGTTGTTTCATCATGAATGCAACATGTACCATTATAAATACATCACGATCAATATTTGGCTTGGGTAGATGAAACATACAACAATGGAGAGTTAATAGGCATAGAAGAAAGAACATAGCTTAATTGTGTAAGTGAAATTTCCATGAGCTTTTAACAACAACAATGTACAGGGAGGAATGTGAACTAGTATTCATATCAAGCAATGATAAGAAAGAAATGAATGATGGCAATACAATGCATACAGAAGTAGTAAAGCAATTTAGTTCATTTTGCATACACCAGTCTGGATCCTGTAGCAAAGACAAAGTGGGAAAGCAATGGTACTTTTTCAATGCAGACTTGATCTTCAGGATGTGGTTCTAGATGTGTGAATGTCTTCAACACGTCACACTGCATTGAGCAGTAGTAAAAATGCTTGAACTTAGGCAATGAAAAGTGGTTTGAATTGAATTTAAATATTTTTTTTTATTTTAATTTAGTTAAAAGATAATGAGTAAATTATTTAATTATTATTTTTAATTAAATATTTTTTTGGTTAAATAAAATTTATGTAACAAAAGTATGAAACACAATAATAACTTTATATTAATATTAAAAATAATAATAAAATATAAATTTAAGATTAAAATTATAAAAAAATAATTAGATATTATAATTCATAAATATATAATTTTATAAATAGGAATGAAAAATTGATTTCATAAATAAAACTACATAAACATACATAAATTGGATTAATTTTTAAAATTAAATTTTAATTTGGATTCAATTTAATATAAGAATTTAAAATTTTTATTTTTAATTATTTTTATTTTTAATATTTCAGTTCAGTTTCATATTTGGACGAGTTTTTTCATGATAATAATTCCTTTGAGATATAACGACATCGTTTAACCCTTCAGGTTTTGGCTTTGATCTCCCTCTGCACATCTAAAACCCTTTCTCCCCTTTCTAACTCTCCCCTTCTCTTTGCTGCAAAACCTCACTCATATTTCTTGCGAATTGAATGAGATTTGGGGATACGCTCCCATGTTTCGATTAAGGTAAGAAAACTCTTTTTTTGCTCTGTTTGGTAAATTGGGTCTTCCTATTTGCTTCTTTTACTTCTGCTTTGTATGTTTTACCCCCTTTCTTCTGTATAATTTGGAAGTGCCCACCTATTATCCCCATTTAATTGATTCTGATCCAAAGGAAACCCATTACAGAAGTGAAATGCTGTGGCATCGAATTTGATGTACTCCATGAAATTATGTTAATTTTGCATTTCATTGCTTTTGAAATTATGGTGAGTTTGAAACAATTTAACTGTTGCTTTCAATGGATACTTGTTTTATCTTTTATTCATAGTGTTAGATTCTGATATGACATGGAATGAAGAGAGTTTCAAGTGTTACTTGTTAGCGCAATCTTGAGTGAAGGCATATGTGATCTTTGATTTAGAAGGCAACATTTTTCTGGATGCTATCACTATTCACTATTTAGGTATTTTTAATACTTGAATGTTGCATTTATATGAATAGAACTGGAAGAAAGTCAGAGGTACTTTGTCTTATGACTGAATCACTGAGCTTCATGGCACATCGAGCCTTTGGTTAAATGAAATAGTGTCAAATCTAAGAAAGTAGAGCCTTATTGTAGAGACAATATTTCATTTTACAAATACTTCTCATTTGTATATCTGATGTTTCTGCATGCATTCAGGATTAAAATGTCATTAGTTCGGCCTCTCTTTACAAGGCGAGGATTCAGCACAAGCTCTGAGAACCTTGTTGCCTCTGTGCTCTTTGAGAGATTGCCAGTGGTCATTCCCAAAGTTGACCCTGTGGTTTATGCATTTCAAGAATTCTCGTAAGTCTTCTCTCTTCTTTCATTGACTTTGAAATTATGCTCTTCTTGGACAAACACACACACACATACATACATATGTATAATTGTATCAAAGGGCAAAGAAAGATAAATGAATTGGGGATTTGACCTTTATTCAGTCTCGGACTTGTAGTTGTGGAGGATATTAATCCATTTTTTAAGGAAAAAAGTTATAGTGAAAGGATGTCAAGTCAAGGTGAAGTATTGAACTTAGACTCACTGAATTTAGTGATTTGCAAACTAAAATGCAGGATGAAGCATCCTGGTAATGGCTGGCATCATCTTTATTTGTAGTATTTTTAGATAAGGCCTTGCACTGACTACCCTAATTTCCACTTCAGATTATCTAAGGGGGAAAAAAGGAAAAAACCTGTATTCTGGTTCACAGCCTTTTGCATTTGAATTCTTGTTTGCACAAATTATATGAAATTGTAAACATAAATAAATAAATAAATAATATATGATATTAAAATATTGGCCATTTCTTCCTCTCTAATTTAAAGATGGAAAAATGAGGTTAAGGCTTAAAACATGAGGATTTGCTATTAATATTTCTTGGTCAAATGATTGCTCTGTTGTCTGTTCCATTTTCTTACTGCTAATGAGGTTGCTTGGATGGTTAGGTTTCGATGGCGACAACAATATCAACGCAGATATCCTGATGAATTTCTTGACAAATCTGATGCAAGGTATATGTACACAAAAATTGGTCTATAATTTAAATGTTTTGGTCATTTAAACTTAATTAATTTGAAGAGAGAGATCATTAGGTGCCATTATAATAGCAATACAAAAAGTTATTTTTGTGAGCTTCAAGAGAGTTGAAAAGATAAAAAGTAAAAGAAAGAACAAAAATAAAAGAAAATCGAGAAACTCGTAGTGAAAAAGGATTTTGTGGAACTGATTTTTAACAAAGCAGTTCATTGATATTTGTGATCTCTTGCTTTTGTTTCCCCAAAAATTGATTGTAACACTTAACCAATAAACACTAATGCTCCATAGGTTACATCAGAGAGTTGAAATTAAGACAAATACATAAGTTACGAAGGACACATGATTGTCTGTTGAAATCCCAATTTCAATGTGAGGTATGAATTTTGTGAAAGAGTTGCAGACAATTTTGTGAAAAATATTAGAAATCACACTATTTTTTTGACAAATTTGCAAAAGCACTTGTGAATATGGATGGTTTGGTATAAGTGAACATATGCACATAATTGTAGTAATTTTGAAGTTGCAGTTTCACATTTTCTGAATCCAATTGAAGCCATGGCGGAACTTCATAAAAAAGGTGGGGGAGGAGTTTAAAGTGAAATTAGGATGGTTTGGTATGGTTAATATAAAGATCCATGCCACCTAAAACATTTCTGATCTGCTATTTATAGTTGTAGTATAAACTATTTGTTCCAAAAGAACAGATAAAGCTACTGTGAAACAGTCCTATGGCAAGTTTGACAGGCTAGCCATCATTATTGAAAATATGGAGGCTAAAAGAAATTACTTTTCCAAATTTTGCATGTCAAAACCAAAATAGGAGTCCATGACCAGCGCATAACTCAAAGATTACAAATCCTACTTGATGAAATAATGGAGTAACTCTTAAGAATTTTAGCCATAAGGCCCTTGAGTACAAGTCTATAACCATATGGAGTACACAAAGAAGGGGTGGATAGTGAAAGTATACAAAAACAATGGTGAATAAAAGAATAAGAAAATGCAGGGATGGGGTTAACAAAATGCAGAGGGTGATGCGACATGGAGGAAGACATCCTCTGATGGGGAGCAGTAAAAGATGATAGATAGTTATATGACAAGATGACTGATAAAACTGATTTTTTGGTTAATTCTTTTAATTGGCTCTGAGGAAGAGTTTTTTTTTTTTTGGGTCTATTTATTCAATAGAAAATGGAAAATAATCAATGAGAGTATTACTATAATGTTTTAAAATTAGTACCCTCTCCCTCCTCAAGACCAGTGAAATATCAAACTACTTTATATGGTTAAAATAAAGAGGAGAATTAGAAAGGACAAACAATAACTAACAAAACTCAGAAACTAACCCTTATAATTTGTTTTGCTAGATTCCACTTACCGGCTGTGATTACAATGCAATGATTACTTTTTCACCTCTTTTTCCAGTTGCATGAATCCATCTGTTTAAAAGTTGTCATGACCCACAATGGGCAAAATACAGATTCGATCCTTCTTTCCATATAGTCTCATGAAAATTATGTTAATTCCAGGGGGAAAGGTGAGTATCATATTGACTATGTGCCAGCACCACGAATCACTGAGGCTGACAAAAACAATGATCGAAGGTATGCAGCAATTGTGTAATTTTCCTTAAGGAAATGTTTTATATCAATTTTTGGAATATATGATGGAAAATGAGTGCTATATGATGCCATCGTGTCAAATACTTGTGATTCTCTGATGAAATATCAACTTGGTTCTTGGCTTCTTGTCATCTTCCCTGGGAGTGGGCACTGTCTACTTTCTCTGGCTTGGTGTTTTGTAAGGAATTCATAATCATAGGCCATTTAGTTTTTATTTTTTAACTCCCTTGCCTGCTTTATTCGCAATTGAATAAATTTAGGTTTGATTAATTGGTGATTATATAATGTGGGTGCAAACTTGCCATATGGATATTTAAGTTGTATTCTTGATGCACCTTCAGTCTTTAAGAAAGCCTTCTTATTAATGTTATACAGCTGTTATTTGTTCTAACTGAGAAATACATTTAGATGATGGCAGGGGCCAATCCTCATTCTGTGACTAAGGTAACAGAGTCAAAGTTAAATATAACTTAAATGATTTAAAGGGACATAGAAACTTATTTAGTTTTGATTATCCCTGTTAATCTTTTCAGAACTGAATTTGCTTTCAGACATAATTGCTGCATAATCAATTGCATATTACTTACCTCTTAGGTCCCTACAAAGAGCCCTTGACAGAAGACTCTACCTTGTTCTCTATGGTAATGCATATGGGGCTCCAAGTGGGCAGCCTGTGTGGCATTTTCCAGAGAAAGTTTATGAATCAGAGGACACCATGCGCAAGGTGAACCTTGTTATGTGACTTTTCTCTTTTTATTTTCTTATCTTTTTTTCTCTTAATTTTTGAAATTTTGCAGTGCGCTGAGTCTGCTCTAAAATCAGTCATAGGAGATCTTTCTAATACATATTTTGTTGGAAATGCTCCAATGGGCCATATGGTTGTTCAACCTACAGAAGAACAGTCTGAATCCACATCTTTTAAGGTATATTTATAGGAAATTTGGGGTTCGTCCAGTGTACTGTTGGAAAGCTGGCATCTTTCAATATGTTTATCTACATTAGTATTTGATGGCATTTATGGAAGTGTTATGCCTTTGATTTGTTTGGTTGTACCACATGATTCCAAAACCAGTCTTTCCAATGCTTCTGTCTTACTTCATGTAAAAGTTGATTATACTTGCTTACTCTTTCCTTTGCTGAAATCTTTTCTCAGAGATTCTTCTTCAAGTCACAAGTAATTGCTAAAAACAAGTTTGACATTGGAAAATGTAAGGATTTTGTGTGGGTGACCAAGGATGAATTGGTGGAGTATTTTCCCGAGCAAGCTGAGTTTTTTAGCAAGATGATCATAAGTTGATGACACTGTAGGGCAGTTGTTTATTTGAAATTTTCGCTAGTTTATAAAATGACTGTCGAAGAGCATGTAAGATACTGGGCACAGAGAAGATTTTAATTTAAGGTTAAACATGACATGTCTAATTTTGGAGACTTGTCAAAGTTAATGGATGCTGGAAGGCTTTTGTTTAAAATTATTTCTCCCCTATTCTTGGATCTGAATAAGTTGCCACGGTGATTGTGACATTGGGAATATGTTACCCAATTTTGTTGATATAGCTTTTTGTTTGAATGTCTATCTTATCTGTTCACCAACTAGTCTTGTTTTGGGGTCCAAAGTAACACTTTTTCTCCTGCCTTGCTAAGGATCTTTTCCCATTTCTTTGGTCTTGGAAGAGTAGTACTGCTATCTTCGTATTTAATATATTTTTCTCAAGTTTTTTAATTAAAAACATGGTGTTATATACTAGAAACTTGCCACTGTCAAAGGAGAATGAACTATTTGTGAATTGTATTAGTATTTTATCTCACCTTATCATCGGTTAATTTAACTAAACAAAAAAAAAATGAACATAAAATTTGTACATTACTAAGAATTTTAGAAAAGACGTTGATGTATAGTGCTAGTTGAAGATTTGAAAGAAAAAATTAATGTTAAACTTGAGTTATGAACATTCTTAAAAATATGCTATTAATAGACAGAAATTATAGATAAATTTTTATTTGTCTATATTATAGATGAATTTTATAGACAAATATTAAATTTATTTATTATTTATTTTTTAAAAAATCTTTCTGAATTTTTATCTGTATTTGATTCGCTATTTAGTGAGAAGCATTATAGGTAAAAATTACATATGAATTTTTTTTTTTGTAATTTAAAAATGGGAGAGAAATTTGGAGCAAGAGTTATAGAGAAAAAAATTAATTTATAAATGTAGTTATTTTTTTTACCGACTTTTCAAGTAACAATTTATAGATGAAGTTTTTTGTTTGTAACTGTCTTTAACGAATTTACAGCTGGATAAATTTGTTTGTAATTGAACTTATAAAATGTACTATTTCATTAAACTATTTATAGAGGAATTTTTTTGTCTATAATGTGTTAAACACATCAAAATTGCGCCTCCTCCTTCTTTTTTCTAGTTTGTACAATTTCCTCTCTCTCTCGCCTCCCTGTCTCTCTGTCTCTCTCTAGGAGCTTTAATTTTTTGGTCTTTATAAGTGATTGGAGCATTCATTTGAAAAATAATTTGCATCATTGTGTTTCTGGTACGATACTCTAACTTTTAATTAGTTTAGTTTTTTAATTTTTGATATATCTTAGAGACTTAAAATTTTTAAGATAGAGTTGTAAGACTGAAGATTGTATGATTGGGAGAAAGGCGTAGAGGTCCTTCCCCAAACCAAATTATTGTATGTTGTGAGATTGTTTGTGTTTGCAGAATTAGTAGAATATGCATGTTGTAGAGTTACAAGGAGATGTGCTCTAGAACAGTTTATGATTGTGATGTGTATTGATATTATGCATTGTTTAATATATTGTTATATAATATATTAGTTATGTGTAGTGAAAATTTTAATTTTTGTATTATGTGTAAACAAATTTAAAGAAATATTCATATATTAGGAAAATTCTGTCAAAATTTACAATAAAAATTTCTGTAATGTATAATAGAAGGTTGATACAACATTCTATATTTGTATTAGGTTTATATAGTTCTTGATCCAGATGTTTCTTGAAAATCGTCAGTGAATGTATGATAAGTTACACCCAAGCCAGGAAGAATAAAACCTGAATTCTTTGAGGGTGTAGAGGAATTTATACATTTTTGTTGTAATTTGAAACAATTCATTATCAACCAAAAAGTTAAGTGTTCATGTTCTAAGTGCAAGTGTAGAAAGTTTTTGGATATTGATTCAATTAGGTATGATTTGTATAAATTTGAATTTAAACATATTATTGGATATGGACTGAGCATGAGAAAGTAGTTAATGTGAAAAATCAAGTAGGCAGTTCAAATATATTGTAATAAGGTGAGGATGTAGGCAATGTAAGTTGGGGAGAAAGTAATAGTCATTATCAAGAAATGGTTTATGATGTTGTTGATCCTGAATGTGAAATTTTTTGTGATTTTAAAGTTGAACAAGAACTTAATGAAGAGGTTGCAAGGTTTTATAATCTTTTAGAGGCAACAAATAAGCCTTTATAGGATGAGTATGTGCATTCAGAGTTATCTTTAGCAGTAAGAATGTTAAGCATAGAGTCAAAAACCAATCAAAGTAAGAGTTTATTTGATTAATGGGTTACATTAATTAGTGAGCTTAGTCTCCAACCTGACTCAATCCAAAAAGACTTTTACCAAGCAAAAAAATTAGTTTTCAAACTTGGATTAAAAGAAGTCAAAATTGATTGTTGTTTGAAAGGCTACATGTTGTATTATAAAGACGATGCTATTTTAACTAATTGCAAATTCTGTGAAGAGCCTAAGTTTAAACCAAGAAGATGTGCTAGAAGTGGTAAACACTTCTTTTTTCTCCTTCACCAGCTCCAGCACCACCAGTTTTCACCTTCATGCATCATTTCTCTTCTGACTCATTGTCTATAGATGACGATGCTCCTTTAGATGATGATCATACTAATTATTCGTGATAAATACTTGTATTTTATTTTTAACATTATTTATTTGGATGTTTATGTCTTCATTTGTAATGACATTTTAATTTTATATTTTATAAATAATTTTTGAATTTTTAGATTTAATTTTGTAGTTTTTATTATGTTTATAAATTTTGATAATCAGGAACAGTCAGGAATAACTATGTATATAAACAAAAAGTAACAAAAACAATAAAATATATCACAAACGAATTACAGATAGATTTTTTCGTTTGTATGTTACAGATAGATTTTTTCGTCTGCAACATATAGATAATTTTTTTCATTTGTAACTTATAGACAGATTGTAATTATTTATCGATGAGGATATTACAGATGGTTTCATCATGTTTATAAATCTGTCTATAATTTCAAAAACTGTCTATAATGGTATAAAAATATGTCTGTAAATCAATTTATATATGCAGGTTTTTTAGTAGTGAAAGGAACTTTAGAATATAAAGATTTTTGTTTGAGTAAAAATAAGATAGAATACATATATTGTAGGTTTAGTAAAAAAAAAAAAAGGATGAAGATTAGGTGTTGTAAGTTAAAATTAGATATGATATTATATTACAAGTTTTCAATTTTTAGATACTTAGATCGATTGTACAAAATGAAAAAATTAATAAAGATGTTATTCACATAATATAAGTTGGGTAGTTAAAATAAAGAAATGTATTAGGAGTTATGTATGATAGGAAAGTGCTTATCAAATTAATAGGAAAGTTTTACTAAATTGTAATATGACCAACTATATCTTATATAGTATGAATGTTTGATCTTAAAGAAATAACATGAAAAGAAAGTGAGAGTAACAAAAATGAGAAAATTAAGATAGATAAGTAGATACACAAAAAAGGATAGGTATAGTGAAAAAGATGAGTAAAAATCATTTAAGGTAGTTTGATCATGTGCAAAAAAAACCTTTAGAGATATTAATAAAGAGAATAAATTGCATGACTCTTAATTAAAAAAAAAAAGAATCGATAGTTCAAAAAAACTTAAGCAAAGTTATTAAAAAAAATTGTGATATATTAAATTTCTGAAATTTTAATTTTTACTTTGTGTGATTTATGCGTCAATCTCAAGTCATCGAAATTTTCCAATTTGAAGAGTCTCAAAACAAATTTTTATGTTTTTATAACTACATTATTCTTTTAATATTTCTTCCATGTTACATTATGTATAACAAGCATTTTTTTCTTATCTTTGTCTCGCTCAATAGAGCGTGTGTGTGAGTGAGTGCCAAAATCTTTTTCTCAACTTTCAACGTACCAATTCAAAGTGTCAATAAGTCTACATTACACATTGTATTGGAGGGAGGGTGTCAAAATTTGGAAGCACAAGGAATCGTTTTCCTAATATGACCTCACAACATCAAGTTTTTAAGAAATGAAAATTCAAATTGTGAAAGGGATGTGATAGGTCAAAGGTTATCGGTTGGTAAACAGTACATCATTTCAACATGTGTGAGATATTGAAGAAAAGAATTAATGTCATAAACAGATGGTGTTTGTTCAAGACTTAAAAACTTAAAACAGTGAGATGAAAAATAAATCACTATATTCTCTTGAGGTTTCTCCAAGTTATTTTATAAAATAAATAATTTCATCCTAAAAAGAAAATTATTTATCTCGTAGGAAAATATAGAAAAATTCTGTTCTCTTATAATTCTGGTCACTCAATCAGTCCCACATGTTACACTAAGTATAAATCTTCTGTAGTTGAAAAGCAAAAAAAAAAAAGAATAATTTCCACCTTTTGATTTTATTTTTAATTTTGAATAAAACATAAAAAGAACTATCGGAAGATAAATACAGTAATTTTGAATGCAAATAACTCGAGCACTGCTTAACCCAACTAAATTTCAACTACTTCTGTTCAACTGCTCTTTAAATTCAAGTACATGTGCTATGACACAAAGGACTAAAGGAGACGTGACCAACATGCGATGCATATTTCGTTATCATCAATGCATGTTCTCAATCTCTTTCTATACAATGCTTGTGTGTGATATGTGGCTGCCCAACCTCTTGTGCCTTCCACCACCAAATTTCTCCGTTATATATTTCAACCCCAAAACATTATTTCTCATTTTCTCTTCACTCTTAGACCCAATGGAAAACCAAGACCCACCAAACCCTTCACCACCCTCATTGTTACTACCACCACAAAACTATCCTCCTTTTCTCTCCACTCCCATGTCAATGATGCAAAACCCTTTGGACCCTCAAGGCTTGCATGACATAGACTTGGTTAACCTTTTCTCTTGCCAAAACAGCTTGTTTGGGGATACCAAGGCAATGGTGGAATGCGCTTCTTCTTCTTATTCCTCGTCTTCTTCATGTGCTTTAATGGATGAAAATGGAGCTTACATGAATGAAAGGAGTAATAAGGAGAAAAGGAAAGGAGGTAGATTGAAGAAGACAACAAGACCCAAGTTTGCGTTTCAGACAAGCAGTGCAGATGATATTCTTGATGATGGTTATCGTTGGAGGAAGTATGGGCAGAAAGCTGTGAAGAACAGCATATATCCCAGGTGTGTGTTAAAAACCAAATTGGTGGCTTTTTTTCTTTCACGTTGCATGAATGCATGGTTATGTAATTCCTCTTGGATGGCTAACCTACAACCTCAATAAAAAAAATTAAGAAGAAATTGATATTATTTTTAGGTGTACGGATATTAGTCTTTAGTTATATGCTAAACAAATAAAAATTAAAATGATGAATATAAGGAGTTATATGTATATAAAAATTAAGAAGTTACACATTTTGAAGCTTCAACTGGCATGGGATTGCAATTGCATGCAACCAATTATATTCTTCCATTCAAATTAAAAGGCATATATAATATTGTAAATTTAGACCTTGTATTTAACATATGTTTTATTTTAATGATAAATGACATTTGTATTTATATATATATATATATATATATATATATATACTTGTTATTATATCTTGTTTTAATTAAAATGCACTGTTTAATTAATTTGAGTTTATTGATGAAAAACTAAAGGATATATATGCTAAGTTAATTGTTAATGAAATCACTGATGGTTGGTGCATATTACGATTTTGAATGCATTACGAATATGGGCAATAAAGAAGCTACTACCGCTGCACACATCATACATGCAATGTGAAGAAACAGGTGCAAAGGTTATCCAAAGACACAAGCATCGTGGTGACCACTTACGAGGGAATTCACAATCACCCATGCGAGAAGCTGATGGAAACCCTAACGCCTCTTCTAAAGCAAATGCAGTTTCTCTCAGCGTTCGGTTCCAATACCAGTGACCCTGCTTCTCTGATATAGTGAGATACGTAACTCTCTGTATATGTATGCATCAAGCACAAAAGTTGCTTGATTATATTTACGCTCTTAATATGCTTTCGAATTAATTAATAATGTAATTGAGATACAACATATTGTTACTGATTTGATTAGTCAACTTAATTTGTATTCGGATCTATCTATATTGTACTATATTAACTTTACAGGCTAAGTAACTTGTTCCTGTTGGATTTTATGATGAAATTGTGAAAGCTTGGATACGGTGGAAAGGATCCAATTAGTGAGATTTTCTTTCACAAAATCAATAATTAAGTTATATATTTGTGATACACTAGTGTTTAGGTAGTCTAAAAAGTTTAAAAAATAATTAGTATAATTTTTACATTTATTTTTTTTATCATATTATTCATCACATTTTTATTTTTTTTATCTCTTTTTTCCCACCTATTTTATACTCATTTATTAGGATGAAAATAGGTCAAATTGTTCGACATAACTTATAACATAACTTATTTAAAGTTCAATCTGACTTAACTTATTTAATTGATAAGTTTAATTTAAAAATTTAATTAATTAAATAACTCAAACTTAAAATTAAAAAAAAATATTAGGCCTATTAGAATGACTTACTTAAAATTCATAAAATTTATAATATATTAAATAATTTTATATAAAAATATAATATTATAATATATTAAATCAATTAAAATTTAAAATAAAAATCTTAAATTAAAAATCATAATCCTATTAGAATGACTTACTTAAACTTTATAAATTTTATAATATATTAAATAATTTTATATAAAAATATAATATTATAATATATTAAATTAATTAAAATTTAAAATAAAAAATTTTAAATTAAAAACCTTAATCCTTTTTGTTATGGTTGAAAAATATCTTTACTACATACTCGCTAAGAGAAAACTCTGTTTGTCAAATTTTTTTGCATATCTTATACACATAACACTTATTTATATTGCATTGTTTCAATTACGTTTATCACTAGTCCGTCTTATCTCATTTATATTTCTTACAATTTTATGCACTTATGTATATTATATCATTTTTTAATAGTTTATTTAGATATAAGCCTTATGACTTTTAAAAAATATACTTATTTAAATAATTTAATGGTCTATTTATAAAAAAAACTTAATGATCTATTGAATGTCTCGATATAAAGTAGGCTATTAAAAAAGCTAATAAGTTAAATTAGACTTTTAAAAATATCAGATTGTAACACCTTAAATTTAATTTCAAATAAATAACAATTTCACAAAATTTGAATAATAAATTTCCATAAAATATTTAAAAAATGAGGAGGAGTTACAAGATCATATAAAACAACTGTCACAAGACTAGTTCAAATACAACAAATTTTAAAATATTATTTTAAGTCTTATAGCAGTTCATCTGTTCCTTAACTATACCTGGTGCTGATCGTCTTAACTACCTGAAAAATGAAAATAAAAATGAGTACTTTACGCTACAAAAAACAAACAAACATAGAGTCTCACCTTCAAACTATTTAAATATATTCAACAAATAGATAGTACATTCACAAGTAGCGTTTCAGTGCAATTCATTTCAATTAAAACACTGATGCACTTATGGCACCAACGGCAGTTCATACTCATTATTCGCAGCATATTCCACTGGTGTTAGCACGCCCCGTCACAGCACATTATACCGGTGATTATTTGCCCCTTTTCATAGTATTTATATTGGCGACGACTCGCCACATCCTCAGTAGTTATACCGGCGATAACTCGCCCCATTCTCAGTATTTATACCGGCGATAACTCGCCCCATTCACTTTATTTTACACCGGCAGTTACCCGCCCCATTCACTTTATTTCACAATACACGGCTCTAGGCCTATATTCATTTATAAATCACGGCACATAGCCTACCATTATCCATAACACACAACAATTTATCCACAGTCATGTCATACTATACGGCACCTAGCCTATGTTTAGTCACAATTCACGACACATAGCCCATATTCAATTCTATTATACGGCACTCAGGCCCACACTTGTTCACACATCATCAAACACAACAAATTTCATCAAATACTCATACTCTTATCTACACACATAACATTCACAAACCTCGGCACGTAGCCCTCATCACATTCTATGACCGTTTCCCTTTCCATACATTTTTCCACCCTCCAACTCATCCACATTTTCTTATTCAATCAATTTCACAATTAATTACATGTAAAAAAGTAGGGTAGAGTCTCCCCTTACCTCGGATTGAAGACCCACACTTGGATTCAACCCTGGAAACGTTCTCCACACAGATTTTGGCCTAAACACGTGGAAGAATTTCATGAGAACCCTAAAAATCACCAAGAACGGAGAAAGGGAAGAAAAACAAAAACCCTAACCGTTTGAAACTCACCTCCAAGCGTTTTTCACACAAATCTGAGTTATAATTTCGCTCCCGAATGACTTTGGAGGCAATTAATCGGTGGAATAGGGCTTTGGGAATGAGAGGAACAAAGGGAGAGGGAGAAATAACTCTCCCCGAACCGTAACCCTAACCCCTTTAAATCCCTTTCTGGTCGCGACACTTTCGCTATAGCGAGATATTCTCGCTGCAACGAGGGGACTTTACTACAGCAACACGCCCTCTAGTTACAGCGAAAAAACCAGAGAAAATTGCACTCTGGTTTCTGCAGAATCTCGCTACAGCGAGACTGCACCCAGAAATGCACCACAAGCTGTCGTTCTATCGCTACAACGAGACGTCTCTCGCTACAGCGAAAAGGCGACAGTTCTAGTCCTTCCTCCCAGGCCCTCTCGCTGCAGCGAGAACAGTCCAATATCACGCCCTACACTCAGGCACTTAGCCCATTTCAGCCAAATCAGTCATGCATACACACACACACACACACACACACACACACACATATATATATATATATATATATATATATATATATATATATTCACAACATATATCTAAAAATACACACATGAATATACCTTTAGATTTATATAATTATCAATAATGAATATTACAAAATTAGGGGCGTTACACAGGTTAGACTTAATAAAAAGTCAATGACAGGTAATATACCCGACCTAAGCTTCAAAATTATTAGACAAATCAAACTTATTTACATAAAGCCTAGTCTAGCCTAACATATTTCTATCCTATTATTTATTGACTAAGAAAATATATTAAAAAAACTTCTTTCTATGATTGTTATTTTAATTAGAGATAACAATAGATAAAGTATCGAGCACATGTAAAATTTATCCACAATGGGTAGAGTATTTACCCGCTACATAAATATAGGTATGAGTATGGGTAAAAATTTACAAAATTTAATGAAGATAGGTGTAGGTATGGGTATCTAAGTACATACCCCTCCTATACCTGCATACATACATATATACATATATATATATATATGTTTGAACTTTATTTAGAACTATGTATTGAATTTTGTATTATTATACTACTTATGTAAAGTTATATAAAATTAATATAAAAATATATTTAATAAGAAAGTAAACAAAAAATTTTATTTTGGTTTATATTTTTAATAGAAAAATTTATTTACTAATTTATATCATTTAATTATGCTAATACAATTTAATTATTACATAGTTGATATGAGATTAATTTTTTAAAAAAATATTATTTATATATGACACACATATAAAATATTTTTTACACAAATATTTTTGTTAATAAAATCACATTAATATTTAAATCATACAGTGAATGATAAATAATAAACATTGTAAATATTTAATAAATTTTACAATCATCTACTATTATCATAAATTTATTATTCATTGATAATATTTAAATTTTATTTTTATATTTTAATTTAAAATAATAGTTTTCTATGTAAGATGTGCATAATAAGCACAACTATAATCTATTAAATGTAAATAATATTATTCTTAGCATTTATTTACGTTCAAAGAAGTTTTTGAAAAGATATAAAATATAAACAAATATTGTTAATTCTTATTTGTTAATTTTTTCTTCCGATAAAAAAAGTATAATTCTTTTAATATGGAGTATATTTATTTATTATAAAATTTTATTGTGACCATTTATCTTTTATTTAAATTGTTTCTTTTAAAATTTATATAAATTATAAATATTTAATTCATTAAAATAATTTTTTAAAAATTTTTATTTTTAACAAAATACTTTCGTATAATACATGAGTTGAAAATACTAGTATATATATATATATATATATATATATATATTATTTTAATCAAATTTGTTATTTTTCTTACAATTTCATATTCAAAAGTTAAAAAAAATATTTTATGCATCCACCTTTTTTTGTTGTTATTTAGTACTTGAACTTATCTGTCATTCTCTGTCCTAACTCTATTCTCATTCTTAATATTTGTCTCATTAAAACATATTAACTATGAAATGTTATTTATTAGAATTAATTATCAATGACACTGCAAGAGGTCACCAAATAATCCACACGAAAGGCCACCCATTATGTAGATCTATTTCGTTATCACTTTGATGTTGTCAATCAATCGAATCTCACACAAAATAAGGTCATCGTCGACAAATAACTTGTGTGTTTAGTTTCACTTATTGTTTCTAAGAATTTTAGTTTAAAAAATTATTGTATTAAGATATATTTAGCACTTGTGATATTTGAATATTTATTTTTTAGTTATGTTTGTACCTTGTTCAGCAACTACTTATTGAATTTTTGTATTATTATGCTACTTATATGAAATTATATAAACATATTTTTCCTTATAAATTTTTTTTCTCAAACAAGTGCGGGTAATAGATACAAAATGAGTATACGGATATTCAGAAGATACGGGTATAGAGATTAATGTTCATACTCATTCAAGTATAGAGAAGAATACTATATTACTCTACCTATATTCTATTCATTACCATCTCTAATTTTAATAGTCAAATAAGCATGTCGTGTAACCCTTCTAGAATATCAGTGCCATTGTGGTTGGAAGTGAAGAAGGAAGAAGAGATTCTTTGTATGAGAAGAATTGTTTGGTGATTTGAGAAACTTCTTGCTTCGTTCCCTATTAACATAAATGTAATGAATATTTGAAATTAGTATAAATAATAAATAAAAAAATTATAAGATAAAAATAATTCGGTCCTCTAAATTTTAAAAAATAAATGAAAAATAGAAAATTATAAATTGTTTTTTACTTATAAAATAAATTTTATTTATTTTTATAAAAACTTTTCTAAAAAATTATTCAAATAAATCTGCATGTACAGTGTCAAATCAGCTTATCCTTTTCTACAAAGTTCAGCTACCTCCATCCACCCCGTCTCACTAGGTCTTTAAGAATTTTTTGAAGTGCTTTTTACCATGTTAGAAAGATTGTACGAATATTATACCAAATTACTATAGAAAAAAAAATTACAATGATTTGTGGAAAGGTTTTATAATAGAATTATTTTATCTGAAAACAAAGGCAAGAGAATATAAAGATGCAGTACAATTTAGTTATAAAATATTTTTCACATCAAATTATTTATTTTTAATAACTAAAAATGATAGGCAAATTTTTTTTTCTCTTGAATTTAAGATAAAATTTATTTTTACCTTCTAAATTTTTTTTTATTTTAATCTTTTAATTTATAAAAAATTTCAAATAAATTTTTAAAAAAATCTTTTTTGTCATTTTATGCCATATACACCGTGCGATATTGTTCATCATTTTCTTTTTCAAATTTATAGTATCATTTCTTTTTTCTTCTTATACTCAAAAGTTTATCTTCTTATCACTAACATTAAACATATATCTCTAATTTATAAATTATAAATAATTTAATTTTTTAATATCCATTTTTTATACTCAACAAATCTAAGCATATAAATATTCATGTTCATATTTTTTATTTTATTAATTTTCATGTTATTAAACTTTCAAAATCTTTACTAATAAGAATATTTGTTTTGAATAAAGTTTAAAATTTGAAATAATTTTTTGGTGTTAGTGATAAAAAGATAAAATTTTAAGTATAAAAAATAAAGATGTAAAAAAAAAGATAAAAAAATGCTAGAGACAAGATTAGAATTTTAAGGAGAAAAACAATGAATAATAACCTACAATATATGTTTTAAAAAATAATTTATTTAAAACTTTTTTAAAAATGAAAAGATTAATCATAAAAAATTTATAAAATAAAATAAAATTTTATTCTAAAACTAAAAGACGAAAAAAAATAATTGTATTAAAATAATAATTAAAAAATTTGTAAATACATGTTACATCTCATTGACACGCTTTCGGTTTCATCACTGCCAACAGAAAGTTATGCGACACGTATCATCACGTGTCGAAAGTGAATGAGACGATGCTGTATACGTGTGAGACGATGTTGTATACGTGTCAAGAGCCGCAACCTCCTCTTGAAATATTAGAATGTGGCTCGGTTTGCCTCTTCGCTATAAATGTTTGCTATCTTCACAACGGCAGTGATCAATGTCATTAAAAATGTCGCAGTTGCTTAATAAAGCCAAGAACTTCGTGTCGGAGAAAATCAATGACGTGGCCAAGCCAGAGGCGAGTGTCACCGACGTGGACTTCAAACGTGTGAGCAAAGATAGCATCGAGTACTTGGCCAAGGTATCGGTTCACAATCCATATTCAACTCCTATACCTATCTGTGAGGTCAAGTACTCTTTCCAAAGTGCATCCAGGTACATGCCCCCTTAATTTCTTCAATTTTTTATTATTATTAAAAAGCAAAAAGAGAGCTTATTTATTTTTAAATTTTTATGCATTTAATATTATTATATATTTTGAATTAAATTAATAAAAATAATTAAAAAAACAATGAAGTCAAAAAGAAAAATATTACGGAGAATATCGATACTCAGAACTGATATGAAAATAAGGATATAGATAAAAAGAAAATACAAATAAAGAATCAAAATGAAATAAAATAAACAAAGAAAATTAATACACAAATAACTAAATAAGTCAAAATTAATATATACTGAATTATTAAATTAATCAATTAATGTTTACAATGCATAAAATGATACACTAACCTTCTCTTGTATATACATGTAAAAGCGAAATGTACAATTATGTCAATTTGTCTAATACCTGTTATAATGTCGAATTAATATTTTTATGCTTCATTTGACATTTTGTGTCGATTTTTTACTGCGTTTTTGTCGAGTTGTAGTTTGTCTCTTCCAAAAATCTTAATTGTATGCCTTATTAATTGTGCCTCCTAAAATTTAATATTCAGCATTCACAAATTTTGTTCTTGCGGACAACTGTATGCTAAAGTTTACTTTTAGGTCTAAATTTGAATACTCCTCAATAATTATAAATTAACTAAAGTAAGAGAGAAATTAAAGAATTTAATCTTAAAAGTAACATAGTAAAAGCACTTTAGAGAACCAATTTATTGAATTAACTATTTTTGGATAATTTAAATTGTTTTATTGTGTTGGGTGGTAAAGGGAGATAGCATCAGGGACAATCCCTGACCCAGGATCGTTGAAGGCAAAGAACACCACGATGGTGGATGTGCCTGTGAAAGTGCCATACAGCATATTGGTGAGCTTAGCAAAGGATATTGGAGCTGATTGGGACATAGACTACCAATTGGATTTGGGTCTTATTATTGACGTTCCTGCCATTGGCAACCTCACTATTCCCCTCTCTCACAAGGGAGAGGTCAAGCTACCAACCCTCTCTAATATGTTTGCTTAGTCACACGACCCTAGAACAAAATAAATACATATGTTGTAACCATTGTGTCTATCTTTTCTACTTAGCTCATATTTCTTTTCAGCTTTAGTTTTATGCAGCCTTTTGTTATTAGTGTACGCTGCATGCTCTAAAATATGCATGGCCCTATAACACTAGTTGCACTCATCATAGTTGTAAGCACATGTTTATGGCTAGTAAGAATGTTTGTCTTTTCTTAATTTATAGTATTTAAATTGAATTAATTAAAATGCACAGTAAGTTTTCAATTATGCACTAAAACTTTAACAAATTGCAACTATTAGTATTAGCTAATATAGAAATATAATGGGGATGTAGCTCAGATGGTAGAGCGCTCGCTTAGCATGCGAGAGGTACGGGGATCGATACCCCGCATCTCCAATTGTGCCTTTTATAATACTGTGATAGAACTTTTATTTCTAAACCAGATTCTCATTTTTATATTATAAAAATCTCGATGGGAAAGCTATCTACGTCTTCTAGAAGTGTATGATCCATGAATTGTTTATATAGAGTGTAAACAACGGGTAAAATAAAATATCATGTTCTCTTCATGCTACAGGAATGACATAATTAGTGTTCATCATTGTTTGAACTTAATTAAAGACTACGTAAATAATATAGAAACGGGCTAGTCAAATTTTCATCGCTTCATTAGAGGGAAAATAATTGTTATAACAGTTAAAAGAAAAGTATTAGAACTTGAAATTTAGCATAAAATGATTCAATGAACATAGAATTACAGTATCTAGGTATATTTGTGAATATTTAACTTGCAGTAAATTGGTCACATTTGATTCACGTTCCCATCTTTCTTACCAGGCTATACCATATGAGATTAAATTAAGGAAAAATTCATGTGTTAAATTGTTGTTTTGTAAATATTATTAGTGTTGTTTATTAATCAAAATAAAAATTTTATTTTAGTAAAATAATTATGATTATTGAAATAAAATTTTATATTTAATTACTAAACAGCACCATCAATATTTAAGTAACCCTACTTAAGTTTTCTTCTTAAACCAACTCTCAATACCTGTGTTTGGTTGCCATGTGAGTCAAGTGATATATTTATTGATGGAATATAAACACGCATGCAGTCAACTTATACCAGCTTGAAATTCTAGGCAAAAAGCGTAACAGTTCAAAAGTTCTATTCGCGTATCATTTATTGCGTCTCATTTAGCACCCATACAATATATAAAACGTGTTCATACACCTTTTAAAAAATTGATATGATAGGCTTTCAAGCCACACATTCCACAGAACTATATAAAAATGTTCAAAGCAGGATGAAGAAATTGCACCTCCAACTCCAACTCCTAGCATCTCCGAATTTACATAGATTATTTGTGAAGCCATGGCAGAGACCGACCAAGCAAGACCTCTAGCCCCAGCTACAGATCACAGCAGCGACGATGAAGAGGCCCTCAAAAGCAAGCACCGTAGGAGAATCAAGGTATGTGGGTGCGTAACTGCAACCCTACTACTCCTAGTCATAGTAATTGTGATCTTAATATTCACAGTGCTTAAGGTCAAAGATCCCAAACTAACAACCAATGAGATCACACTCACAACACTTGACATCTCCATCAACAATGCAATTCCCCCTCAAGTTAAGGTGAACATGTCCATGTTGGTCGACATGTCCATTAAGAATCCTAACGCAGCATCGTTCAAATTTAATGAGAACTCCACCACAACTATCTTTTACCACGGCACATCAATCGCCGCCGTAAAAATTCCGTCGGGTTTAGCAAAGGCCCGCCGGACTTTGAGAATGAATGCGACGGTGGATATCATGGCGGATCGCCTTGCTAATTCTAGTCCGGATTTAGTGAAAGATGTGAGGAAGGGAGAGATGACCATGAACAGCTACTCGGTTATTCCAGGGAGAGTGAAGGTTTTGTTTGTTAAGAAACATGTTGAGATTAGGATGAATTGCACTTTGACGATTAATATTTCCAGCAGGGAAGTTCAGGATATGGCTTGCCAACGTAAGGTGAAACTTTAGGGATGGAATGTTATTGTTGTTGTTGTTGTTGCCATTTTGTTCCTCATAGCTAATCTTTTTATTTCCAAGTGTGTTTAGATAGTCTTGGCCAATTAATGTATACCAAAATTAATGGTAAGAGACGAACGTTTAATGGAATAAAATGCACGGCAACGTGTAGAAGAAGTCTAGTCAATTTAAACAAATGGTGTTTATTAGCACATTATACGCCACTCCAAGGTTACACTGTAACAGATTTCACAAATGCAATTTAATTACAGTAAGCATCAAACAATGTAAACTTTGAAGTATTTAAGATGTGTATGGTTTGTTTAAGAATCTTAAAATTTAAATTTTAAATTTAAACTATTTAATAATATTATAAATTTAACTTACAAGTTCTTTCTAATAAGTTAAAAATCCATTGATTAGAAAACTTGAAATTTAGAACAGATAGAGAGAAACTGAAGGAAAAAGACAAAAATATTTCTTAAATTATTATAGAATTCATTAGAATTATGTCTAGTATAACTTATCCTTTAGACCTTATCCTTTGGACCATGGTATATAAGATAGCATCTTACTGATATTAAAATTTAAACATACAATAAAGGTATTAATTACAACAATGCATAAGTTAATCAAAGGGAAAATTAAGAAGTAACAGCTAACATCCACGCAGGAATTATTTAGTAATTCATGTAAATTTATTAACTAATAAAATTATATTACTAATTATGGAAACGAAAAGAAGCTTCCATGACTCGTTGATGAGGGAAAGAAAATGGTTACTAGTTGGTAGTTGGTACAGTGGCTCTCTTGACACTTCAAAATAACAAGAGTAGAGTCACCAACAAAAATATGCAAACACGATTGATGATAATAATTTTTGACATAGTATTAAAAGACGAGTTTTGTTAACCTGAAAGTAGGAAGACGGTTAATATAAATTGTTAATATAAAAAATGTATATTAATTATATTAAATATTTATTTATTTTTAGTATGAATTTGTAATATTCATATTAATAGTCAGGGGCAATGGGGCATCCCATTTCAATTGAATGGAATGACATTTCTCATTCAGAATCTGTATAATACATTTTATGACTAGTATGTATTTTAATTAATTTTATAAAAAACACAAAAACATTTTACAAAAGTTATTGACAAATAAAGCTCATTACGTATTGATAAAAGGGAAATAAATAAAATTATTATGTACTAAAAGTTATCGATCTTTTTCTAAAAATTTAAAATTTGATTAAAAAAATTATAAATCTTTCAAATCTTTTATAAATTTATATTTTTAAATTCTTCTAAATTTAATTTTTTTAATTAATATTATTTTTTTCCATTTTTTCTTCTCTTTTACCTCTCAAATTATTTTTTTCTTTCAAACTTTATAAATAAACTTAATAAAAATACTATCTAAAAGATTTAGATTATTTTTTCCAGCACTTTAATTTTTATTAATTTTTAATTTAATGTTTCCATACTGAAAGACAACCGCATTACTTTGTGATGATTTTTTTTTAACCAAGCATTGATTGTTTTGTCTCATTCTGCAAAGCTTTTGAGTTGATCAAGATCGAATGTTATAATTTTGAGAATTCTAATTAATATTTTAAGATTATTAGTTAAATAAAAAAATATTAGTATATTTCTATTATAATGTGTAATATATCTCATTCATTAATTATTAATGAAAAAATTATTAACTTTTTTTAACAAGAATATGTGAAATATTTATTAACAAGATGATGTAACTTTTGAATATTGAATGCTTTTAACAAAAATCTTAAACTAAAAAAATAATAGAATATTCGTTTTTATACTCATATATTCATTGTCATTTTACATTTTTTAAATACAAATTATTTTTTCTATTGATATAATTATAAAAGAAAGAAAATGATATTGTCGACAAAAATAATTGTAAGAAAGTGATAATAAATATATGGCATTAAAAATGCACACTTAAAAAAATGTCAAACTTGTATTTAAAAACAATAAACTTAAATCATTTTAACTTATAAAAGCCTCAAATATATGGTAAATATACAATCAGAGAAAACAGAGGAGGTGGGGAAGGTTAGTGAAAACGTCAAAATTTCTACCCAAGATCACACAAATTCTTGGACTTGCTACTTAAAGTCAACCAACTTAATGGAATGTGGGCCACATGCATTTGCTACCTTCACAGGCACACTTTCACAAGTCCTCAGGCATAAGGATCATAAATAATAAATCAAAGCAAAACACTACATATAGAGTTTGTTGTTTCACAAACATACCAACCTCAGTACTTTCCTATAGCCAGCCATGGCAGAGAAGGATCAAGTTAGGCCCTTAGCCCCATCAATAGATCGCCCAAGCAGCGACGAGGATGACACCACTTCACACCGCCGAACACTTGGTTGTAGAAAGTTCATCAAATGGTGTGCTTGCCCATTATCCTTTTTACTTCTTCTAGCAATAATAATCATCGTTTTGATCTTCACTGTGTTTCATGTTAAGGACCCCGTTATCAAAATGAATGGTGTCAAAATCACAAAGTTCGGACTTGCCAACACTTTAACACCAAAACCTGGGGCTAACATGTCCATGGTTGCAGATGTATCAGTGAAGAATCCTAATGTTGCATCCTTTATGTATAGTAATACCACCACAAGTTTGTACTATCATGGCATCATGGTTGGTGAGGCTAGAGGACCACCTGGGAGGGCCAAGGCTAGAAGAACAGTAAGGATGAATCTCACAATTAATGTCATCACGGATCGAATCCTGTCCAGTCCAGATTTTGGGTCAGATTTGGTTTCTGGGGTGTTGACTATGAACAGCTTCTCAAGTGTTCCTGGCCACGTTAAGATATTGAGCTTGTTTAATAAACATGTTGTTGTGAAAATGAATTGCACCACCACTTTCAATATTTCTACACAGGCAATTGAAGATCAGAGTTGTAAGCGGAAGGTTAAACTTTAGTTATCCATGTATTAGTTTAATTTAGTTTCCTTCAATAATGTGTATGATTATAGTACCAGAAATAATAAGGAATTTCCTTTGTTGGTTTGTTTTTCAACTTTGATGTTATGTGAATGTTTGTTTTTCTTTCTATTTTTGAAACTTCTGTGTAAGGATAAGGACTAAGGACTGAATTGTTGTAGTAATTGATGGGCCGGAAGTTTTTCTTTCTTTCTTCAAAGAAAGGTCAAATTGCTTCGGAATCCCTTGTTTTGGGGCTGCTAACTGTTTAAAATTCATATCACACTAAACGAGATTTGCTTGTGATTTTTAATATAAAGTGTAGTTGCTTAAATTAAAAGAGTATTTTATTTTATTTAGACTAAGCTTCTCATGTTCTAAGATGTTGCAATTTTATTTATTTGTTTTTTTACAAAAAGAGCGTGTGATTTGTCAAGCAATTAGTTAAAAAAAAAGAGAAATGTTAAAATTTGATTAAACACATGCCTAATATACTACTATTACTTGATATATAATTTTGTGGATCTGAATGTTATATTATTTTATACCATGGATGATTTAGTTAAATAACTATTTATTTTTTAAAAAAATATTTTGAAAGTTCATAAAAATAAACTAAATTAAAGATACATAATAATTTGGTTTTTTTAAGATATAAAATAATAAAAATTCCAAAACTTGATATATGTCCTATTTTGATAAAAGCTCAAAATATGCCTCATATATATATATATATATATATATATATATATAAAAGGATGATGCATTTGCATATAAGACACACAGTTACTTGCGCATTTTATGAACAAAGTTTTAACCTTAAACATGATATAAGTTGCCCTAAAGATTATACAATTTACATTCTATATAACATAAAAATTTGGGTCTTATGTTTTGGACAAGTCATTTTAACTTTATGTACAAGTCACTTGTGATCTCTTATACGATTTATGTATAAAAATTGAGTTTTAATGTAATTTATATTCTATGTAACACAAAACATAAGTGGCAATCAGCCCAGTTTTAAGGGTAGTTTAGAGGTGCGATTACCTAGGGCCCAAGCTTAAAAGAGAGCCTAAAGTAAAAATCGTGTCCTACTTTTACTTGAAAAAAATTTCAGCTCTTACAGTTTGTAGTTGGAAAAAATAGAAAAATAATTTTTTTTAATTTTCCGCACTTCACTTGCTATAAACGTATTCGACTCATTGACCTATGTAGACTCAAAACTTCATTTAATTCTAAAATTTTACTATTCTTAACATTAAATCTCATGGAGAATTTTAGTTTTCTCCAAAAAATTAAATAGTTATTGATTTTGTCAAATTTGCAGATTGTTATTTAAATATTTTAATCAATTATAGAATTTTTTTATTGTCCTGATGAATATATTATCAACTGAAAGAAGTTTTTTAAAGTTAAAGTTAATCAAAACCTACCTAAGGTCGTCAATGTTATAAGAACCGTTGAATGGTCTCACAATTTTATTAATCGATAAAGAATTTTTAAAAAATATTAATGTTAATGTTACCATTGATGATTTTGCATCTCAATGCTCGTATAACTCATTTTTTATGATTTCATGTGTTTTTGTAGTTAATTATAACATAAGAGTTGGTTGAATGGAAGAATATTTTTTTTTATAATTTTATTAGAAAAAATTATAGCTACTTAAGAAAAAGTATTATTTTAATAAAATTATTAATATATACTTTTATTTTATTTATTATATTTTATAATTTTTTTAAAGGGTCCTAATTTTCTATTTTGCCTAGGGTCTTAAAAAGGTCAATAACGGCCCTGGTGGCAACACTTTATATCACTTATGTTTAGTGTAGATCACTTTAACTTTATGTATAAGTTATATTATCTTTAATGATTTATCTGTAAAATTTAAATTGTTTTGTACTTATACAATATATATATATATATATATATAAAAGATTATATATTTTAAAATTTAAATTTTTTGTTTTATATAAAAAAATCTAACAATATTAGACATGAATTGACTAAAAATTTAACTTAAAATAGAAAAAAAGAAATGTATTAAAGAATTGTGAAAACTTATGTAACTTATTTAAATTTTAAAAATACAATCACACAATATTTTATTATCAATCAAGTTATATTGATGTAATATCTATAGACCTAGATTCTCTCTCAGACGTCTTGTCACGTTGATTTTTCATTTTTGTTTAAACGAAAATACAAAATTTTGCTTGACTAGATTGTCCAGTTAGTACTAAAACGAGAGAGAATCTCAATATAATATCTATAATTTACAAAGTGACATGTTTTTTTATATTTAATGAAAATGTACATATCTACATATTATAAAATATTTTTTGCAATGTTTGCTATGATACTAATAAATTTAAAAGAGTATTATCTTTTTCAGATTAATAGCTGTGATTCTTTTAATATCTTAAATATGAGAGAGTATTAACATATTTTTTTCACTAAATTATTAATTATATTATTTATTTATATAAAATTAATAGTTAAGATTATCTATTCATATAAAAATAATAGTTAAGATTGTTTTATGTATAAGAAAGGATGTCTTCTCAATTAGTAAATTTTATCTTGCAAGGAACTTGATAATTGCTTTGGACAATTTAATTTTACAAATACAATTTGAGTCTTTTGAATAATTTGGAATGTTGGAGGTGATATTTAATTTGTTAGATTGTGGGGTGGGAACGTGAGCAAGGTAACAAATTAGTGTTAAGGAACCTAAAGAACCACCGAATAATCATTTTCTTATGTTAAGACGAGCCTCCCTACTTATCTAAGTGCTTATTCGGCAACCCATCCAAAATACCAGTAAGGTAGTTAATTAGATCAATTCTAACCACTTGTTGTTGTGTTTGGTAAAAATTTGAAGTTTCTAAAATCAATGTAGGTAGGTAAAATTCATTTTAAGAACGACAACTTTTTTTTTTAGTTTAGTTAAATAAAAATGATTATGGATTTAAAACTTGTAAATTATATTTTATTTACATTTTAAAGTATTTTTATTTTTCTAAAGAATTAACATTAATTTTTCTCAAGTCCATATGTCAATAACAAAAAGCCTTCTTTATTATAGTCATGATCGCAGCTTCTTCAGCAAATATTGTCCTTATGGCAACAAAACATGGTTTACTTAACTACAAAGATAATTCTTCAAATTACACTGAGGACAAGAAATGTGAAGATGGATTCATTTATAGGGTCACAATACATACTATCTGGTTCTCGGATTTTAGTCTAACAAAAAACTATTTTTTATTTAATTCTTAAAATTAAAGTTTAAATTCACATTTTATATTTAAATAGATTATCAACTCAAATTCAATAGAAAAAGTTTAAATAAATTAAGTTAAAAACAAATTAATTTAAGTCTAAAATTTAAAATTCAAACTTTATATTTTAACAAATTTATTCTAATTAATCTAGTACAGTCAACTCATTTTGTTACATCTAGGTTCCTTTGTGCAGTGAGTACAGAAGAAATTTTATACATTGTTAAAATAAAATTCTTTGATTAAAAACTAGTACTTAAAATACCTAACAAATTCTACCTAAGTTAATTTATTTTTCTAAAAACTTGAGATGCAACTTATGATTTGCAAGAAAAATTGAACAGAAGAACACAAAACATGAGTTTGGGGTAAAAATAATTTTATTGTTTGTTTAATGAGAAAACAAAGAAATAATACAAACAATGATATGGTATTTTATTTAGGTAAGGATAAAATGAAAAAAAAGAACACAAAGATTTCAACTTTTGAAAAAATATATTTTCCTATTTTTCTAATTTAAATTTCAATGTTCTTTCTCTGTTCTTATTTCATTTTCTCTGAAAATTATAAAATGGTTAGTGTTCTTTCATATATCATGTCATTTGTGAGAAATTCAGGAAAAAAATGACATAGTGAGATAAAGTCTTGAACACATCTCATTAGGCATAATTTTTAATAATTAAAAATCAATAAAATGTAAAATATCTTGCACTAGAGAAGTAAGACAATACACATTAAGAAAGAGAGAAAATTAAAACATTTTAAGTCTAGACTCTGAATAAGTTACTCAACTTTAATACCAGTTTGCTTGATTATGAAACTACCCATCTTTCTGTAGATTTTTCAACACATGTATGAGCACAACAACTTCACCTAACTTTTTGGATTGACCAAATGCGTTTATAGTCAAAGCTTGAAGGGAAGTTGGCAAGGGATTCTTCTTTGCATATTCATCCCCACACATCCTTCTTCATCTGTGCCACACTTCCATTCCATTCCCACTCACACTGCAACAGTAAATTTTTTTATTTTATTTTTTTCACTTTTCACTGTTCATCCATCAATCCAATAATAAAAATTAAAACTAACACTATAGGTGAGCATGTTAATTTGGATTCTCTGGAGTTGGAAAATTAAATGCATGGGTGATGGAGCAGAAGAATTAAATGGAGTTAGAGAGTAGAGTTGATCCCAAAGACATAATAGAGAGAGTGTATTAAATGCAGCAACTAAGATCCCCACCCACCCTTTTGGTCCTCACCAAAAAACAAACCCTAATTCCCTCACCTCTCCTTTCACAAATGGAGAATTCCCAAATTCATCCTTCTTCTTCTTCTCAATGTCTTCCTCAAACCCTTATTCTCCACCATCACCAACCACCCCTTACTTCACCAACCTTGGCTTCGGCTACTCCATCGCCATTGCACTCGGTTTTCTCTTTCTTCTCTCCACTCTCATTCTCTCTTCCTATCTCTGTTGCCGCACTCTCCGCAACCGTAACAACCGCACCACCACCCAACCCAACCCTGATGGCATCGTTCTGCCACGTGTCATATTTGTAGCTGAAGATGATGACGACGATCAGAACCCGCACCGTGATGGAAACGACGTCGTTTTGGGGTTGGACCAGGGGGTTATTAATTCTTACCCTAAGTTTCCTTTTGTGAAAGATGGTGGTGCGTATGATAGCACGTGCTCGATCTGCTTGTGTGAATACAAGGAATCGGAGATGCTGAGAATGATGCCGGAGTGTCGCCATTATTTTCACCTTTGTTGTCTCGATTCGTGGTTGAAGCTTAATGGGTCGTGCCCCGTTTGCCGGAACTCCCCCATGCCGACGCCGTTGTCGACGCCGTTGCAGGAGGTGGTGCCGCTCTCTCAGTATGCCGCGGATAGAAGGGGAAGGAGGTGACTTTTCTTATTGGGTCTGGGTTTTGGGGATTAGGGTTGGGTATGAATATGGCGAGTTTTTAATTATTTTTTAAAAAAAATTCAGGGGTAAAAATGATGAGGTGGTGGTGAAAATGCGTAGGGTTAAAGGAAAATTAGAAAAAGAAGAGAAAAAAAAAATGTTATTGCTACGGGTTTGATAGTGTGAAGTAGTGAATGTGATTATATGGCATTAACAAGTGTGTTCCTCGTTACTGAATTACTATTGGTAATGCACCGAATGTTCCTTTTACGGAAGAATTAGTACTATGATTTGGAAATGATTTGACATTTTTTTGGGGGGTTAGTTTGACCCACAATGGAATCTCTTGAGAGAACATTACAATTTACTATTTTTATTTATTTTTCACTTTCTCCGATTTGTCTCTATTTAGAAGAAATTGGTAATTTGTAATGGGTCGTTTTTGTTTCCCGTTTTTCAATTCATGGACCCATTCAGTTGTTGTCATTAGTAGACAGCTTGCATTTGGTACTCATTCATTCACTGAGGACAATGTATTCTCTTCTACCTTTTTGTCATTTTGGCCCAATATTTACGGAAAGTATGTGCAATATCCTGCTCAGCATAGATAAATAGAGAATGTCAATGGATTACGGATTCCTAGCACGGTAACGTGTGCTTGCGATATAGTATATTGTTTTTTTCTTAATATATGCAAACCAGCTGAAGTGGTGAATTATATTTATATTTTGGCCTTACTTCAGCTTCATTACACATCTTTAGCAGTACGTACACAATAATGTCAATTTTACACCCGATTTTTGAAGTCCATGAGTTGTAAAGAAGAGAGAAATAAAAAGAAAAAATAGAAGAAAGAGAGAGAGAGAGAGTAAAAAATATAATAGATGATGAAAAAAGAGAGATGAAAATAAGATAAAAGGAAGGTAAAATATTGTGTAAGTGTGTGAATATAATTGTTATGAACATTATAGTTATCTGTATCTAAGTATGGTGCATGTGGCGCCAGCTTGTTCTTAAAGCAGTGGCATTTACTAGTGTCTTCTATCTTCAGTTGCATTTCCTATTTTTTTGCTATTGGCATTCCTCTAGATCCGTGTAATTGTTGAATCACATATTATTAATATTTTCAAAAGTGATTACCTTAAATGTAGGATAGGTTTGGGTTGACAATCACGTTTTTGCTTATTGAAATTAAGTACTTGTTAAGGAATCACGAGAATGCTTGGATAATCCGCTATGCAAGTGCAAAACTCTATTTATTTGCATGCGTGGAATATGGATTCCGATCTATCTTAGTATCCTCTTCGCAGTTGTTCATTCTGGTTTACCATTATGATTTTGTGACTAATGGGAATACCACACTCCATATTTTCACCGTCGAAGTAATCAATCAGCTTCAAGGTAATTTCCATGATCTGTTTTTCTGTCCTTATTTCAACTTCAGTTTTGATGCTAAGGCTGTATGAATATCTTCTATTTGAGCCACATTTGTTCAGTTATTTATTGATCTGAAACTGCATATCTCAACTTCAAGGTATGTGCCTTTTGAGACCTTTGTCTCGGTTTTTCTCTGTAAGAACGCATGAAATCTTTTGATATTCTTAGTCCTGAAGATAAGGGAATGACAAAACACAATGTTAATACAAAGTTTAAAAGATGGAGACGTGTTTACTGTTTCATGTTTATACCTGCTGCTCTTGCTCTTATCCTCTCTGCTGCTGCCATGTCCAAGTTCTCCTACAAATCATTTCTTGGTACTGAATCATTATACTCAAATCTGAATCCTGAGGTCCCAAATGGGAATCAAAATGAAATGATGACAACTGTACAAAATGTAATTCAGAAGATTCAAGAGGAACTGGACAAACTGAGGGAAACAGATGAAGACTCATCATCATCACCACTTATATTCCAACATGGTGCATTTCTTGCTGATATAGTAGGACTTCTTGAGTCAGTGGTAGCACCTCATCAGCAAAATGGTAGTTTCACAGTTCATCCTCTGGTGAGTAAAAAGAAGCAATCTGATGAACCTGCTGATTACTTCCTGCGAGAAGAGATTCGCAAGTATCTCAGGATCAAGCCCAACAGATTAGGAAAACAAAATTTTATGGGGGCAAATGCAACCTTCACCAGCATAGGACATGCGTGCTTTGCCATGAAGGAAGAGCTAGAAGAATACATGGATTATGATGTTGGTGAAATCTGCAATGATGACTGGAAACTAGCTCAAAAGCTTATGGTACATGGCTGTGATCCTCTACCAAGGAGAAGGTGCTTTTCAAGAGCTCCTAAGCTATACAATCAACCATTTCCCCTCAATGAATCCCTATGGAAGCTCCCTGATGATAGAAATGTTAGATGGAGTCAATACCGGTGCAAAAACTTTGCTTGTCTCGCCAACAACACCACTCACAAAGGATTCTTCAAGTGTGCAGACTGCTTCAATCTCACCAACCATGAGAAGCCAAGATGGGTAAGATTGGATGCTGATCAAAACCAGACAGCTGATTTCCTCATATCTGAGGTTCTTGGAATTAAGCCAGGAGAGATCAGAATAGGATTAGATTTCAGTGTTGGAACTGGGACTTTTGCTGCTAGGATGAGGGAATTCAATGTGACAATAGTTTCAGCCACTATCAATTTTGGGGCACCCTTCAGTGAAATGATAGCTCTTAGAGGACTTGTTCCTCTCTACTTGACTATAAATCAAAGGCTTCCATTTTTTGACAACACCCTTGATTTGATTCACACAACAAGATTTCTAGATGGGTGGATTGACTTTGTGCTCCTAGACTTTGTATTGTATGACTGGGATAGAGTTTTGAGGCCAGGCGGGTTGCTTTGGATTGATAGCTTTTTTTGCTTGAAGGAAGATATATATGATTACTTGCAGGCCTTCAATACTCTTAGATATAAGAAGCACAAATGGGTTGTTGTTCCAAAGCTTGATAAGGATGATCAAGAAATCTTCTTTTCTGCTGTTTTAGAGAAGCCTCCTAGGCCATTCAGGTGAACCTAACCTTATAGTGTTATCTTCTAGTCTATGCGGATCCCATCATTCTTTATTCTCGGTTGATGTTTGAGATATGTTAAATGTTGAATATAGCATAGCTGTCTTGTGTTTGTAAATTTTTGGAAATAACTGTTCAGTATAGTATATGTCGATAATGAGCTTCATAGTTCAAAGCCAATTCAATAACTCATGCTCTGTTTTACAAGATTGATTTTCCTGTTGTTTTTTCTTATTAGTCTCTCTCTTCCGATCTCCCATATTTAACAACGTATTACATCATTAATTAATCAAATTGGAAGTACTCAAAACCTTAGTGCTTAGGGTTTATGTATGTCTTGTCTGTATGTGATATTTGGGATTTGATTTGATATTGGACGGTGCTGTCAGATGTTAAATATTCTTGCCCACTCGAATTTGTTTAGGATTAGTAAAGGGAGAATCTAATAGCCTAAAACCTACAAAATTTTGGGGACGGCCACGTATGAATTTCACTATTTCTTTTTTCATCGATTAATGCGTTGTAGTAGTTGTATGCCGATAAAACGTATCATGATAAAATAATATATACACATACATAAAAAAAATTGAAGATCAAATTTTAAATATAAAAAGCATGAAAATTTTTATTTAGTTGAATAATTTTTAATTTTAATTATGTATATATAATTTGTAATAATTTTTTATCTTTTTCTATTCAAAATTATTATTTTTATTTATTTATATAGGCAAAAATTAAATAATATTATGTTAAATTTCATAAAATATATTTAATTTTCAGTAAAATTATTGAATCATGTAATTTTATCAATGATTAAGTATATATATCTAATTTGATTAACTTTTTATATAATTATACTATCAATGACTTTGATATTAAATATAATTTTAAAAATTAAATTAATAAAAATTATATTTAATATCAAAGTGTTATATTTATATGTTAACATAATTATTTAAGTTGAATAACAATATTAATATGAATATAATCAAGATATTTTTATATATTGTAAAAATGTTATATATATATATATATTTAAATATTTTCACTTGAAATCTTATTAATTTTTTAAATTTAACATATTAATATATAAATAAAATAAAAATCGTGTACTATTTACGCTAAAAATAAACTTGTATCTTGAATGTTTTAAAGAAAATTTATTCCACAGTAAATCATTGTTTGATTATTTTTATACTGAAGAAAATCAATTATATAGTAAATCAATAGGGTTGTTATAATTGTTTGTTGAATAAATACATAAAACAATATTAAATAACTAAATAAATAAAATGAAATAAAAAATTCTAACTATATATCAGAACAATAAAATGAATTTTGCGAAAAGGAGTAGGTGTCGGAGACTCCAAATCTGTCCAATGGATGGCCGCCACTTGTCCCCTGAGCTTTTTATCTGTCGGTCACTACTTTTCGAAAGCATCCACCGCCTTCTGAGTGAGTGACTGCACATCACTAATTCTCTCACATTCAGTAACTTTTTTTCTTTGATTTTGACATTCCTGAAAGAGACTAATAAATCTCCATAACTTTCTTAATTTAAATTAATTAAGTTAAATACTAATTATTAACTTAAAAATATTGAAAATATCATATATATATATATATATATATTCACTATATTTAAATATATTTTAACATAATTTTAATAAAAGAATTATATTTTAATTTTTTTACTAGCATTCTAAAAATATTTGTTGTAATTTAATTAATTTTCACTAAGATAAAAAGTATAAATTATACTTAGAATTTTAATTTTAATTAAAAAAACTTAAAATGCTGTAATTAAATTTTCTGCATAATTACCCCATTGTAACATGAAAAAGTTGTAATTTTTTACCGAAAGCTTTTTGAACAGCAAGCAAACATTAGCGCAGCATGCAGTACTATATGCATGATTCATTGTGGGGTCTTTTGAACGATAATCAACAAACGCCGTCAACTCGGACGGCGTGAGAGACCTCGACCATATCAAAACTCAAACGCCGTCTGTTCCGGATTCAAATTTCTCCCGAACCTGAGCTTCGGAATCCAAACCTCGTTGTGCACAACACTATAAAAGGAAACACCGAGCCCTTCGCACGCTACACCTCCGCAGCACGAACCGAAAGGGAAAAGCTTCAATTCCTGTATCAGCATTTTCGCATTTGAAGATTTAGGGTTTTCGGAGACAATGGCGGAGGAATCGGAGAAAACAGTGCCGCCGCCGAGTGGCGAATCGTTGCTTGATAAGATCAGCGAGAAGCTGCACGGCCACGATTCCTCCTCCTCCTCCTCCTCCTCCGATTCAGATTCCGATAAGAAGGACACTTCGTCCATTAAGGACAAGGTTTATCGGCTCTTCGGGAGGGAGAAGCCCGTTCATTCCGTTCTCGGCGGCGGAAAGCGTATGAATTTCTCTTTCTCTGTTTACACTGTTTACTTGTGGTTCCATTAAATATAGATCTGTGATATGAGCTGATTCATTGGAGTGGTTATATATATGGTTCACTGATCGGAGGAAAGTAGATTTTAAATGCTACATTTTGTTTAATTCTCCTTTTTCGATTGATTTTGTTGTGTTTCTCTATGTGATCGATTATTGAAAAGGCTGAATATGTCTCGAAATTTCTTTATTTTGCTATATTTATCGGGAAATCGAGTTAAGATATTTTAAGACGTGTCAATGCTAGAAAAATAGATTTGTAATGTAGCATTTTTTAAAAGTTCCATTTTTAGCTTATTGTTACTTCGATGTGGAATTCGAGTTGAATTTGAAATTTTTCGGTGCTAGATATTTATACTGCTGAATTAAAAGAGCATTTGCGTAGTTATCTGATAGGATTTTTCTTGGCAGTTATTTAGCGATTGATTCCTATCTTTGTATGGCATGCCCATCAACCATCTCATCCTTTTATTATATAAATCGGGATATCTTTGAACTAGACAACTTGTGAAAGACACGATTCTTATTTTCACCGCCTGAACATTGCTATATTGCGTTATACTTGAACAATTCTTATTTATTAGTTCGTGATTTACTTCTTAAGATGTAAGACTTGATATTCGGTTTTGTGTTTTTTATATTCTCTCTTATTTCTCTTTTTGTTAATCTTCAATTACAGCTGCTGATGTGCTCTTGTGGAGGAACAAGAAGATATCTGCTGGTGTACTCGGCGGAGCCACTGCTGTTTGGATCTTTTTTGAGTTGCTTGAATATCACCTGCTTACTCTAGTCTGTCACATTTTGATTTTGTTGCTTGCGGGTTTGTTTTTGTGGTCCAATGCTCATACCTTTATTCATAAGTAAGACTTGGACTTCTTAATCCATTGAACCAAGGTGTAGTCGCGTACTGCGATGCTTTTATCTAACCAATTTTCATGTAATAAATAATATTGCAGGGCTCCACCTCGCATACCAGTTGTTCATCTTCCTGAAGAACCATTTGTCCAAGTTGCATCTGCGTTGAGAATTGAAATCAATCGTGGATTTGCTGCCCTGCGTACTATTGGCTCTGGAAGAGATTTGAAGAACTTCCTCCTTGTATGTATCCTGTGAAATTCTAATTTCATTCATGCACGTTAAATATCTTTTTCAGAAGTAATTTTCATGGATTTTGTGGGCTAAATAATACTTCAAACTCAGGATTTTAACAGTCAGACTACCATTTGCTGTATCGATTGTTCCTAATTAATTTAGCTTAGTTTAGCAACTTGTAAGACTAAGACCTGAACTATCGTTGTCACATGATTGTCGTTTGCTGAGCATTCTGTTGGTGACGTTATGTTAGGTTATTGTTTGCTTGTGGATTCTGTCAATTGTGGGTAGCTGCTGCAATTTCTTGACCTTATTCTACATTGGTAAGAATAATTTATTTTCCTTTTATATATAAAGTTTTAGAAGTTGTAAACATGAAATATGAAATAATGAAATTTTACTGATTTACATAATCTTCATTTGCAGCTTTTGTTTTGTTGCACACTGTACCTGTCTTGTATGATAAATATGAGGATAAGATAGACCCTCTGGCGGAAAAGGCAGCCGTTGAGATTAAAAAGCAGTATGCAGTGTTTGATGCAAAGGTCTTGAGTAAGATTCCGAAAGGGCCGTTGCAAGGCAAGAAGTTAGCTTAGTTAAGTTTTTTGTTTTGCTAGAAGCATGTCGATTTTGGTGGTTACAACGTTTGTTGGATTTGTAGTCTTCAATCCGTAATTATTTCTGTAAGCTTAAAATATGTTATGGTTTTTACTCCTGATAAGAATTTTTGGTATCTATTTTTTTTGGTTACGGATTTCAAGATCAGTTTATTTCCTGATGCATGTTACTTTAAAATCAAGGAAAAAGGTGCTCTGTTTAAGGTGATATTCGTCGTTGAAATTTTTGTAGTTATTTAGGTTTGGATTAAATTTATCTATTATTTGATGTACTCTTCTGTGCGGTACCTTAAAATTAAAATTTTTTTATGGATATTTAACTCAATTTATACCAATAGAAAGATACGTGATAAGTTAAAAAAAATATTATTATATATATATTTTAAAGACTTAAATATTTTTTAATTTATTTAAATATAATAATTTATTATTTAAATACGTATCTAAATATTATTTGTTAAAACTTTTTATATACGTTACTTTGAAAAGTTTTTAAGGATAATATAGAATTTACCTTAATTTTTTTGTTTTAATGAGTGTTTTTCAATTTAATAATCTATAATATTATAAAATTTAAAAGTGATAGGGTCAAGTAGGAAAAACATAAATAATAAATAAAGTAAACGGAACTACTGTTATAATTCCTTTGTGTTGATGTTTGAAGCATTCGACATTATAAAGAAAAGGAAATGGCGGTAGGTTTAAACAGAATTTGTTTAGATGAAGATTATCGCGGTGGTAAAAATACTTGACGCATAAAAGCTGTTAAATTAGCACGCTCGATAAAATTATTAAGATGATAAATATTTTTAAGTAAATTTCAAAATTTATATTAAAGTCTGTACGATATTATTTTAATTTTTTTTTCATTTCTTATTTTATTTCCCATAATTATTTATATTTTAAAATTATCACACATAATTTCACAGGTAATTTTTATTATTAAAATTTTAAAAATGAAATCAATTATCTTACAAATCACGTCGTGATGTACGAAAATTTAATGGAATTGACGAGTTTAGGTTGATACGATACGGTGAAGTAACTTAGTCTTGTCAATTCGGAATTCCTTACAACGATTTCATGATGATAAAAAAAAAATATCTAGAGACGAAATGCGTAAAGAACAAAAATTTAAAGTTTAACTGGCGATATTCAAATCATTTTCTGACCACAAAACTTGATACCAAATTAGGTCACAATCATTTTTTTCAATGAGGATGCATAAAATAAATATCAAATTTTCAGCTACCTATCTTCCCGACATAAAGTTGTACAAGACGAAGGTTTGTTATCAAAATTTGATAAATACCAAAGGGATCGTATCGCATGATACATAAACAGGTAAATCATTTCGTAGAGAAGAAAATATGCATCACAAAATAGAGAATATATATAACTGCGAATTGGTTGAAATATAAATTGTATCATATATACATTAAAGAGATGGAAACGATGTTATATGACATCTACTTCAGGATAATTTTCCAAAATTCCAAAATTATATACGTGAAGTCAAACGAGATGCCGAAGCCAATGGAAAGAAAAAGACTTTGGAAGTTCCCTCTCCCCCCTTAAGTGAAAAAAAGACACTCATTTTGAATGTGAAAGAATTAAATTGAACAACAACGCATGCCTATAATTTTTTAGAAGCAATGATATATACCTTTGTTTAATTGCGTACTCTAATGTGTATTCAGTATCTCGGAAGCAGGTTTGAAACAGCAGTTTTATCATCAGATGATGAAAGGGGAACTGTTGAGAACTCAGAATCAAAATGTTCATAATGCTGAAAATTACCACGAGGGGGAGGGCTGATGTTTTGATCATTTGAAGTAATTGGAAAATAAGATGCAGTTCCAGTACCGAACCTCCGATTGGAAAATGGTGGAGTGGAAGAGATATTTGGACTTTTTTCATGTGCGACTTCCGCGACATTACCTGCTGTATTTCCTGATGATTCTCTCCTCTCTCTTTCTTCCGTTTCCTTGAGAAGAAAATCAACCCACAGATCTGCAAACGACTGCAAGGAGAAAAGAAGTAAACTTAGAAAAGCATCTGCTGGCATTACATAAAGCAGAAGATGGTTCACCTAAGGTTGTGTCAGGGAAAAAATCATTGGTTTGATTTTATAAAGTACACAACTAGATAACAATCCATAGAATCAAGTAAATCTATAACCTCAATTTTATCACCAAAACTGAAAAGATTAAGCCAGATGAAAATAAATCACCTGGTTATCAGACCCTGCATTTGCAGCTGCTTCAGTCGATTTGCCTCCCAAGATGCCTCCAACCAGGCGACCAGGTAGCCCAAGAACTCCACGAACAACACCTTTGCCTGAACCTTGTTGAGCAACACCTATCCTTTGCTTATCCTCATCAGAGAATCCAAGCATGCGAACCATAAGATCCAAAACCTGCCCCAAATATAATAAACATTTAAGCACAGGATCAATTTACATAAAACATCCCAAAAATCAGATAAAATAATAGAGCCAACATCAGCAGTACAAGTTAAGGAAAGCACACATAACTGGCTGCAAGTCAACAAATGCAAGCGGAGAAGAGAATTTGCAAACATCTACCAATGTTGCATGCATCTGTCTTACCACCAATTTTACGAAGCCTTTGCTTTTCCTGGCATTCTAATCATTTCGTCACATAGACCCAGTGGATATAATAACTATTTACAATGCATGATTGGACGAGGTTATTTCAGGATTAAAAAAAAAAGATTTTTTTACTGCTCCCCGAGAACTTAAAATAAAGGCGATTATTTCCAGTGATTTCAAATGAACAAAACATGACTCAGTTAAAATGCTAATCTCATATATCATAAATTTGGTATTAAATTTGAATACATGAATTTGCACTCTACCACCGCCTCCAGCTTCCATACACGTGCACACAAATTATGCCAGTGTTGAGCATAATAAAGGATGTGTTGTGCAAAATAAAGGATATGGGGTTTCATTCCAGATCCAGTCAAGAACAACGCATCTAAAGCAACCAACATTAGAAGATTTTCATACCTCTGTGCTGTGATTTCTCTGGAAATATGTTACAAGTAACTTTATCACAATGCGCCTGCAACCAATAGAATTTAGATTAGTATAATAATTTACTATCTCAAACAAAAAGCAACATAATGACAGAAATTGTTGCAAGTCTAAATTCATCAAAATTTCATATTTAAAATATTCCAACATTAACCAGAGAAAATTAAAGAGAGATTGTAGCGGATGTCCTCTGCAGGAAATTTATCAGTTTACTAGAAGAACATGATTGAGCAAATGTTGGAAGAAAAACATACTATGAAATATGAACACAAACAGGCTAACCTGTCAACAAGATAATCTGAATCCACTGACATTCTATTCAACCGTGTCATACTCTGCTCCAGAGCTCGCCTCAATTTGGCATTGTCATCCTCAAGCTTGCTTACTCTACTTCTCCATTCAGTTTGTGCCTTCTCAGATAGTGAAAGCTTGGTTAGAATTTCTTCTTTTTCATTCCTTGATACATCTGCTCTGTGATCAGCATCCTGGTAATAGCAATAACCATTTAATCCACAACTTACTAAATCAGAAATGCCAAGATGACGACAGTACATCTGCTAACACTACAAAGGATTTATAATTAGCCTTCAAGAAAATATTGTATTAATGTAACAACTTAGATATTTAATTTTATTAAAGTATTAAACAACAAATTTGAAAAGTAAAAAATTAAATTAAAGAATGAAAAGCATATTTTTTTGCCAAAATATTTTTATTTCAAACTCTAAAAAAATTATCAAAAATATAATGGAAAAGATAAAGAGTAACAAATCCAAAGGTTTTCTATATCTTTAAAAAAAACCACCCGACATGTCAAAACAAATAAAATAATTTATGTGTACATTTAAGAAGTGTAAATAAATACTATAACAAATAAATAACACAAACTTAAGTCATACAATTATTATACTTTAAATATGTGTCTTTTCTCCACAGGTTCTACTTTGTAAGATTTTAAGGATGTCTATATTGATTTTATTAGCAATAAAACTATTTTAAATTAATGGATTTCTTTTAAATATTTTGATTATAAGAGTTTTTAATGCTACTAATTGAAATTAATGTTACTAATTGAAGTATGAACTAAATATATTTTTATTATAAAAAATTCAAAATGTAACAAATAGGTGCCCCAATTAGCATAAAGTAGTAACAAGAGCACATTCAGATTATCCATTTATCATTTTTAGAGACAGAGAGAGTCTTACTTTTAAAAGTTGAGAAAGCTTAGCTGTTTCTTCTCTTGCACATGCCAACTCCCTTTCTAAATGTTCCTAAGGAACAAAAATATAGAGCGTGTAAGCTTACTCAATATAACTAAAGACAAAAGCACACAGACTTAAAAAATAATGACATAAAAATATATGAAGGAACTGTACAAACAAAATGAAAGAGGGCGTGTGTTAAAAACCCAACTACTGTCTGTTAATTTATCAATAAAGGAAAACACAGAGAGATATTTTTGTACCTTGGCTTCAATTTCAGCATAGTACTGTCCTAGAGCTGTTTGCAGATTTAAAAGTTCAATATTTTTAGCATCTATAGTGCTCATACAGTTTCTAAGCTTCTTGTTCAGGTCATCAATGGCCTCCCTAGAGTTGAGAATTTCACTGCTGTTTGCCATCTTCAGTTCCTCCTGACTTGCAATTTCTTGCTTCAAATTTCTCTCAAGATGCGACACTTGAGCTCTTAAATAATTATTGCTATCACGTAGCTCTTCAATGATTTTGCTGTCTTCATCCATTTTTTCTGATTCTTCATATTCCTAGTTAAATCAGTGAGGAAAACAATGTTGATGCTGCAGAAAAATAGATATACTAAATCTATTGAGGACAAATGCAATTGTAAATCATTCACACTCAGATAATTATGGAGAAAAAAATGATAACAATGCAGTAAATATTATAACAGAATAGAAGTACAGAATGAAAGCAACCAAACCATGACCACAAATCATTCTATTAGGAAAACTAAAAGGTAGTTAAATTCCAGAAAACCACCTACTATTAAGGTTCATATTTAAAAAGAGTGCAGAGCAGCAATCAGGAGAGTTCAATGATTAATCTAACAGATTGCATTAGACAATCAAGGAAAATTAAGTTATTTGTGTAAAATATTTCCAGTAAGGCAATCAAGGGGATCAGGAGAGAAAGCTGACCTGTATGACCATCAGGAAGGAGTTAGGGAGGAGATAAAAGCACAAAAATAGACAAGTATACAGCAGTAAAGGAGAGTGCAGGGCCTATTGCATAAGCTTTGTTTTACAGTTTCAGTCTTTATCATTCATTGTAAGGGGATAATACAGTAGATTTACCCCAACTACGAGTATTTTGATTCAGTTTGTAACATTGTATAATAAACTATACACAACTTTGTTCGGTCGTTAGCAAGAATACAAGCCTGGTAAAAAATATATTAATATATAATTGATATACACACAAATGAAAAATTAACACAATTGAGTCATTATCTGTCTGGTGAATGTCATGCTTACACATCATTGGTTCCACTTTAAAAAAATTAAGATACAGACATAAAGTAAAAAAATGAAACCTTTGCCAGTAAATGCTGTTTAAGGCGTTTCAATTCTTGTACTGCTTTGTCCTTATCCTGCAGTGTTTCCTTCAAATCTTTAGTTAGCTTTTCTAAGGATTTTTCCATTTCTTCCTTCCCTGGAAAACTTTTGGAATGATCTGGCATCTGTTATGAGAAGCCAATGGCCCAATCCCCAAAAAGAAAAGAAGAAAATAATTATTAGCAAGGATTTGAATGCATAATCTGTAAAGTGCATACTACTATCAAGTTTTGGCTCACATCACTGATACTTCTTGAATTCTTTTTCTGAATATGTGAAGCATCATTGAGCATCATTTTATCAGTGAAAGACTTCCTGCCATTTTCAAGAGCAGCCTCAATTTCATTCTTTTCCATCTAAAAACAAGGAGAACAGGTCCATATTAGATTGCATTCAGAAGAAAATAATACAAAAGCATCATTATGAATTTTAGCCAAAAAAAAAAAGAAACTTTTTCATGTTGCAGTCAGATGTAGTAATTATAAATATACCAACCTTAAGAGTGGTATTTTCTTCCTCTAAGGTTTTGATAAGTCTTTTCAAGCCATCCATAGCCTCCACTGCCTCATTTTCTCGTCTGGTCAACTCAAATTGCAGATGCTTTATTTCTGATACCTTCTCATTCAATTCATTATGTATTTTACTCATCTCCTTCGATGTCTTCAAAGAAATAACATAACATATGTATGTGTTAGATAACCAAAAGCTATATAACCCAGCCCATGGCAAAGAAAAATTACAAGATTCCATGGCAATACCCCTCTTGCTCAATGATGCAATGGAAAAGATTAGAATGTCTTGTAGGCCATATACTGATCATATTATTACTTATCAGTTTAAAAAAGTATAATCCAAAGAAAAAAAATTATAAGATGATGAAGAATTAATAAAAGCAGTCCATGTTCTCATTTAGTTTATGTCCATCTATTTGATATTCAAAGATAAATAGATGAATTTCAAATTTGGATTGCTTTTCTGAATTCACAACAGCGAGGCATTTTTTCAAAACTTTTTTGGCAAAAAGCAGATTAGTATATTCCTTTGATACATCTATTGATAGTTTGATACTAAATACCATTATTTTGTGTACATCCAAACTTTATATATATATATATATAGAGAGAGAGAGAGAGAGATATTGTCCAATATTTAGTGAGTGTATTATCAGTCTTTTAACAATAAAATGAATAAAAACCACAATTTGAAAGGGTATAAAATTACTAAGGTGTTTTTGATTGAACGTTCTGTAACATCACAGCATGTTTCATCACATAAAGAGCCAAAGTGATCAACAATGATAAAAGTATCACATACAAAAGATGTCCCAGAATACACAACAATGAAACATTCATTTCATATTTGCAAAATTTGCCTTATCTCCACAGTGCTCTTTAGTTTGAAAGTATGTTCCTTCAAATAATATCAAAATAATCAGTTTGTTATCTCAAGAAACTGCAAAGAAAATATATATGTCTACCGTAATATAAATACTCACTTTGTCTCTTTCCAACTTTAATATTTTAAGCTCCTCTCCAAAAGATTTGTTCAATTTCTGTTCCTCTGACATCAAAGAAAGAATCACAATGTCAGGAAAGTTCATGCTGAGACTTGAGATACAATTTAGACATTCCACAAGCAAAATAAAAATACCTTGGAATTTTAGACGAATGTTTCCCAATTGATCACGTTCTTGCTCTATTTCTATCTTCAACTTTTGTATATCTGGCGATTGTTGTATAGCTAATGTGGTATTTTCATCAACCAGATCTGCGAGCTCCTAGAAGGCATTCATACATCTGTTGTCAAGTTCACTCATCACTAAAAATAAAAATGTAAAGCTATCAAAATGTTATAAATCAAAACAACCAAGAAAATAGTAGAACTTTATGCATTATACAAACACACAAAAACAAAATTATAAGCTACGTCCACTGGGGAGAAAAAAAAAAGGTGCACTTCATGCTGAGGAAACCTTGAAAATCAGGACATAAAATCAAAAACAATGAATTAATATATCAAAATCACAGACAAGGAATATAAATGAACAGCAGAAAATAGTCAATTTCTTGTGTCGATGAATTATGTAAGGAGAACCAGAAATCAAAGGTATTATTACCTTATAATTTCCTTGTAAATTTGAAAGTTGAAATTCCATCTTACTTTGAACAGCATCAGATTCCAAAGAAGACATGGTTCCATTGTTTATAGCATAACGATTTTTCCGTTGCATGTTAAACTTATGCTGTCGATTGGGTGATTGGTCACTACTTCCCTGCGCAAATATTTTTAAGTAGTCAACATGAATCTTTATTCCTTAGTTATCTATCAAGGTCAAACACATATAAGCAAATACTATTAATTACATTATATTGTGTTCCCATACTTGGGAAGGAACAAAGCAATATGACAAGCTTAAAGACACACTCTCAAGCACTCCATAGATATACACGTCCTACCAACCCATGCTAGATAACCTAAAACAAGACAAAATTCTAAGAATTAAGGAAATTTGCATTTTTCCACAAGAATGATAAATGTATGACCAATTTTTTTTCCTCAAATTACTTGTAACTTGCATCGATCTAAACATCATGATGGACAAAAAAGTCATGCATAAAACAATTTAAAAATCATGATCGAAGAGCTTTCTAAATTCTAATACCATGGTTTTCTTTTAAAAAAAAGGACATCCTAAGAAACCATTGGCTTTGAAAGCATGAAAGCCACAAAGAAAATCCTATCTCAGATTTATTGGTGTATATCTCTAGATGGAGACTCAAGGCACCGCAAAAGATCATAAGAATCTTCCCACCTTTCCCCTACCAAAACCTTGGAAACAAACAAAAAAAAGTTGCAATTTCAGCAAGGCCAGTCCCCATTAAATAAACAGGAAGTATATGTTAAAGCAGCCAATTATCTTAAAAAAAAAATTAAAGCTAAAATGTATGAACCACTAAAAATAAACAAAACAAAAATGTTATAGCAGCACAAGACCATTTTAATATAGTTATATTGTATGCCCTTTCATGATTCTAGCCACAACATATCTCCATAAAATGAGAAGTGTGTTCAGAATAGATTTGCAGCATTCTATCGATCCTTTTCTTTGAACACATTGAATGTTATGCTATCTTCCTGCTTAGGCTCAAAGTCCAAAAACCAAACATGAATAAAAACTGAGACATGACAATTGTATTGCCAGTCAAGCATCCTCATTAGAGAATAAATTTCACCAGAAACCAAATAAAAAGGAGGACCCCCAGCACAGGTTTTAAAAAAATTACATTAAACTTGCCACAATAAAGTTTTAATTAGAATACAGTAATACCCTGAATGTATAAGCACCATTTGAAGATGCTCCAGAACCTTCAATTTTGGAGACACTTAGAGCAGCACTTGTGGCCTCCAAATTCTGCTTCAGAGAGCCATTTTCTTTATTTAATTTAACAATCTGATCCTGCAAAGGAAATGATTGGATGATGAATTTTATCAAAGGCCATTTATGAAAAAAATTTATTCAAAAACTAAGATAAATTGTTAAGTGACTATTAATGGAACTTCTCTGAGAGAGACCATGTCATGAAGATATAATTCTAAAATGTTTTGAAGAAAATTAAAGTCCACTTGCTTTGGGGGAAGGGATAAAGGATCAGAGGTTTACTTTAAAAAGCACAAAATCCAGAAAAAAAAAAGTATATATATATATATTGATATTAATTCTAAATGATCCATAGTTGCTGAGATCACTTTCAAAACACAAAAGTTACATAGAACCAACAATAGTTCTTCAAAAAGGTACAGAAGACACCCTGGTTAAATGAAATTAAACTCAATCAGTATGCAGAATAGACAAATTGATGAATCAAAATTTTTTTTGGCAGAATCTAAGAGAATTGCATAATTATTTAGCTTTAACATGTGAAACTAGAAATAAAATCTACAGAATACAGACCACATGTACATTAATTACATATATTCTGGAAAGTAATAACATATTAACAATACCTCTTTGTCTTTTAATAGAGCTGCATAATTAACTGACAATGCTTTAATTTCTGCCTCAGAAGCGCGAAGTTTCTTGATTTCTGCTTAATTACATATATTCTGGAAAGTAATAACATATTAACAATACCTCTTTGTCTTTTAATAGAGCTGCATAATTAACTGACAATGCTTTAATTTCTGCCTCAGAAGCGCGAAGTTTCTTGATTTCTGCTTTGTATTGTTCTATCTACAAGTACAAGAGTATTGAAATGACATCTTTTTCTTTCAGGTTAAAGACTGGTATCTTATTTAACCATACCACAACTAGAGTAAGGAAAGTTAAGGGGCAAACAAGTTACAAAACCCTTAGTACACTGCAATTGCATACATTGGTAACAAAAATTCATTAATTAACCTACTGCTAATTTTGATGTGGAAGAATGACAAGTTGACAATGTTATGGAAAGAAGAAAGAGGTGTTTTTACTTATTTTACAATATAAAAACACAACAACAAAAATCAAGTCTTATCCTAACAAGTGAGATCAGCTAAAAAACTATTGTAAAAAAAAGGAACACATACGTCTTTGATCTACGGGCAATTTAACAGGCATTATCTATCTATACATAAGTCAGTTTCGTAGTAGCTTGAACATTATCCTAATTAGTTTCTTTAGAATAATTGCTTAGCAAACATTCAAAATTAGTACTTAAAAATACAGCATCCGTCATACTAGTTCTTAAATAATGAAAATTACACCAGTGTTCTTAAATATACATTTAGTCATTAAATTAATCCCTAAAATCTAAATATATACTCTGTCGCTCATATTGATCATAGAGACTTTACGACGTGGATACTAATTTGACCGAAGAAATCCATATTCAACTTCAAGTACGAGAAGAGTAATTTTCCCTCGGGAACCAAAATGACCGACGCTATATACCTCTAGTATTTGCTCAATATTTATTTGTTCTATAAATGTTTTTTCTGTTTCCAACTCAGGAAACAGCACCAAGGGAATTGCAGAAATAACATGATGCATCAAAACTGAAAACCAAGACCTCCTTCATTGCAGAAGGATATATGTGCTTGATGCTTGTTAGGTTCACTTACTGATCAACGATTCACACGCATTCCTAGCTATAGGTCAATAATAGTTGAATGCTTCACTCGATTAACGAAGCTACTACGCACACTACACAATTTAGAGAGAGAGAGAAAGAGAGAGAGAGAGACCTCGGAAACAGAAGCATGATCGATGCCATTTGTGAGCGGTGACCTAACTCCCGATTTGGAATGGGCGGAGCCGTGAGAACTCCGGCGATCGGAGATGGCAGAGTTGTCGCCGTTGGCAGGACTTCCGGCGGCGTACATGTGGAGAATCTCGTCGTCGTCATCGTCATGAACATCGAGAGCGATCTTGTCCAAATTCTCCTTCAAATTGGCAATGTTGCCCCACATGATTCAAATCCCAAATGCACCCCCGAAAATTGCAGTGAAGGATTATATAGATAGATGCAATTGCTTTGTGTTTAAGCTTTTTAAATTTAACTTATTAATATTGGTTTTCGGGGAATGGAGAGGGATTGAATCTGTGAAAGTGGGCACTGCAATGTGCAACCTCTGGTAGATCTCAGATGAGAGGAGAGAGAACTCTTCGTTTTCATTACATTCCGGTTTTTTAATTTTATTTTTTTTTATTACAAGATTTATTTTATTGGTTAATAGTACATTTATGTTTTTGCACCACGTCGTGTGATTCGTGTAGAGCTGCTGCATTAATTGTTAATGCAAAATCAAACAAATAAAAAATATTGGAATGTTTGATTTATTTTTACTTTTTTATTTAGTTACAATGTTTTATAATTAATTACAAAATGTAAATTTTTATTATTTTATTACTTTTAATAAAAAAATTATTACACAGTACCAAATAAAAAAAATTAAATAACATGACATTATATGAATAACATGTTTTTTAATGTAAGTATGTTTTTGAATGAATATATGCTTGGTATGTAGAGGATATGTTTTTAAAAAGTAAACAAAATATATGGAGACATAAAAATATAATTTGAACTGATATTTATTAATCCACGTACTAAAAAAAAACACTCTTTTTCTATCATATTTAGCAGGGTTCACCGTCCAAAAACAATGAAATCAACTACATGCTTTAAAAAAAAAAAAACTAATTTATAAAACATTTGCTTAAGATGAGACAATAAAGGGGATGAGCTTTCTCTAAAATATTATAAACAAGAGGTAGCTAACACATCTGTTGAAGATTGTATGTTTTCGTGGAGCACACATTTTTCAAGCTTAATTTGAACTTACATATATGCATTTTTTTATTAAAAATATATTATATTTAAATCATAAAAATAAAAAATATTTAAAATTTATTTATTTATTTATCTCTATATAATTTACAGATATTAATTCTTTAACAAAAGTATTTATAAGAGATATTTTGGGAGTATTTTTATTTAATTTTTTTTCTCTTGTACTATGTCACATTTTATATATTAAATATTTATTTTTTTTACTTAATTTAAATTTAAATGTTATATTGTTTTATTTTTAAAATATTAGTTGTTTATTTAATATAATAAAAAATTATCATTAATAATAATATTTTATTGATATAATATACTAAAAATTATTAAATATATTCAAATTTCCATTTAAAGTTTTTTTTAAAAAATAATTATCCTTACAGTTTACAGGAAATTAATAAAACCGTTCAATACTGGGAAATGCGGGTTCCCCTGGCGTTAAACCAAAACGCTCTCTATAAAAGGAGCTAACTGCGATCGAATATAGGGCTTGAAACCTTGTATTCATTATTAGGGTTGTAGGTGCCGCCGCTCATTCCTACATCACCTTTTTAATTCGTTTTATCGAACAATTACGATGCAATGAAGATAAACAGAGTAACGATGGACATCCTAACCATCGATTGTGGATCTGTTCGCAAAATGATTCCTTCTACTCTTATGGTTCGTATTCACTGAGCATCATTTCAACGTTTCTCTCTTTCTCGTTTTTTTCTTCTTTCAATTCCCTCTAATCGAAGGTTCCTATGGAGGAAGCGCTGTAAGTCAGTGCGCTTTTCTTCAAGTTTGCCTTCGGAGATTGAATCGAGATCTTATATCCTGAGAAGAAAGAGTCCTGCTTGTCGCTTGGATCTACTTTTGATACGGTTCTCTCACATTATTATAATTATTATTAATGCGAAGGTCCCAGCAGAGGGGCGAGTAACTCTTGTTGTTGAGGCCTCTCTAACCATGAACTTTGATACCCTTCGCATACTTAATCGCCGAATCGTAGGATGCCCAAACTTTTTTTGATTTTTGGTGCATCTGGAACCCTCGGCTATATCCTAAAATATATGTTGTGTTTTATTATTCACTCTACTTTTCGTACTTGCAGCTAATTCGTTCTTTATTTTTGTGATAAATGCGTAGAACTCACTCTCCATACATACTTAAAAGTAGACGTGGTGGTTTGTTAATATGAAAAAAATTGAAATCCTATGCCCAGATTCGATCCTTTTTTTTAGTAAGGACTTGGTGATTCTCTCTTTCTAAAAATTTATCTCAATTTTTTTCTGAACAAGAAATATAACTAAACCCAACGAATCCTTAAGGAAAAAAAAAGGAATAAAGAATCAAGAAAAATAAAACTATTGAATGTGTGATAAAAACCAAAATCCTCTTTAAAATGCTGTTTTCAGGAATGACCTCCACATTAATTCTTGAAATTTCTTGTACGAGTCTAATATTTTAACTTTTAAAATTTAATAAAACGACATTCGTTTTAATTTTTTAATATAAAAGACAATAAAAGATAAAAACAAATGATAATTAGAAAGTTTTTAAAAGCTCAAACTACAAGAGTAAAGCTAAATAAAAATGAATGATATTTATAGTTTTAATCTATTACTTGTGGCAGAAGCCGTGCCATTAGTCCATGCAAGGCAAAGAAAGCACAGAACTAACAGCTACTAAAAATATTTCCATCGGGAAAACGTAAAAGCAGAAGAGTGAAGCTTAGAGATTCACGAAAGTGTTTGAAGGAGGAAGTGGAGGGGAGGAGGAAGGATTTAAAAAGAGAAGAAGGAAGGGGAAAAGGAGGAGGTAGAAAGTTTAATAAGGGAGAGTGATGAAAAGTTTAATCATATAAATGATATTATTATATTTTATATTTATAATTTTATAATTTTTTAATTTTATAAAAAATAAATATTTTTTTAAAATTAATAATTTTAAAATTAATATTTTAATTTTTTTTTAAATCATTACTTGAAAAATTAACATTTTTAAAAAAAATTAGAATCCAAAATAGTATGAGAAAGAAAATCTCCTAAAGTAAACTCAAAAAATCAGTTTTCAAAGGATTTTGAAAAGTTTAGAAAAATTCTCCAAAACCTTCTCTTCATAATTATATAACTTTCAAATAAGATTAAATTACTTCTAACTCCTCTCCTCTCAACAGCCTAAAGTTTTACTCTATTTCTATGCTTACATTAACATGTCATCCTGTGTGCGATTTTAATTGCAAAAATTATTTGTTCCGGAAAAGAGATACATACAAAACAGAAATTCAAGAGACCAATCGCACCATATACCACATAATATAGATTATAGTTTTCTCTAGTCAATAAACGGACAGCAATAGCACAAAGCAAGCAGGACATGGCAGATCTGTTCATCATATCTTAGCATTCCTTCTATTAACAAGCCCACTCTCTATTGCAGACCAGCAACCATCTTTGGAAGATTCATATTCGGACTCATATCTCCGACAGGTCAATAGTAAACAAAATTGTTGGCCAAAAAGGGTACCCAAGTCTTCCATGGAAAAATGCTCCCAACCATGGGCATTTCAATTAACTTATAGATGTATAATAGAGTATCATAATATTGTTTTGATCATGTAGTCAACCTTACCAAATGAGAAAAGGCCTTATTAAAGGACACTAAGTCACTAACATGTCTTTCACAATCGAAGGTCTAGCAATGAAAGCCAAATGCTTCTTTTTCAGGGAGCAAAGCAGAGAGAGAAACTCTTGGACTAAATTCACTACAAAGTCCACAATATGTTAATGGGAAACTTCCACAAATGGAAGATAAACAAAATGCATAGATGACGACAGAGCAAATTACATTTACCTCGCCAATATTTAATTTCTAAGACAGAGACTGCTGGTTTATTTTGTTATACACAGACAGATAGACCCCCGGCAAAAGCAACGCAAAATAACAAAATCAAGGGAGGTCAATGCAATATAAAAACCAGTGTGTTTTTTAAGGTTTCGTATACCTCCAGAGTGTCAATGTAATTTACTCATGATAGTATGTCATAATCTGCTCAAAACTTTAGAATTACATTTGAATCCTTCATCTCCCAAGGAGCGTTATTTCCTCTATGTTAGAATTGCAATGGAATCCTTACTCTCATCAGGAGAATTTTCCCCCTTAGTTGATTCCTACAAATACCAGAAATTATTCCAGCATTTTTGTAAGAGATATCAAATTTCTAGTAAATATGCCACCACTATATAGTTCATGTGTTAAAAGTTACAAAAAGCATAACGATCTGATTTTTATTTTGCTCACCGGCACAAGTTAACACCAGTATCAATTGGCCAGAGTTTAACATCTCATTCTAAAATCTAAAATGTATAATTTCCAAATGATGAAGAAAAAAATACCTGAGGCTAAAATTCCACATACAATCCATTCAAACATGGATAGGAAGAACAAAAATTTAATAAAAAATCAACTTAAAGGCATTACAATTCTGCACCAAAGTCCAGGGAAAAAGAGATTTTAAAGTGAGAAAATTACAAAGTCTTTCTTTAACATATACATACATAAGCTCAAATTTTATATGTAACAAAGGGGCTAAGTGCCTGAAAATATTAATTTTATGATTTCATTTTTGTTTCCAATTATAAGTTTACAAATGATAATTGACTAGTGGGCAAGCGTATGTTGTAACAAGCTAGCATTGTTTCTTCTATCTATATGAGGACTGCCATTCATAATCATTAAGAACTACAGTATTGGAATGAAAGACTCAACTTCAAGAACTCTAACTTCATACTATTTGAACTTCATGAATACACATAAACCCTTAAATCATTGAAAACTCATCAGCAAGTAAATTATTCCACAGTGTAATGACACAAGATACCAACTATACTTAAAACAAAACGAGTATTGAACAAATAAAAAGTACCCCCTGATTCAATAAACAAAATGACTACATCCTCAAACACAACAGGTACAAAGGAGAAAATTTTGACCTCTCTTCCTGCCTAGTGAATATTCATCCTTCACCAACTTCAGATGGTGTCTTTGCCACAATTGACAAGGCATGTAATCCAGATTGCATCTCCTCTTGCAGTAGGCTATAGATAAGCCTATGCCTCTTAACTAAACTCTTCCCTTCAAACTCTTTAGACACCACCTTAACATTGAAATGGGTCTCACCATCACTGCCTCTAACACCAGCATGCCCCGCATGCTGATAAGACACATCTTCAACTTGCAACTCAATAGGTTTAAGCTCCTTCTCGAGCTTCTCCTTAATCCTCTTCCCCCTCCCTCTCAATTCAACATCCTCATTCCTATCCACCTCAGAACCCAAACCAACATCTGAACCAGGTGATGATGATGGTGTAACAGCATTATCAACTTCAGAACTGTGTCCACCACTTGAATTCTCAACAAAGGTATCAGCTTTTGATTCAGGGCTTTCATTTGAGCTCAATTCAGCACCCTTTTCAGCTTCCACATAGAGCATAAGAGCCTTTCTCTGCATTAATTTGAGCATATTCAAGAACCCATTATTCCTAGAAGGAGTTAAACTCTGCTGTAACCCGAGAAGGGTGACAAAATCGGGCGTGACTCGAATGATCTCGGAAACAGGCCTACCCGAAAAGCCCTGAACGAGCAGGGCAGCGAGACCCTTGGTGAGGACAGAATCGGAATCAGCTTCGTAGACAACATTCTTGTCGTTGTCGAGGTAGGCTCGGACCCAAACCTGTGAAACGCAACCTTCGACCTTGTTGTCCTTGCTCTTGAACTTGGCATCGAGAGGTTTAAGGTTCTTGCCGTAGAAGAGCAGTTGCTCGTACTTCGCCTTGGGTTCCTGCACTGATTGGAAGAGCTTCACGATTTCTTGAAGCTTCGGAGGAAGCTCTTCAATGGGTTGGAGAGAAGTGGTGGATGAAGAAGATGATGATGACGACTTCGTTGGAAGTCTCTCGAAGGAGATGAGTTTGAAGGAGAAGGGGGATTTTTGAGGTTTTAGAAGAAAAGTTGGGGTTTTGAAGAGTGGGTATTTGTCGTAGAGGGAAAGAGGGATTCTGCTTGTGACCAATCGAAACGAACACGATGAAATGGAACTCGTAGCCATGGTTGCAGTTACAGCTATTACAACTGTACCAGAAAGCGAGAGAGAATTATTGTACTTCATTGATGCCTAGCCCAAGAAGAACGCAGACTTGTGAATTTGGGCTCGGCCCATTTAAATTTATATTATTTTCTTAATTTATATGACAAAATTGATTTCTGACCCCAAAAATATGAAAAAAAATATGTATATTAAATTAAGTTTATTACAAAAATATATGGGAATTATAAGTTATTTTTGTAGACTCTCATAAACAGATAGGATTGTTTCATAAATCATAATGATACAAAGAGGAATGAAGTTACATTAGTTTATAATCATTGATCACGGAGATAATTTATTCTAAAAATAATCATACTATCTACATTCATACATGGATCAAATCCAATTTCTCATGTTCAGTTGAGTAGCAACGGGAGATAGATGTGAGAAGCATGGATTATATACAGGGCTTTACATGAATCTATAGATAAAGGAAGACATAAGTAGCAATTGCATTAGATACAGAGCTTTTAAAACTAGTTATAATTAACATCTATGACCCTATAACATCGTGTACCCAAGTCTATGTTAAAATACAATTTTCTCACAGCTTTATATGACAAGCAAGGTACCATATATCGAGCTTGCTGAATGTTTTGTTTACCATAATATGCACAATTTACACCAAAACTTCTTGAACAACTTGAGCAACATTACGTTTCCTTAGTAGGTGAAGATAGTTCAAAATAAGTTGGTCTTGGGGTGGAGGGGCAACCAATAGATTGAATCAATTCTTCCACACCCAACACTTTAAACCGAGGAGAAGAATTCAGAGCAATGTTGTCAACCCGGTGCTCAAAAATCTTGCCTTGTTTGTCAAGTTTATACTCAGAGGTTCCATCAAACCTACTTCGACTTTCCCATAGAATTCGTGGGATCCCATGAACAGTCCAACGAACCATGATGATGTTCTCAACAGGCTGCCATACACTGCTCAAGTCCCCCCACAAAGCTTTGAAGAACATCCTGCCATGAAATCGTAGTGCCCAGAAGATAGATTTGTAATTATCAATGCCAATGAACGTGTTCATAGGATCCTTGAACACAATATCATCCCTGAAAAAATGAGGTGTTATAGTCAACAAATTTAGCATATCTTAGCAAAGAATACACTCATGGGAAAAAGACCATGCAAGTGTGCAAAAAGAATAAATAGATAAACACAAAAGATATGCATTCAGCTAAATTCTATTGATGGATAGTATGAAGTTGCCAAAACTTGCGGAAAATATAAATTTGAGGGTAAAAAAGGTTCACAACAGTAGTTATCTCTATTTTATTAATTCAAGTAAAAGATTAACAGTGTCTCTTATTGTTTTGACTAGTCTAATCAATAATATTCTTGATTCCATTTATGCAATGCTAAGGATTCAAGTCGAGAGTTGCTTAAACAAGTGCAACTACCCTTGGCATAAAATAAAGTGATATAAGTCATGATGTAATATTAACCAATTACAACACCAACATACTCAACCAGAAACCAAGATAAAGGTAGGCAAAATACAACACTTTAGCACCTTCCATTTTGATAATCAAGAAAGGAAAGTAAAGCTATAAGTAAAGGGCATGTATCATTAAACTTTCAATTGCTATAAAACTTGTAATTGCCAAAACTTCAAAACTACCAATAACAGAAAATTGACCGTTAAAGTAATCTGTCCCGCAAGCCTCGGTGATAGTAAAACATTATGTGGAAAAGAAACTTATCTAAAATATACTAAAAATGATTTTTAATAAATAATAATAATTTCTTACTAAGCACTTATTTGCATTTTCCTGATAATAATAATAATAATAATAATAATAAAAATAATAATAATAATAATAATATATTAGGATAGAAAAGTGAAAGGGCATATGAAGGGAGAACCTGTAGATATCAAAGCTAAGTTCCCTGTAGAAGAGATTAGGGAATTCCTCCCTCAAAGCTCTGATGGCATATCCCACATTCACATAGTAATTTTGCTTTTCTTCCTTCTCCTCTTCGCTCTGCCTCAACCCTTGCTTCACCGGAACCGAAAATTGACCGTACGACTTCACGTTCTGCTCCAAACCCAAATCCAAAACCGCAATATCTTTCACTTTGCAAGAAATTTTCACCCCACGCTTTGACCCTACACAGTAGGGTTTGAAGCTGTGGAGTTTGCTCAGCTTAGGGTTAGGGTTATAAGCAATCTGTGGGGCAACGGACATTTCAGGGGAGTGGACTAGAAGGGCCATGAAAAGTTTGGATTTTTTTTGTCCCACGAAAAGTTATGAATTCAGAAGAAAAAATCTAACGAGAAAATGTCAAACTATTGGAGTGGAGAGGAGACTAATAATATATTGACTGTTGGAATTATTGAGTTATTAAGAGGAAAATTATGCGATTGGTTCGATTTTCTTTATGATTTTGGGGTCTTGGTTTTCTTCATCGTAAAACAAAAAAGTACAAAACTTTTGGAGTGGGAAGTAGAGAAATTGGATAAAGATGAGATGTGGAGAAAAAGAAAGGGCAGGGATGATAATGAAATGACACAATAATTAGTGAGAAAATTTTGAGACCATTAGTGGGGGCGTGGGCATATATTATATTATTATTATTACTAAGTGAAACAAATTATATAAAGCGAAAATATAAGATTTATTTGTTATTAATTTTAAGTTAGATATATTTATAAAAAAATAGTTAATTCTGTTAAAGAACTTCGATTTAAATTAAAAGAAAAGCAAAACAAAGTCTTACGTACAAAAAATCACAGTTTAGTCTCATCTCTTTTCTTCCGAAAGAGATAAATGTAAGTTTTTTCTTTATAAGTACTGACAAATTTTTACAACTTTTTCTTTATTAAAATGAGGCATCATTTTTTTTGTCCCAAAAAGTTTGAAAAATAAGTCGCTCAATGAAGTTCTTTTTTTTTCATGCTTCTTAATTAATTTAGCGAAAGAAATAATTTGTAAATTTGTTTAATTATTATTATTATTATGATAAGGCAAATTCAAAAGTGTTTTCAGTATCTGATAGTATTGATGTGTTTATTAGTTTTATCAATTAAACTTCAGCATGTGTTTAACGTATAATACATGTTATTTTTAACTAATTATAGTATGCATACTGCGTATGAGGTATTTTAAAAAATATATTATATAAATTTTTTAAAACATTAAAATTATAAAATAGTATTGCAATTAAAAATTACAATGTTAGAAAAATATAAAAAGTTTAACTTAATGAGTGTTCTTTTTAATACTCATAAGTTTTTTTTTTCTGATTTTTAATATTAGATTTCTGTTAAAATAAATTAATTTTGTTAGATTTAACTTTGCATATAAAAAAATTAATCAATGTGCTGACTGATTTACAAAATTTTGAGCTGAGTGTTGTGGCCCTTATATTTGGATAGATCACCCCTTTCCTCTTTATTATTTTTTCTGTCTGGATGTTTAGAGTATTAGATTTTAGTTGTTTGGTTGGGCTTTCAAGCCCTCTTTTTTAAGTAAAGAAAAATATAACATGTTAATATTATAAAAATATAATAATAATATATTAATAATTTAAGGTATTGCAACAACTGTGTGATGAGGATGAGTTAGGTACCAACATGACCATACCGGCTCTGAGAAAAAGAAAGACAACCTAAATCTAGATCCAGACCTTGCCAATTGGTGGGTAACAAATCTCTGTCTTTACACTTCTACCTTTTATCTTGAGAAGAAAATAATTTAGGGACTCTGTTTTGTTTCACTTTTATATTTTTATTTATTTTAAAAATGTACAGAAAGATATTACATTTGTTTAGTGAATTTCAAATAATAATTTGTATGTTATGAATGAGATAGATATAAAACTCATGGTAAATATTGAAGATTTTTTTATCAAACAAATTTTTCCTTTGAATAATGTTGTTTAAGCTTTAATTATATATAGCATTACAATATTTAATATTAACTATATTTTTTTTACTCGTGACCAAAATAGAGTTTAGTCTTTTGAGATATGAGTACCATTATTTTTTATTGGTCATTCAAATGAAGAGAGAAAAGATAAAGAAAAATATTTTAATGAAAGAAAAAACATTTTATTTGTTTTATGTAAAGAAAGAAAGAGAAAATAAATAAACGCATTATTATTATATACTTAAAATATTATACATATATATAAATAATTTAATTAGTTTAAAAGTTGTTCTCTCCTCTAAATCTTTCTATTTCAAAGTCGAGTGAAAGATGACTTTGGCCACCCTTTTTCTCCTTTCTTTTACAATATGGAATCAGATATAAAAAAAATAAAAAATATCCTCTTCATTCGATTGTTATTTTTAAAATTAATGACAACTGATATATCAATAAGCTTTTTAGTTAAAAATAAAAGAGGATCAAGTGTAAAAAAATGGAACGTTTATAATAAAACTTCACAGAAAACTATAGTAGACAAATTTTATTCCTAAAATAGATTTAACTGCTATAATAACAAGTTATGATAAATATAATATAAACATTATTTATTTAAAAAAATATGAATAGTATTTTTTTATTAATAATAACAAGTTATTACAAAATTAAATGTAATGATAACATAAATATTTTGTTTAGAAGTTTAAAGGGAAAAAATGAAGAATATGAAAGAAAAAATGTTAATAAAAAATATTTCAAATCAAAACAACTTAAAAATAAAAGAGTAAAAGTAATTTTAATTATTTATAATTTGTTTATATAAAAATTCCAAACAAGTATTATCATTAATTAAGTTTTTTTTAATTTTTTTATTTTAAAAAATTAAGTCCCAAGCAAAATTTAAAAGTTAGATTTTTTAATAAACTTATACTATTTTTAAAGTTTTTAAAATTATACGTGAATACACACAAAAATATTATAAAAGTAAAAAATACAATAATTCGAGCACGATTTACAATATTAATAACAATAATGATTTGTTTATGATGTAAAAATGGATTATTACAATTACTGAAAAAAAAATATTAATTATTGAACAAAATATAGTTAGGTATATTAGGTGGCGAACGCGAGGTGTAACAATTATGTAGGCAGTACGCAAGGACAGTAGAGATAATCTACCATCTGTCATAATTAATAGATAATTACAGAGTCAAGTATTCCCAAATCGGAAGACCAACCAATGTGGGGCTATGAGGTCAACTCACGATGCGAGGGTAGTCATGTCTTTTCATCGATGAATGGAGTGAAGTGGAAGTTGGCGTCAACTAACAACCCCGCCACGTGGCATTGAATTAAATATTCCCTTCCACTTAACTCCAAAAAGCTCCCACTCTCTCACTTCTCTCTCTCCTCTCTCTCTCTCTCTCTATCTTCGAGTTCTCCTTTCTCTCTCTTCGTTCCCATTTCCCATTCATGATGCTCTCATTATAACAGCATCAATGGCGGTTCCGCTCCATCTATAACCTTTTTTTCTGTAATTCCATTTGTTGAGGTTTTTTCTTGCGTTTGTTACGTTCCGTTATTCTAGCCATGGAGTTTGAGCACCCTACCGCAACGCCTCTCAACTCCGCCATGACATTCGATGAAGTCTCCATGGAGCGCAGCAAGAGCTTCGTCAATGCCTTGCAGGTCCTCTCTCTCTCCCCGAATTCTAGCTAGTTTTTTGTTTGCTGGAGTTTTTTTTTGGTTCAGATCTGCATTTGTTTAGACTTGTTTGGTGGACTTTGTTTTGGAATCTTACTGCGTTCCTATTAGGTTTGTGGTTGTGGTTGTGGTTTAGCTAATGCAGGAAAAATTGGTCACCGTGGTGTAGAAACTAATTTGCGCCGCGCGTGTGGATTACTTAATTGTCGATACTTAATTAACACGTTTCGAGTCGGTGATGCTTTAGAGTTATATGAGGATGTAGTTGTGTTCAAACTAGGGGATGGAATGGAACAATTGAAAAATTTTAGATGCTATTCCCGAGAAGCAATTGTGTTGGCTTGAAATTTGGGTTAGCTTTTTAGGGAAAGGTAAAGGTGGGTGGGTGGGTTTTTTCTTTTTTCTTTTTTTTGGGGGGGGGGGGGTGGTCATGACTCAGTTATACCAGTTATGGGATAAGCTATGATATCTCTTGCGTGTTTAACTTAAAATTTCGAATGAATAAGATGGCTGGAACTGAACTCAACGGGGTCAAGTCTAGAGGTGGCTCGTTGTAGATCAAATGATGCTGCTAATTTGTGCTATTGAATAGGGTCTAGATAATATTTATCACCTTTTGAGAGGCTAAGTTTCTGTGAACTTTCTCATGCTAATATTTGATTATTTTTTCTTAATTGTCGTAGCTATGTTTTTAAACGAGCATTGGCAGTAATTTAGTCCCCATTTTATGATCATTTCAGGAACTTAAGAACCTGAGGCCTCAACTTTATTCTGCTGCAGAATACTGTGAAAAATCTTATCTCCATAGTGAACAGAAACAAATGTAAGGATTCTTTTTGTTAATGCGTTTTTTTCTTTTATTTTTAAGCATGTTCTTGAAGGCATTCTTAACCCCTTCTTTTTATTTGCTTTGCTGTGTATATGGCCGAAGCTCCCAAACAGGGCAAACAATTAGTTAAGTTGTCTTCTAGAGTTCTAGTTGATTCTTACCAGAGATGTAAATGTTATGACTTAACATTTCTCTTACATTCTGCTTAGGCATTTTAATAAATGCTATTTGTGTTATAGCACATATGTGATACAATTACCATCGTATATTACATGTATCTTGCTATATCTGAATATAATAAAATAAAACTTGGATAAAAAGAATGAGTAGAGTGGGCTGTATTTTTTTTTCAATATGATGATTTGTTGGCATGGAAAGTGGAAACATAAAGAACATTGACTATTTTTTTTTTTTTTTGTAACATTTTTTTGGGTACTAAATCATCATTTTAACAATATCGTCATTATGTGTGTGTGTGCGCACGTGTGGTGGGAGAAGCAATCTTCATATTAATTCTTTGAACGAATGTTCTTGTTTAAATAAATAACAGTCATGCCAAATCTTTTGCCTGATATAAATTTGTGTCACTGTCAGCAACATTTTCTATGCACGTATTCTTTGTGTTTGAACTGCATGAAAATTTATTTTTGTTATTTATGCATTAGGGTTCTTGACAACCTGAAAGATTATGCTGTAAGAGCCCTTGTGAACGCTGTTGATCATCTAGGAACTGTCGCATACAAGTTAACTGACCTTCTTGAGCAGCAAACATTGGATGTCTCAACTATGGATTTGAAGATCTCTACCCTAAATCAGGTAGTTACAAACTTTTTTGAGATATTGTGTTTTAAGGAAATGTTAACGAGTGCCCTTGTAACACTAGTTAAGAGATAAAAAAAATATAAAGTATTTAATGAGAACGAAGATATTATGTTTCAATGAAAACACAAAAATTATGTGATACTTCCTTTTTTAAGTAATTGGAAGCATTTAAAAGATTGTATTATGCAAGACCTTGTGTTTATCTTTTAATAGAAAAATCACTTGGAGTTGAAGTAACATATTTGTTTACTAGCAGAAACTTCTTACATGTCAAGTTTACACTGATAAAGAAGGTCTACGGCAGCAGCAATTGTTGGCTTTCATTCCCAGACATCACAAGCACTACATTTTGCCAAGTAGGCCTCCAGGATTTTATGTTCATCTGGTAGTAATTCTTGGCACTAAAGATCTATAGTTGTAGTTTTTACTAATGGTTCTGTGTTTGTCTAACCATGCAAACCAGATTCTGTCAATAAAAAGGTACATTTCAGTCCACACATACAGGTTGATGCAAGACAGAATCCATTTCAGACCAGAACCCGTTTTCAATCTTCAGGTGAGTTGAGAAAATTTTGTCCCATCTAGAATTTTGCCATTATTTTTTCTTTATTTTTGGAAGTGAATATTATATTATTAATCCACGCATACACATATATATACAGAGAGAGAGAAAGGTTTGTCCAATATCTATTACTGTTTACTGTTCAGAATAAAGCTATGTTTGAACTAGATTTTATTGTTTTTGATGGGTTTGGTGTGGCCTGTAATTCTTTGGGGTACTGTTGTGGATGCATGGTACCTTTGGTTTTTCATAATTTTCATAGAACTTGCCTATGTCTGTTTGAGTACTACTTGTACTCTTTTTAATAAATTATTTTGGCATATAAAAAAAATCTATATCTAGGTACCCCTGCAGCAAAAACTCTTTCATGGCATTTAGCATCAGAGACTAAGTCTACCTTAAAAGGGTCTTCACATGCTTCACCAAAGTAAGTTTAATAATTCAATAATATGAGGCTGTACTAGACAACTTCTGTTTGTGTTTTCACCCTCGGTGTAGATGGCATTATCACATCATACCTACTTTTGCAGCATTGAGAATCCAAAGTTTTCTACCAAGGCCTCTGGAGTTTTCCATCTTTTAGGTTTGTGATATATTGTATCCCTTCTATTATATAATGATTCAGTTCAAGTGGCCAAACTTAATTATTTCTTGATGTACAAGTCATAGCTCCTTATAATCCATGGTTATGTGCCTATAGATAATGAAGAGAGCACCTGGATGAAATCATCACCAGCACAAATTCACTTACAAAATGGAGTTCCTACTTCTAGTATACCCATGCATACTTTGGGCGGCACACGCAAGGTAGTGTCATATTCATCAAAACTGCAAATGCCTGATGGTGTCATACTTAATTATCAAATTATATTATTTACTTATTCTTTGCCAAATGTTTGCGAGTGTTCTAAAACCTGTTTGTTAACCTTTAGGTGAAGTTAGTAAAAAGGAAAAAAAATGTTAAATTGTTATTAATGTTATTAGGGGAAGGATATTCTTACATTAGTATAAGTCTAAAATCTTTTACATTCGATCTGAACTTTTTATTTAACTTACATCTAACGGGTTATAATTTATTACTTCACTTGCTATTAAATATAAGTTAAATAAAAGACTTAAATTTAGTGTAAAAGTTTTTAGATTTGCACAAGTATAAGAAGATCCTTCTCTATATTATTATTGTCAAATAATATCTTGTGTGAAATGTTTCCATAACCATGACTTGTGCTACTGCTCGTGTTGGTAGTTAGCACTGCATTTTAGTAGTTAGCTTAGGTATAGCTGTATGGAGTGTATGGACATGAACATGGGTGCAGAGAGAAGTTTAGTTTTCTGGGATAGGACAAAGAATTATTGCTCAATTTCTATGACTTCTTGGGGAGTGTTTGACTGCTTCAATTGATAATTATAACAAATTGCTTTAGAATTAGTTGCACTATGGGAATTAACGAGATAGAAGATGCAATTAAGGTGTCTTTTACATGAAAATAAAACAATGCTGTGGATGCTTTTTGAATACAAAACAATTCTTATTAAAAACATGCATACATACATATACTTACACACACAAGTCAAACACACACAAATTAAGAGATAGAAGTAACTTTTTTCTTTCTCATAAGCTTTGGAGGGTTGTTTCAAAACTTGTACTTTTTTTATTTGACTTGTATGATCCAATCAGAAGAAATGTTAACAATATCTATCAAATGGTGTCCGACCAAATGTTTGAAACTGTGAAAGTGTGAAACAACATTTTCCAGCTAGCCATTGTGCTCGAACTCGAGTTTCAGAGTTGAGAGTTGTATTTACCTGTGCTATCACACTGGTCACTTGCTAATTTCCTATATAAAAGAAAAAGTTACCGATGAGTCTCTCTATCTGCAGGATGCATTGGAGGGTTCCAAACCATTGACTGCATTCAGGTCATTTGACAACCCAAATCGGCGTGAGACTGTCCATGTCCCCACTCGAAGCAAAAGCGTGCTATCAGCTTTCTTTGTCAAGCAGAGAACACCAAAGTTGAAGGCCGGTTCTTTTTCATGAATACCTTCCAAGGCAACCCCCACCCCGTCCCTTCCTTAATTAGTTTTTGATTCAAGCCTTTGAATAATGATCCTGTAAGTACTCGGTTCCCCAGCAATGATAATGGTAGGGATCTTGGTCTTCTACTCGCTAGCTATTTGTTACTCTTGTGATCTATAGTGTTCAGGCACCTGTAAAATGTATATTTGTCGTATGCTATGCATAAAAGGTTTAATTATTTTTATTGTCCTAGGAGTTTCGATGTATCATCAAAATTTCCAAGAAGGCTCTCGTTCTAATGTCTAACTTTTTTAGAAACAAGCTAGCACTGAATTCGGAGGACAGAAAGTTCTTATCTCATTTTAGGGATGGAAAATTGGAAATTGGGAATGGCAAAATACGTCAATTTACCATCGTTATGTGTGTTTAAAAAAGAAGGGAAAGAAGTCAATTTCATTGATCTCAATTTTTTTAAATCACAACTACTTCATTTTTATCCGAGTACGTAAAAAGTATAACTTTTAAGATCCTATATGTTAATATGCTTCCACTTACTGTCTTGCAGAAGAGACTTTTGAGGTAAGAAAATTGTTTAAATGTGATCCTGCAATTATTTACTTTAAATATGACATTTGAAAAGAGAGAAAAAAAAGTGTTATAAAGTATAAAAATATGATATAGGCATTTAAAAAAAAAATAATTAGAGTGCATTTTTAGTGTAAATCTTTTTATATTCTCATTTAATTAGGAATTATTATATTAATAATATATTTTAATTGACTAATAATATAAAATTATTCTTTTAAATTGTTCAAATAACATAATTTTTAGGTAATATTAACAAATTATAAAAGGCATTATGAATTACTGCACGTCATTGTAAGCATTTTTATTTTCAGCCAATCAGGATCAACTGACATAGAGCAAGCATTGGTGATTTGTGGTCTCAATCTGTAAGCGTCTATTAGCTTATTTTTTTACGGCTTCAATAGTTGGTGCTCCAAAACTTTGGCGTGTACTACTGTATTTGTGGGTCTCCCCGTAAGCGAGACATTTGAATATAGTGTCGGTGGGAATAGCCACACGCGATCACAGTTGGTGGATTGGGAATTCAGTGATTATATTTTCACCGCTCACTGTAACAATAAAATAAACAACTGCCAACAAAAGAGAAATAAATTTAGTTGTGATATTATAAGTAATTTTGTTACTATTTTTTAATTTAAATTTAAATTTTATTTTATAAATTTAATAAGAATATTAAATAAATTTTTTATTAAAATAAAATTTTAATTTTAATTGATAAACAAGAAAAAAACATAGTTTTTTTCATAAATTAATTTTTCACCATTCAATTTCAATTATTTTTTAATAGTGAAGCTCTGAATTATATTATTATATTTCATAGAAAAAAAAATAAGTGCTAATTCCTTGGGATTCTACTACATTTCATATGCAGTATTATATTATATTTCATAGACAAAAATGAAAGGAAGTTCCTCAAGTGATAAAATAATAAGATGCGTTTGCCGGGAGTCGAACCCGGGTCTATTGCTTGGAAGGCAATTATCCTAACCGTTGGACTACAAACGCTGTTGATGAGACATTAAATTAAATATATAATAAAATCCCTTCTCTTGAAATACATTATAAAATATTTGTATAAAATAAATTTTTAATGTTATTCAGTAATTAAATCTTCTTGAATCCTTTTTTAATTTTTTTTCTAATTCCAGTTTCAGAAATTAATATCTAAAAATACAAAATTAGATAATATTTTTATAAATAAAAAATAAATAAACAGATAGTGAGATAATTGAACGTCACAGTTAACTATTGACAATTTTATTTGTAAATTTGGTCGAAATTTCATCTGCGTATTTGATTTTATTAAGTTTAATTCCGATTTGTATATTTGAATTTATTTTTTTTTGAGTTTTATTGTTATTTTAATATTTTTTAGCTGCCTGTTAAATTTAGTTCTTATAATTGAATTTAAGCATGCAAAGGTAATGCAATTTTATTAAATATCATGATACATGCTGATAATTTAATGGAAGAGACCAACCCCACGTGACATGCAATTTTAGATGCTGTAGGACCTGCGAATAACACACTGTTATCGCGGTGGCTTATTCATGACAAGCAAATGAATATAGGGACATAGCATCCACAAATACTTAAAGTGGCCAATTTTCAAGAGAACTGCTATCAATATATTTTTAAAATTTGTCAGTTTTTTAAAAATTAAATAATTTATAAAGCAAGTGTTTTTATATTTTTAAAAGCTAATTAATAAAATTTTTTTTAAAAGAATGTGTTTTAAGCATTTGGTATTGGGTGAATCCAGCAGACATAGACAAGAGCAACGATGTGCCTGTAATAAAAGGAGAGATTTGCATGGCAAAATATATGGTTTATGATTATTCATATTGCTCCATGCACTGTGGTAATAAAGGAATTGACAGAAGCATATATTAACATGTATTGTTTCACGATTAATGTTAAAGTAGTCAAAACAATAATAAAAGTATTATTATTATTATTTAATAAAATACTTATTCAGTAAAAACAAAATATTTTTAAATGTTTAAAATAGATCTTAAGATTAATATTTATAATTTTCTATAAATAATCTTGAGAGAAATATGGACCAAGATTGACCATGGCATGCATGCCTTTTTCAAATAGCTCTGCAGCCAGCAAACCAAAGTAAAAGTATTAAAAGCAGAGCGAGTTTACTTCTGCCTATAGTTAATTAAGAAAAAAAAATTAATGATCCCATTTCAAGGGCAAATGAAAGAGTAACTGTATGATGAGTTTGAACTTAGTTTATTGAATGTTTGGTCACTATTTTATATTTTTTAGATTTATTAATTTTCTACCTGTGTTTAAAGATGCATATTTAAAAGTATAAAAAATATATAAATTATTAAAATTTGTAGTATGTAATGTTAGTAATATATTAAAATTTATAATATCTTGTTATTTTTAACATATAGTTTATTATATACCTTGAATACATTAAAAAAAAGTGTCTATTTATTTGTAAAAGAAGATAAATGGTTATGAACTCAATTTACTATCTTTTATGAAACAGTAATAATTAAGTAAGTCACGTTATACTACTTCTCAATTAAATTTAACAAGGAATGTAAAACCCAAATAGACCTCAATCAACACATCTTTTGTCAATTTAATTCTTAAAAAGAAATTATTATTAATTTGATCATTTAATTTAAACTGTTTTTAACCCCCCACCTCCACCCATTTATATGTAATAATATAGCTTATATATTTTTATTATAATACTAAGAAATTAACTAGATCAATATGTTTAAGTACAGTTTAAATTAATTTATACACTTTTTTTTATTATATGATGTAATTTAAAATTAATTTTATCCCAGTTTAAACACAAGCATACACAGTTTGATAAGATAGATATTATATAATTTATATATAATATTAGATCTAAACTTAAAATTAATAAACGTTGAGTAGAAACAGATGAAGAAATGAAAAATAAGAATTATAGATTTAAGGATTAAAATCATTTTTTAAGATTTAAAATAATTAAAAGCTAATTCAGGATTTTATTTTTGAAATAATAGTAACACAACATCCTTTATGAATGTCATAGCATAATTATATGCCTAAGAAAATCAAAATACAATTATTAAGTTGACTCAATTAGAAATTTTATCAAGTCTTAAGTGCAAATTTAGTTTCTCCTAATGCTGCCACTGATACGTTCCATTTACTAATTTGGTGTCAATTTAAGTACATTTTGTGGCTTTGACAAAAAAAGATGTTACTTTTTGTGGCGTTATTGCCCTTCGTTTGGTTTATCAATATGACAATATCTGTACACGACTCTCCCAATATTGGGCAAAAAGGGAAACAAAAAACAATGAGTTATAATAATCATATCACATTTCCATTTTTTTTGCTCCTAAACTTTTATTCTGCACGCGTGACCCTACGCATCTCACTTAATGCGCGTGACAGATATTAATATTACCAATTTAGCAAGAAAATTTTGGTTGAAATTTATTTACCAACTACAAAAATAGCACACACACACTTTTCATTTTACCAAAATAAAAAATAAAAAAATACAAAAAGCACACTTACCATTTCAGACAGCACGAAACTTGGGCCATTTAACATTTTTATTTTTCTTTTAAGGATTAGATTCGTTTTGTTTCCGAGTCTTCAGCTCATAAGCCATTGTCTCCATAGCGTGTGCATCTATCTCCCTTTCCATTTGTTCAACGCCAAATCTTCTTCTCTCTTTCACTAAAAACACTGAACAGTGAACAGTTTCTCGAAATCAAATCACCCAAATCCACATCAAAATCCCATTTTTTCACAAGTCAATCCACCTTCACTGCCCAGAATATTTCTTTGCCTTTTTCTTGAATTCTAACACTAAAGTTTCAGTCTTTGTCAACTTCCTCCACTCTCAGAAGCTCTATGCTGGAACCCCATTGAAGGGGTCACATCTTGCATGTGTGTTTTGGTCAAAGTTTAAAGCTTTTCCCTCTTCTGGTGTGCCCCAATTGATGGGACTCTAAATGGGTTCGTTGGAATCGGGGATCCCATTGAAAAAAGGGAGCCTGTTTGGTCCTCAGTGTAGCAGAAAGGAAAGGAATCCTTTTTCCCACAGGTTCAGATCGAGCTTCTCGCGTTTGCTATTCAAGAAGCTCGATTATGTGCAATGGATTTGCACTGTGGTTGTGTTTCTGTGCTTGGTTGTTGTGTTTCAAATGTTCCTGCCAGGCTCTGTTGTGGAAAACTCCGAGAGAGCTGTGAAGATGCGGTTTGGGAACTTGTCCTATTATGGAGAAAACATAGAAAAGTTTGTGTTAGACATTGGGGAGGATGCTGTTTTTTTGCCTAAGATTTCGGAGAAATTCAGGAGAAGTGATGGTAGGGACATGAATCTGTTTAATCACACGGTGAAACACTTCGGGTACAGAAAGCCTCAGTTGGCACTGGTTAGTTCACCTATCTTTTTTTTTTTTGGGTGAAACATAATGCATGTTTTTGTGTTTGTTTAGAAAGTCTCTTATTTATCCATTGGCTGGTAGAATTGAACTAGGAGCAATATTTTTAGGTTATGCATGTGGTTGAGCATTATTTTTATTTTTTAACATGATAGAATGGGTCAGGTTTTGCATGAATATAGAACTGTTTAAATTGAAGTCAAATTTGTTATTAACTAATTTAGAACTGTTTAGGACTATGAGTTTTTCCCTTTTATTGATCCATGCAATTTTAATTTTTTTATTGCTTGACATTTTACAGTTATATGATTTTGATTTCTTTTGAAGGTATTTGGAGAACTGTTAGTGGATTCACAACAATTGCTGATGGTAACAATTGCAGCTGCTTTGCTAGAGATGGGCTATGATATTCAGGTACTCCATTCACTGTTTGCTCTCAAAATTTATGCTGGAAAAACACTTCCGAATTCAGGCAAAAGAAAATGAATAGGGAATCAGATAAATGAGCAATGTCTCTCTATGATGTGTACTATTGTGGGATTGAATGTTGATTGATGTACTTTATTTCTTGAGGAAATGGAAAGCACAAAAAAAGAGAGATGTTGAATTTTAAGTCAAATTTTCCTCTCTTGTACGTTGCTTCCTTTACTATTGGCTTCAACTTTCAAATACCTCAATAGATTAGTGAAGATACTTTTACCAGATATTCTTTCACCTCCCACATGGAACCTTGCTAGACAAGTGTTTTAAAATTGAAGTAGGCTTATGTATTTTAAAATGTAGATTGATGTACTTAACAATGCGGTGACTTGTCAAAGTGAGGCCAAAAAATCGTTAGGTAGAAGTTCACCACCCTAATATTTACAATATTAAATTTATTTTTTTTGTTGCTATGTTTTGCAGGTCTTTTCACTTGAAGATGGACCAGGGCATAATGTGTGGAAAAAATTAAGAGTTCCCATCACTTTCATTCAAACTTGTAATAAGCCAGACAACACTGTAGACTGGCTAAAGTATGATTGTTATTTTATTTTCACTTCTGAACTGCACATTTTTGCATAGTTATAATAATTGAAATGTCTAGAAATCTAAACCAAGTAGAAAATTCAGTTGATAAAATGACTGTCTGTTTAAGTTCTTCAACGTTTGTACATCTTCTCTATGTTGTGGTTGGTGCCCCTTTATCTGTTCTGGTTTGAGGATATGCTGAAGTCAACACATTGGAAAATTACAGTCAAATATATATATTGTTTTTAAATGGCCAGATTACAATATTGATTTCTTGATTAATTCTCCTTACTCAGTTATATCTGTTTTTAGTTTGTTAAAAGAGTGTTACTCAATTCTCTTAATCACCACTTTCAATATTTTTTGTCCTTTTAATGATTTGTATTAACCCCTTTAGTTTTTGGTCATTAAAAATAGTATTGTGTAGTTGTGATTGCCTTAACAAATTTTGACTGCAACTGATAAGAATGTTTGTATTTTGGGCAGCTATGATGGTATAGTTGTGAGCTCTCTGGAAGCCAAGGGTGCCTTTTCTTGGTACGATACTTATTTGTTGTTAGCTGAATTCTTTACTGACTTTGCACCCAAGATTTGTGTTGATTTTTTTATGGCATGAATGTCATTATTCAAGTAACACGAATGATTTTAGTTGTTACAGTTTTTTGCAGGAACCTTTCAAGCCTATTCCTCTTGTATGGGTCATTCATGAAAATGCTCTTGCTTATCGATCAAGACATTATACTACTAATGGGCAGATTGAACTTCTGAATGATTGGAGAAGAGTTTTCAATCGTTCAACAGTTGTTGTCTTTCCAAACTATGCCTTGCCGGTAATATGTATGGGACAACTTATATATTTAATATTTGATACATGCAAATCATACCTAGTGCATGTGCTTAAATCTCGCTAGCTGAACCACCTGACATACTAAATTGATTTATAATCTAATTTGTTGACATTGAAACAGTTATCTCATTGTTAGTTGCTTCTTCATCATTTAAGGAAAAATCTAATTTAGAAGATGTAAATAAGTTTCATATTGGATAGTGGATACTAATATTCTCTTATCATTTGAATTTTAGTTTTATGGTATATAAATAAACATTATGGAGTTTTAATTATTAACTAGCATTTGATAACTTGTTTGCTGTAGCTTAAAAATTAAGTCACGCTATGTTCAGATGTAATTAGGTATGGCACTTAATGTTCCTCTGTAATTCCACAGATGCTTTACTCCACATTTGATGCTGGGAATTTTTATGTCATTCCTGGTTCCCCTGCTGAAGCACTAGATGCAGATGCATTTATGGCTTTACAGAAAGATAATTTGCGTGTCAATATGGGCTATGGTCCAGAAGATGTGATTATCGCAATTGTGGGCAGTCAATTTTTGTACAAGGGCATGTGGCTGGGACATGCCATTGTTTTAAGAGCTATATCACCACTTCTGGTGGACTTCCCACTAGATAAAGATAATTCTAGTGCACAATTACGTATCATCGTTCATAGTGGGGAATTAACAAATAACTACAGTGTGGCTCTTGAGGTATATATCCTTTTTTTTTTCTTTCGTTTATGGCTAAATAATTTGAAGTTTCTTATCTTGTATTCTGTTTCATTAGACCATGGCACGTAGCTTGAAATATCCAAGAGGTATTATAGAGCATATAGCTGGAGATTTGAACGCAGATTCTGTTCTTGGAACAGCAGATGTTGTGATCTATGGATCCTTTCTTGAAGAACAGACTTTTCCAGAGATTTTGACAAAAGCTATGTCTTTTGAGAAACCAATTATTGCACCTGATGTTCCCATGATCAGAAAATATGTATGTTTGTGCTCGAATTTTTCACTCTAGCAATGAGTCTATTTTTCTTGTTACTTTTATCAATCTTAAATTTGAAGTCTCCTGGAACAATCCAGAGTTTGTCTTTTATGGCATCTATAACAACTTTTCAACATCTAAAGGTTAACAATTATTATTTTTTAATTTACAAAAATAAGAGTTAAAGTTAAACTTTCTCATATCATGTAAGTCCAAGGAACCACTAACAGTTTTGTTTACATTAACTAGGTTGACGACAGGGTGAATGGATATCTCTTTCCAAAGGATAATGTTAAAGTTCTGAGGCAAATTTTATTAGAAGTGATCTCAAAAGGGAAAATATCACCCTTGGCCCATAATATTGCCTCAATAGGGAGAAGCACTGCAAAGAACCTTATGGTTTCAGAAGCAATTGATGGATATGCATCTTTACTTCCGAATATTCTCAAGCTTCCATCAGAGGTTGCTCCACCTAAGGCTGTTTCAGAAATACCCCTCAATGTTAAAGAACAGTGGCAGTGGCATTTCTTTGAAGCAGTTCCAAATTTTACATATCAAAATAGGGCATTAAGAAGTAACACTTTTTTAGATAAATATGAGGACCAGTGGAATCATTCTCAAAAAAATAAATCCACTACCACAGTTGCAGCTAATGATATATTTGTATATAGCATATGGGAAGAAGAAAGATATATTCAGATGGCTGTTACCAAAAAGAGGAGAGAGGATGAAGAGGTATGATCAAGGAATGTTCTAATTTTAGAAGAGTGGTGCTGCATCTCCCTTAGACATTCTCCGAATGAATCTCCTAATGCTTTATGAAGTAGTAAATAAAAAATAAATGCATTTGATGACTTGGTAACATAAAAAAGTTAAATACTTCCTTCATTTAGTAAATTAGGAAGCCTATTTGGAAGAATGGTTAGGATGATTTAGGATTATTCCTTATAAAATTAGGGTATTGGATCTTTCATGACTTTCATTAGTAAGACTGGCAAGTAAAGCTTAACTCGTATTATTTTTTAATGCAGTTGAAGGATAGAACAGAGCAGACACGTGGAACATGGGAGGATGTATATAAAAGTGCTAAGAAGGCTGATAGGTTAAAGAATGATTTACACGAAAGAGATGATGGAGAGCTGGAGCGAACTGGACAACCACTATGCATTTATGAACCTTACTTTGGGGAAGGATCCTGGCCTTTTCTACATCAAGGTTCTCTTTATCGTGGAGTGGGCCTGGTAAGTTGTGCATTTGTATTTGTTGCAGTTTCATATTAATCTTTGTTTATCAGTGCAAATAATAATAAGATTCCTACTATATTAATATTTGTTGCAACTTGCAAATTGTTAGTAACTTGTTGAAAGATGATTTTATTTTAACCCCAAATGATTCATTGTTCATATGTTGGCATCTCCTTTTTATAATTAGGTGATTTTGTTCCTTCTTTTTTGGTTCCTTGTTATACTTCTCATCCTCCTCCTCTTCTTCTCTCATTCTCTCTTGTTTGGTATGGTACAATCGTAATGCCTCAAATCTCCTGTAATAGTTGCCATTTCTGTTCAGAACATATGAGTGGCTTTTGAATTCAATCTGACATAAAGAACATACTGAACCTTTGCAGTCCAGTAAAGGTCGAAGACCAGGGAGAGATGATGTGGATGCACCTTCTCGTCTTTCACTACTTAATAATGGTTACTATCGAGATTTACTTGGTGAATACGGGGCCTTCTTTGCAATTGCAAACAGGATTGACCGTTTACACAAAAATGCTTGGATTGGATTTCAGTCTTGGAGAGCAACAGCAAGGAAGGTATATGACTGTTTTTCATATTTAAATTCTTTAACAATCTGCCCCGTGATATTCTTTTTCATGTCTGAGTATATTGGTTTTAATAGATGTTAATTTTATCCTTATCAATCACCTTAGCTTAGAAGGTTGCAAATTGTGATGCTAAGTTTATATTGCCTTCCTCCCTGTAACCTATTTATATAGAGGTATTAACTGTGGCTATGATAAGTTATTTAAAGATTGAGATTCTGTCTAATTAGAGGATTTTTAATTTTGGATATAAAGGAGAAAGGAAAACGATCTTGTGTGTACTGAACTGAACCTTCCCCAGTTTCTATTCTCTCTTTGTTTTATTTGTGGTGTTGTTTGTGTAAAAGGTTGAAATGTAGGAAGATAGCTCAAATGGAAACAATAAATTGCCTTCTAGACTTCTAGTCTGTATCTTGTTCTGGGCTTTTTGACATCTAGTGTGGTGTTTTAACAGGCATCTTTGTCCAGAACTGCTGAAAATGCATTACTAGATGCTATCCAATCCAAAAGGTACGGGGATGCACTATATTTTTGGGTGCGCTTGGATATGGATCTACGAAATCCTTTGCAGAAGGACTTTTGGTCATTTTGCGATGCCATTAATGCAGGAAATTGCAAGTATGATCTATTAAAGCCAGTTTTTTTTCTTGAGTATATGAAAGTTTGAGTGCTCACCTTATTTTTCATCATCTTTTAAAGACATTGCTTGATTTTCTCTATATTTGTGTTTGAGTGAAGGTTTGCTTTCTCCGAAACTATAAGGAGAATGTATGGATTAAAAGATGATATGGATTCTTTGCCACCCATGCCTGTAGATGGTGATACATGGTCTGTTATGCAGAGTTGGGCTCTACCCACAAGATCCTTTTTAGAGTATGTAATGTTTTCCAGGTATGCTTGGTTTCTCTAATAGTTGTTTCTTGTAAATAAGCTCGTTTTATCATCTAATAAAAATGTTCTATAATATCTGATATCAACTACAATTTCTGCAGAATGTTTGTTGATGCATTGGATGCACAGATGTATGATGAACACCATTCAACTGGACACTGTTCTTTGAGTTTGTCAAAGGTTACTTCCTAAGGATTAGTTTTACTTTGATGGTTTGGTTTTAGCCATTTCTTCTCATGATTTAATTTCATTCAGATAAAAGTTTTTTTCCCCCTGAAAACACTAACATACACGATATTGACAGTTCTTTTGAGGAATCTACTTTAAATATTCTTGGCTGATGAATTATAAATTCAACAATCTACAGCTTGAAATATGTTGTTGAAAGAATTGATTTTTCAGAAATTATGCTAATTGGCATTTCAATGAAGCATCGAGTTTAGTCATGAGTGAAATGCTATTGAATTTGCTTTCAAGTACATTGTATCCTTGCTGCTTATTTCTGCACTGTCTCAATACATGAATGAACATGCAAACTTCAGGATAAGCATTGCTATTCACGGGTTCTCGAACTTCTTGTGAATGTGTGGGCATACCATAGTGCAAGGAGGATGGTGTTTGTGGACCCTGAGAGTGGTCTAATGCAGGAACAACACAAGTTCAAGAGCCGTAGAGGTCAAATGTGGATCAAATGGTTCTCATACAGCACACTTAAGAGCATGGATGAGGACTTAGCAGAATTATCAGATTCTGATGATCCTGGCCGGCGTTGGTTGTGGCCATCAACAGGTGAAGTATTCTGGCAAGGTGTATATGAGAGAGAGAGAAGTTTAAGGCACAAGGAGAAGGAAAAGAGGAAGCAAAAGAGTATAGAAAAACAAAATAGAATGAGGAAGCGGCATCGCCAACAAGTGATAGGGAAATACATTAAGCCCCCACCAGATGAGGAGGAAAGCTTTAATTCAACTATGCTTGAAGTAAGAGCATCATAATGAATTCAAACCATCATTATGAGTAGATCCTGGTATAAAATTCTTTTCTTCTTTTGTAATTTTCATTTCATTTCACTTAACATAATTGTGATTTTCATTCAGAAAAAAAGGTTGCACATTTCTGTTCAGGGTCATGTATGTAGAATTTGCATCTTTCTAGTCATTGATGCTGATAAATAGCTGATGTGTAAAGTATCCTTTTTTCACTTGTTCTGTAATTCTATTCTTTCAGGATAATATATTCTTTTAGAGGTGTGGAAAGTTGTAATCTCGGTAGCATGTTGTCAATCTAAATGAAATTAACTATAATTTCAATGCTTTCTCTATGCTTCATGCATCATGAAAAGAGCATCTGCTTCTATACATGTTACAGTTATAAACCGTTCGTTGTCCTTTTTCTCCCTCTCTCTCATTTTTCTTTGCCTCTGATCCATCAGCAAGACAGTAACAATCATCACACCCAATTTAAATTAACAAAATGCCCAATATGGTATTCGGATATGATGGTCAGAGAAAAATGAAATAAATACAAAGGGAAAATTGATGATGCACGCAAGCCGTTTGATGAAATGGGGGAAAAAAGGGCAATCCTGGTGGGATGATCAAGGAAGATGTTTGATAGAATGGATGCCAAGAAAAATGGGGTTGTATGGACACGTTACATCTCAAGATCAGTCAAATTGGGAAATCATTCATTGTGAAAGGCGGAATTTTGTCTTGGAGCATAATGATTGAGGGTTTTCTATGGGGATGCTCTCATTATTTTTTTTTTCAGGGGATTGTAGCAAGGACATGGATGGATGTTGCTGTAGTTAATAGTCAGTCCATTGGTTAAGCCATGATTAATGCGTAGCTTATAAGAATGAGGCTTGTAAATTTGGGAAAAGAGAAGATCCATCTTGATTGGAGTTTATGATCCACTCCACTTTCAATTCATCCCTATATTGTTAATCTGATATTCATTTTTGAACAGGTGTTATTAAGAGCTATTCAGATTCTCATTAAGTCGTGACTTTTTTCCCATTGAGTATTTAATTTTATTTTTTAAAATACCATGTTTTTAATTTAATTTAAAATTTAAATGTTGATACACTATTAAATTAAATGTCCTTATTTTAACTAGTTAATGATCCACAAAGTAACAACTTTATTTCTAAGGTCTAATTAAACAGAAAAAAATAAAGAAACTCAGGATAATTATTTGAGTTTATTACTTATAAATAGATTACACATGGTAAACACTTATATTTTTATTTTTTTTTGTCAAACACTTGAATGCATGCTTTATTGCCTTAGCCCTTGAACTCATCAGAGCCTATATTTATTTACTATTTAAGGCTTAATCTTTTAGGGCAAGCTTCAAACATTGCCCTTAATTTTGCCACTATATCCAGTTAACTTGTCATAATACCTGTCCCAGAGCATAACACCTCCATATTTGGGTGATTTATTGACAAAAGGCAACACTTGACTTATAACTGTTTCTGGTGGCACATAACCAGCACCAGCTGCTCCTTTGTCTGGAGAAGCTGGAAGTCCAACATAGAACTTGCCTCCCCTTATAGATGAAGTCCATTGGTTCCATGAGTTCTTAAACCCATTGCCTGAGTCAACTTGGCATTGTGCTTGTGCGTTATTGTAAAATTGAATCCAAACGTAGTCAAAAAGCCCTGTAGATAATGCTCTACTAATATATTGTTGATTTTGTAATTCAGGGAATGGACACTGAGGTGCAGCAGAAAGGAACACTTTCTTGCCTCCTTGACTACCGCGCTCAGAGAGTCTCCTAGCAAGCTCAGCATAGTTTGCTGGATCACCACGACCTTCGCTTTCAATGTCAAAATCCACCCCATCTAACACAGCATCACCTAATGTAAAAATAAAAATAAAAATAAAAATCCAGTATTCATATGATTCCATTAAAATCATGACATGTGAAATATATAACTTTTCCCCTTATTATAAATAATTTTTTAGATTAAAATACGAGAAAACTTGTCGAACTAAGAAAATCTTTAATGCCAATTGCTTTAAAATGAATAGCTGTTCTATACTGTGTGTTAGAGCCTATTTGTGTAATACTTCAAAAGGAGTCACTATATCCACTTCTTGTCTAGATAAATGTGTAAATAGACAAACATGCTCTTGGTCTCATAAAAAATAAAATAAGATTAACACATGTATTTAAATTTGAAGTGAGAAAAAATTATGCAACTTTTCTTTAGTTAAAACCACAAAAAAGAAATATTAATGTCAAAATAATAAAGAAAATGTTAATCAGTTCCTTTTGGTTAAAGAATTAAAACTAGAAATATTTTGTTAAAATATGAAAAATCCACTCATTTATATGTTTTTTTCATTTCATTTTAACACGGTTTCTAATAAAATTTGGACACAGCTTAGGTACAGTTGCTTATATGCTGTCGGTGTTGTTTACCAATAAAAATTATAGTTTTATCTCAACAATTTGCAATAAAATTAATATAAATATTTTATTAAAATAAAACTTAAATTTTAATTAATAAACAATCTTGAAAACACCAAGAAAATATCACCTAAAATTTTTTCATAATTTTTTTTTATTCATAAATGACAGTGATAGTAAGCAAGTCTGAAACAATAAATACTAGAAGTATAGAGATTTTGGTCCACCTAATGGCCTTGAATTCGATTGTCCTCCCAAGAAGGTGTCCCATATGGTATCTGCCACTTGCCTTGCATCTTGTGCAGATGACAACACATAGTTCCCCTTAAAACCTCCAATTGAAAGCATGACTTTGATGTTCTTGGCGTGGCAAGTTCTGATGCCATCACTCACCCTTTGGCAATTGGGATACACACAGTGACCTGCTAGATCCATTTCTATTCTTTGGCCGTTTCCAAATTTATTAAGAAACGCTATGTTGATGATTTCATATAATCCAGAGTTGCATGCTTCAGTCAACGTACCTTCACCTGAGTTTTGACCCCAGTAAGTCACAATTCCGGATTCAGCACTAGAAACCAACACAATCCAAATAAAGAGGAAAAGGGTTGAAAGGGAAGAAGGTTTCTTCCACATATTGTTAGTGTTTGGCTCTAATTCAACAAAGGAAAGTTGAACTGAAGTAGAAGAAAGGGTTGAAGAAACTAATAGTAAGCTTTGTTGAACTTGGGAGTAAGAATATGGAAACAAAATAATGCAATGGAAACAAAAGAAGACTCAAGTCACGCGTCAAGCTGGTTGTTTGGATCTTTTCGAAAAAATTACATTCAAACATTTAACTGTTATCACCTCATGTCACGTGGACTTCATCTTTTTATTAAATAAATAAATAAAATTATTACAATCTTGGCTTAATTAAATAATTATTTTCTAAAAATATCGTTTCAGCTTTTATAAAATCACGTAAAATTGATATGCTTAGGGACTAATAATTTAATAAGGTCTTAACATTTAATATGAATTTTGTAGGGAAATAATTTTTTATTTTAATAATGAGGAAATATTTTTGTTATACTCTTTTTTTCTTAAAATAAATGTAATTTTGTCTGTTTTATAACTTTGGTATTTTTTTAAAATTATTCTATAAATTTATGTTGATAAATTTTACCTAAATTTCAAATAGCAGTGTAATACAGGATAAACTTATTCGTAGGCTGATTTTTTAATATAATTTTTTTTCTTGTATGATATATATGTTTCTTTTTTATTTAATGCTTCTTATATTAACATGGAATTTTTATTTATATTTGAAGTAAAAAGTATTATAATTTAAATATTAAGATATTACATCCTCGTATTATGTATATATTATTTGTCTTTATGCTAACGTATACGTACTTTTATTAAATTAAAGGTATCTTGATTTTAATTGTAACAACTTGTTTTGTAAAGTCTAATTTAAAAAAATCAAGATATTTACTTAATTTTTATTACTTATACATAAGTAACACATAATAAACATTTTTGTTATTTTTCTTGCACAATACTTAAAATCACATTTTAACTTGAAATTTATAATTTATGATGGTCAAATGTATATTTAATTAGATAAAGAAAGTTAGGTACACACTCTTTAATATGAACTTAAATTTATTAAAAATTTAAAAAATATATAAGAGAAAAAACATTAATTTAGAAGTGAGAAAAAGTGAAACTCACATCATTTTTATAATTTTTAATAAATTAAAGTTAAATATAAGAGTGTTTTAAATAATATATTACTAACATTATTTGTTATTAGATTTGATGTAGAACTAAACATGTTTGATGCATGACCAAATATGCTAGAATAAGTCTAAGTTTAAATTTATTTATTAGTAAAAATTTAAGCTTATGTGGTAGTCTTCAAATGTTATCATTGATTTGATATTGTATTTAGTTAATTTTTTATATTACCTATTCCAATGATTCAGATTCTCTCTCGTTGTGACAGAAATTAAACGTTTAGTTTTATTTTCACTCAAATAAAAATAACAAAAAAAATTTAATACAAAATTTGTTTAAACAAAATTTTTTATACTTAAATAAATTTTGCAAGCTTATCATGAGAGGAAGAAGAGGATAGCTGAATGTGAGAGGAAGAAGGGACCGAAGATGGAGAGAGTAGATGGTGTAAGAGTAGAGATGAATATGTAAATTGAAAAAAAGTGTTAAACATGAAAAAGTAAAAAGTTATAGAAAATTATGTAAAATTCGTTTAAACTAAAAAATACTACGCACTCGATTAATTTTCTAGAATTAAAATTTATTATTTAATTGGTAATTACATAGTTTGTTATTTAAATTAATTTAATTTTTCATTTATTTCATATTACCTTAATTTCCAGTTTAATGGAAGGTCTGCATAATCAAAATATCTAAAAGTTTAATATTAAACATGATGTTGATGGAGGCATACTTGGCTCAATGGTTGTGATGACTGTGTGCTGTTAGAGAATTTAATGCACTAACTAGCCGCTGTATAACTTACAAGTACATATTCATAACATATTATTATTTTGTAATCGTGTCCAGAAAACATCACCAATGAAAACACTTTATCCCTCACACATTGGTCTTAATAGCTGCACTATACCCTTTATCATAAAACGTAGACCAAAGCATAACACCCCCATACTTAGGAGAACCATTCTTAATGAATGGTAGCACTTGAGAAATAAGCACATCAGGTGGAATATACCCACTTCCAGCAGCCTCTGGTGCAGCTGGCAAACCCAAGAAAACTTGACCAGCTTTAGTTCCTATCCACTTATTCCAATAGCTTTTGAGATTATCTACATTTCCATTATTATATTGGCATGGAGGGTTGTTATAGAATTGGACCCAAATGTAGTCAAATAGACCAGTTTCTATAGCACTACCTAGCCATTTGTCTGGGATGGGACACTGTGGAGCTGCACTTAGATATATCTTCTTTTGTTTGCTATACTCTGATATTGCCTTAACAAGCTCATCCCAGTGCTGAGTTGAGCCTGACACTATAGCAAAGTCAATCCCATCCAAAATTGCATCGCCTAAGGGGCGCGTGTTTGATTGGCCCCCAAGAAAGTTGTTCCATAAGTACTCTGCTAATTTCCTGCAATTTATCAAGCAATATAATTATTTTTCTCACCAAAAACTTGTGAAACTGATACATTGGCACATCATTCACTACACAACCCCAACAAAACCAAAAGTTATTTTCATATTTAGACACCGATTTAAAAGTACATAAACTATAATCAAATAATAATTTATTCATAAACTTAATTGTAAAGTTTATTGAAAAAAGTTAAGTAAGCTAAATAGAGTTTATAATAGGATTATAAACAACTTTCATAGGCTCAAATAATTTTTTGCAAATGCCCTTTTTATGTTATTAGCAATGTAAATAATTTGAACAAGCTAAATGATTGGAAAATAAAGTTAAAATGTTAAATATGGGTGATGTAATTGAGGTAGAAAATATTTGCCTGGCTTCATCAGCTGAAGAAAGATCATGGTTCCCTTCATTTCCTCCGAGGGAAAGCATCACTTTGACACCTCGATTCTGACATGTTTTGATCTGATTGCTAAGGAAACTGCACCCATTATTGGATGCATCACAATGGCCAGCAAGATTGAGCTTTGGTGTGTTTCCATTGCCAAATGTGGATAGGAAAGCTATGTTCACAATGGCATAATTGCCACTATTACATGTATCACCCAAACTACCCTCTGCTCCATTCTGTCCCCAGTAAATAGATATGACACCCCCAATAGAAACATCAAACAAGGCTATGAATAGAAAGAAGACAAGGGCTAATGGGGTTAGTACTTGAGAAGCCATATTTGCTTGCCTTAAATCTAACATGAGTTCATCTATTTATATTAGTGCATGGGGGAAAATTTTACTAGTCTTGACGTCTTGTGGAAGAAATTTATGATTTTTTAATATTATTTTTCAATTAAAATTTTATTTAAAACAAAGTAAATACTAAAAATACTTTTAAAAAAAAATTTGCACGTATAGTTAGTAATTGATTTGAACCTTTTTACTTTGTGGGAATGCATTGACCGTGTAAACGATGCTAATATTGTTTCTGAAGAATGTTGTGTTAGGTTTGGTAGAATTGTGAATGAGGATTGATATTTGATAGTCTTCCTCTCATGCTTCAAAGTTCTTGCCCATCTAAGAAGTTAATAGACAAAGACTTTTGTAGAAGGATAGGTTAATTTTCCTTGACTTCACCTGGGAAAATGGAAAGAAAATCTTTAAATTTACTTTTTAAAGCTTTAACTTGATACAGCTTAAAATTAAATTTTAATGTTCTAAAATTTTGATTTGATTCAGTAGCTTCTTCATAAATTATTTTTAATTGAGTTTTTTATTTAATATAATTTCTATTATTTTAGTATTCAACAAATACATTCATGTTAAAAAATAAAGTAAAATTTTAATAAAATAATTTTATATTTACAAAGATAATTTAAGACTGAAATGAAATATTTGATAATAAAAATAGTAAATCTGTTAAAAATATTTATTTATTTAAAATAAAACTCATAAAAAATTAAAATTAAGTAAATATTATACAAATAAAATTACAAAAGTAAATATTATACAAATAAATTGTTAGATTTCATTTGAACGGAAAATTACAAAAGAAAATAACATAATTTTTTAAAGTAGTGATGTGATTATAGTTAACTTTTAATTTTAACCATCTATCTGTAGTTTTGTATGATTTATATTCATACAACAAGAGTTGTTTTTGCTACATATATTCTTTGCACACAACTAAATGAATTATTTGTGAGTTATTATTGTTAAATTACAAAATTTAGGTTTGATTTACTAAAGAAAAATTAAACTTAACTTTATACTTAATCTTATTTGTTTAATTAACCAAACATTTAATAAATGAAATTAGAATAATTTGAAAAAAATATATAACGCATTTACACTTATAATGGGAAATGGGATTGCTTGGTGAAGAAGCATTCTTGAAGAAAAGTTGACGGAGGAAACCACACGGAAGGAGATTTTGCTGATACTTCAGTAAGATAAAAAAAAATAAAAAATGGTACGAAATTGAGGAAAATTGAGAAAAAAAAATTGTAAGCAAATTTGAAAAATATTAGAACGCCGATAAATATAATATATCGATATAAATTTGATTAAAACAATAATGGTAAATAATTATAGTATTGAAATAGAGAGTCTCGTGTTAATTTTAAAACTAAAAGAAAATTGGGAGTTTCGTTGAAAATTGAAAGATATTCTTTGTACTTACAAGGAAAGTGAGAATGTAGTTATTAATTATTTTTAATATATTTTTATAAAATTAATTATATTTATAGTCTTATTAGTTTAGTTTAATTTATATGTAATTTTTATTTTTATTTTTAGTTTTACAATTTTTTAATTTTTTAAATTAAATTTCTCATCTCAATATTTTATTTAATAGTTAAAAAAATGTAATATATCATTTATTTATAGAAAATTTTAAAATATATATAAAAACTAAATTAAATGAAAAATTATTATAATTATAAATGTTATTTATTATTTTTACTGTATATATTTTTTTTTATTGTTAGATAAAATTTTAAAGCAATTTGAACAATTAAAAAATTAAATATGAGAAATTAAAATTAAAAAATTATAATTGTACGTCAATTAAAACATTAAATAAAAATACAATTAATTTTACTTTTAAAGAGTTTGTTCCACCATTTCTTTTTCAATATTTTTTTTTCACATTGAAATTTGGTCTTTTGTTTTAGATCATATATTCATAAGTGGACAAACACTTGGAATTCTGAAATTTTAAAAGGCCAAAAATTAAAAGCTTAATTATGTTTTAGCAAATAACATCATATCAATAATTTTTTATGAATTAAAATATTAATTTATGATTTTGTTTATATCTTCTCGCGCGGTTATCATCTAAAATTGTGATTTATTAAAAAAAATCATTTACTTTTTAACATGACAAATTTCATACATTTAGATATATTTTTTATTATTGATTAAAATTTATTTAAAATTATAAAAATTATGTGAATTTTATTTTTAAATTAATATTTTTTACTAATAAATTTTAAGCAAGTGTGTTGTTAGTGTTGATGTGAATTTCATGACCTAACTTGGAGGCAGTTTTGTTTTGGATATTTGCTGAATTGACTAAGGTTGGCCCAACAATGTAGAAGAGTTTAGCTGAAGCATTTATTTCATATTTCGGTCAAAAACAGTTATCTTCAATTTTTAACACGAAACTTTTCTCCACCTACAAGACACTGTGGCAGGTAAAAATCATCCACATCTTAGGATTTGGATCATTTTCTATTTTCGAATATCAAATATAAAAGTTTTGGATTTGGTCAATTAATATATATAATTCATTGATTATTACGAGTGAACGCTGTACACATAAGAGAAAATTATTTAATATAGAAAGAAGTATTATAATTTGTACAAATTCCATTTTGGACCAATAGCAATCACCAATATCAAATAAAAATTAATCTTGAATATTTCAAACTTTGTAACTATGCAATTATACAAACAAAATGTTCATTATTATTATACGATTCAAATTCAACATTTTATACTGTCATAGTAACATCATCACCTCAATGTTTGATTATACATATTCTATATTTCAGAGAAAGGTTTTATTGTATCATAGATTCTTATCTAAGCTCACAAGACTTAATAGGAATTACTAGCTGAATAATTCAGACACTGGGCTTAATAGCTGAGCTATAACTTTGATCATAGAACCTTGACCAAAGCATAACACCCCCATATTTTGGGGAGCCCTTAATGGCTGGTAGCACATCAGAAACAAGAACTTCTGGTGGAATATAGCCACTACCAGCTGCATCCTGAGATGCTGGAACTCCCAAGAAAATTTGACCAGCCTGAATTGATGTCCATTGTGTCCAATAATTTTTAAGGTTGTCAGCATTACCAGAGTATTCACATGGAGAATTGTTGTAGAATTGTACCCAAATGAAATCAAATAGACCAGTGTCTATAGCTGATTTTAGCCACTGGTCTGGGAAGGGACATTGTGGAGCTGCACTTAAGTACACTTTCCTTTGTTGACTAAAGCCTGATAGTGCTTTCACCAATTCATCCCAATATTGGGTTGTGCCTCCCTCAATATCAAAATCTATGCCATCCAAAACAGCATCACCTAATGGACGAGTACTTGATTGACCCCCAAGAAAGTTGTCCCATAAATATTGTGCTACATTCCTGCATCACATTTAACATAAACTCAATCTTTCTACCCAAAAGAAAAATATTTAAACAAAGATTTTAATTAAACATTATCCTAGAAATGATAGGAATATATTTTTTTAATATGCCCTTTTAACACATTTTATGTGATTTGTTAAAAAAGTCAAAGTAATTTTTAAAAAAAGCAACTTATTAAGTAAATACATAATCTTTTGAAAAAAACCCATCACTTATAAATAATGCAAAGAAGAATGTATTTAAAAGAGTGTGCATAAATAAAATTGTATACTTACCTTGCATCATCAGCAGAGGAGAGGTCATAACTACCAGCTCCACCACCTAATGAGAGCATCACTTTAATTCCTTTATTTTTGCAATTATTAATGTCACTGCTCAAAGAAGCGCATCCATTGTTGTTTGGGTCACAATGGCCAGCTAAGTTTAAAAGTGGGGTTTGGTTGTTGCCAAATGTGGCAAGGAAACCTATAATAACATAGTTATAATTGCCTGAATTACAAGCATCAGCCAAACTACCCTCATCGTGTTTCTGACCCCAATAAACAGCAATATTACCTGCATATGAGGTGTGTAAGAGGACACTAAGTAGGAGGCTAAGTAGTGCCAATGGGGCTAGTGCTTTGTGTGCCATAATAATGTGTATAGAGACTTAGGCTTCTGATATTTGCTTGGTTTTTTAGTTGTGGAGACAAACCTATTTATAGCATTATTGGGAGGAGAAAAGTCTTGTAAACTTCCCACTCTTTACGTTTGGGGAATATTTGGAAAAAGGTTCCAGCTGTAATGTGAACAATTTTTTATATATTTGAAATGTTTTTTTTTTCTTCTTAATATTTATGTGGAGGATCTGATTCTCTCGGCATCTTTAATGGTGCCAAATTTCATGGAAACAACCATAATGCATTCACGGATTGACTTAAGTGGGAATAGCAAGACCTAAAGATTTTAAACTGGTATGATAAACTACTAAGAATTTATCAAAGAAAATGAAATGAAAAAATCAGGTTAAATAGATCAATTTTTTTATCATTTAAAATTATTTTATACCCTTCAAATTTTCTGAAATTTTCTCATCTAACTTTTGCGTAGATCAGGGTGTATAAAATAATTTAAATATTAAAAATTGATTTTTTTCCTAAGTTCATTTAGAGAAATTCATCTAAACTTTTGACGCCTGACAGAAAATTCTCAATAACTTATTGCTCGAAGGCCAAAATTCCTATCTTCCCATTCACTCCGAGTTAGCCAAGTTAGAAAAATCCATTTAAAAGCCAACACGTTAAACTTAGAAAATGGTAAACAGCAATTGATGATAATAATTCGTGAAAACAAAAGGTGAAAAATGATTAATCAAGTATCATACTATTATTTAATGCATTTAATCAAACCATTCTATAAATCACATACTAATCACTTTGTATCTAACACGTTATAAAAGACTTGAGTTTTAAAGAAGTTTGTTTAGGATAAAAGGTAAATAAGTTTCCTATTTTCTTAATTGAGTTTTTAAATTAAACAATGACATATAAATATTTAAGAAAAATTCAAAAGCATATATTTAATCAAGGATCAGGATATTTAATGTTTAAACAAAAAAAAATTATATAACCTTGTTTAATTTAAGAATATAATAACATATAATAAATCTTATGTTATCCATCAATAGAGAGAGAGAGAGAGAGAGAGAGAGGATTTAATGTGATTTTTCTTACAAATCACTGTAATATTATTCATTTGCAGTTTCCAGTGAGGTTAAAATTTGATTAATGCTTCCATCTACATAGGCACCTGTGGATTTTAAGAATATGACATAATATCTATCCTCTATGTAAAAGAAAAATAGTAGTACAACAATGCTAAGGATACTGATCTGAAATTCTAAATCAGCAATGTGTGTATTGTCTATATTTTTGTATACTCTAAACAAGGCATTCATGATATATACATAACAAATGTACTACTAGCAAAAGGAATATAATTTGATGCAATAGAATAGAGGTTTGGGCGTTCTAGATCAGAGCAAGCAAATTTACTTTACTATTTCAATTATAACATCCTTTGCTACTAAGAAAAAAAAAATTAAAATAACCAATTCTGCATTGTTGAGCATCTTATTTGAAATGCTTCTAAGTCATCTAATTAGAAGACTATAAGCTCGAATTTGTTTAGACTTTAGAGGAGATCAACAAATGAATCAGAGAAACAAAATCCTGCTAACATGCTAGATAAGTTCATTTTAGCAGAAAAGCAACTTAACTTCATATCTTCACATTCTCAAGCATGATTATAATATTATACATTATCAGAAAAACAGGACACATACCACACTTCACAACTACAACAAAAAGAGAAGGGAATAGATTACATTACAACAACAATGACTCTCATTAACATATTATTTGGAAGATTTCATGCAAGACATCTTTGAAGTTGCAGGTCTATATCGCTTTGTCTTTAATCGCTTACTCCTGCTCTTAGCTAATTTTTTCTCCAAGTCCTTCACTCTACCAGTCAAATCTGATATTACACTCAACTGTTCATTCCCAGTTTCCAGCAACTTCTTCGTCATCTCCCTTAACTTCTCATTCTCTTCCACTAATTTTGCATCACCATTTAACCCTCCATCACGTTGTGCAACCTTTTCTTCTTTTTCATCTTCTTTGTGCCAGTCATTGATAAGATTGCTTGCTTCCAAGCATGCATCTCCATTTCCTAGTTCATGATCATGAACTTGTGTTATCAAAGATGGAAACTTAGTATCAATTCCAACTTCCTCACATGTCTCACACTTAACCTCTATATCCACTGGTGAATGCTCTTTGAGTTCATCTTCTCTTTGAAATTCAATCTTTACCCAACCATCTGATTCCCCAGAAGATTGCACCTCTTCCTGCTCTTCTTCTTGTGGCTTTTCTGGTTTAGTTTCTTTTACTGTGGAAGAACTTGTTTTCTCATCTGCATTACTTACCCTTTCTTCAGCTGGTAGAACCTCTTCATAAGTTTGAGCTCCATCATAGCTCTCACCTTTAGATTTTTCCAAATCCTCATCAAGTCTCACTGACAACTCTTCAACCCATTCCTCAGTTTCTGCTTGTGCTTCCCCTCTAGAATTATTTGTTTCACCATCCTTTTCATCCTCATCAAGCAATCCTTTTGGTAACTGCATCATTGCATGGATCACCGAACCTAACCCATCATTTGCAGAATCCGTGGCTAGGAGACTTCCAGAACTAACATCATCATGTTCATCCTTTGCAATGCTAACATCATTGATATCTTCATCAATCACTCCCACCGGTAATTCTTCCCAAACAGTCATATCTAGCTTATCAGTCTCAATGGGAATGTTGTTCACCTCTGATTTAACTTCAGGTTCCACAAGCATTTTGTCAGTCTCAGATAGATCACTTGTAAAATTCAATGAATCATTAGCAATAACCACTTGTCTGTTAACTTCATTACCTAAGCCATTTAGTGGTGCAATAAGATTTGTTCCCTCATTTGATGCAACATGAATTGGTGACTGAGATTCACTTGCACCATCACTAGCACGAGGACTTTTGCTGCCATCCTTAATGCCTTCAAATGAATCTACTGGTATTGCAACCTTTTCTTTTTGTTGCTCCTGCACACATTCTTCTTTCTGCATATTCAGTGGTGTGACTTCAATGGGCTTCTCAGCAACGAAATCCTGCATCTGCTGCTGTGTTTTCTTGGCCATTACAGAATCAAGCCGTTCTTGCAAGGTTGTAAGCTCTTTTGCCAGGGATTTTCTGATCTCCCTGAAACTTGGATGCAAACCCTGATATATATGTTAAATGATATGTAAGCATGAAATTGAGCAAGTAAGCAGAACTGTATTGAACATCATAAATAAGATGAACAATAGCTAATAGCTCAGACAAACCACAACCAACAACTCGTATCTGTGCAGATCAAAATGTTTATCTTGGTTCAAGTACAGAACGTCAATGTGCTTCTAAACGGGAAATTAGGCTTGCTAAGTTCATTATCCATATCCATGAATGAACAAATAAAGCTATATTACTAATTTGAATGATATCTAAATTAACCAAGGTTAACTAATAAATACGAAGTGAGAAATTTCAAGTGCACAGTACAAAAGCAAAACAATTACATACTCCAAAGCAATGTCATTATTGACGAGTATAAAAAATGCATTACTAATTTCATCTTAAGTTAATGAAGTACCTGTATAGTATCCAGCTGCAACAGGAGTCTCATTATGGTCTCTCCAATTGCAATTTTTCGCTTCTCATCATTTTGAAGATCAGAAGAGCTCTGGAAAGCTTGAACACAGCCTTGAACATCAGTCACCTCCTTTCTGATTTCATCTATCTGCTTCAATTTCTTCAATGGTTCCCATTTTCTTACTTGATAACCGCGATATGTAGCTTGTATCAAAACAGCAGCATCTGCATCTGACAAAACCCTTCTCTCTTTTTGACCTTTATCAACCGGAATGCTTGTATCCTTCACTTCCCTGACTTCTTGAGTTTCTTCCATCTTATTTTCTTCCCCTTTCTCTACCTTTTTGTCTTCAGTCATATATGTGTCACCATTTGTACAAGTTTCCTTTGTCCCTGTTGGAACTTCACTGGGTATGTTTACATTTACGTGGGTTTGATATCCATCTTTATAATCAGCATCCTTGTTTTCACCTGTCTTATTTTCCATCACCTGAATGGTTTTTACCTTTGGTTCAACTTTCTCACTAGTGTTTGTAGTATTCTGAAGACTAGAATTTGACTGAGCCTTGTTGTCATTCATGTGACAAGAAGGAGTCTTGGATTTTTCACCAGCTGTGGCTTGGGAATGTTCTTCTGAGGAAGGTGGACTTGGGGACCTTGAACTCCCATTACCATTTTTCTTCCTTGGTAGTGGATCAATTCTCAGACAAACAGGAGGTAACTTGGATGCTTTTGATGGAGATGTAGATTGTCTCTTTTTGTCACCAGTGCAAGAGTCCTTCTTTGTAACATTTTCTTCCACTTGATTTGGAGAAACAATCATTTCTTTCTTGCCATTTCCCTGTGAGTCATTTTTTCCTCGATGCAATTCAAGCTGCTTCACAGGGATGCTTCTAGCATTATTCACTTTCTCAACAACATCAGAAGCACCTATATTAGTGGATTCAACATGATTTGATCTTCTTTCATTCATAACACCTTCATCATCATGAGACTTCACTGGAACAGATTTAGATGTATGAAGCACCTCCTCAATGATTTTCGACGATGAAGCGTTCTCATGGTTGCTAGTCTTTCCACTTTCCTCCTGTTTATTGTAGTAAGGCAACCAGAAGATAAATGGGAATTCCGATCTCTTGTGTTCACTTTGGTGCTTTTGATTCATTCTTCCATCTTCTGATTCCTTTCTATTATTGTCAGTTTCCTGGTTATGGTTTCTTGTTCCATATCCATCATGGAACATGCTTGGAGCACCCTTTATATCAAAGGGTAACCATCCATTCCAGACTCTAGGCTCTTGCACTGGCTTCACATTAGCACTAAAATTCTCAGGACTAGTAGGCGTCCTATCATGAGATATCTTGTTTTGCTCACCCCCCTCAGTTGTATTAGGATTTTTCAGCTGTCTATTACTTTTGTACTCTGGTGGAACCCAAACAAAGGGATATGGATAATTCCTGAACTGAATTGGGACCAAATCATCATTCACTTGCTTTCCACCATCAGGTTCATGCGCTTCAATCTTCACACTTTTACCTTCCTTTTGGTTGCATGGTAGATGAGGACACCAACAACAATGATGGTCACGTGGCATATATTTATCATATTCATATCTAGGCAGCTCCATAGTATAATGTGGTTGTGGAGAATAAGGAACATTAAATGGCTCACCATATGCAGGACAACCTCCAGAATAGTACATTGGTGTTGGAGCATGAGGATAAGAAGGCCTATAGCCATAAAAATTTGGGAAATAATTGTGGCCACAACAGAAATGGGGGTGCATAGGGTGCCCATAATTTCCACAGCAAGGCCAATGTTGATCATAAGAAAAGGGTGCTTTGGATGGATCCATATTTATTTGAGGAGGAATAGTCTCAATGCTAGGATGATAACAATGAGGGAAGGGTGTTGGGTTTCTTTGATATGGGTATGAGTCCATGCTTCTGTATGTAGGCATCATGTTTGGTAAGGTTACCAGGCAGAAGTTGGATTTTTATGGGATCAGTAGTTGACCTTGGTAACCTGGATAGTTACTATAATAGTGTGCGAACTCTGTATTTCACAAAAGGACCGTTAAAAAAAGGATTATTATCAAATTCAATACTAATATTAAAGGGAAAATTTATGAGAATGATTTTTAATAAAGGACCAAACACATCACATATGAATTACGTTCATCATAAAGATAAAAAGGAGCAAGAAGCACGAATGAAAGAACATCATTTTCTCACTTCCTTTCAAGCCAGCACAATAGAAAATAAAATCATACATCTAAACATGAAATAAAAGTAATTTCTTCTGAGCAGAAATTACATGTAAGAACTATTCATTTTCTGCGCAAAAAAATATGTTATAGCTTAGCGGTGATCATTTATATGGCACAATACCAAAAGCACAAATCTTTTCCACTGATCCAAACAATGCTAAGTAAAAGAATTTAAAGATCATGTTGAATGCACAAGCAAAACAGGGGAGCTCAATAGAGTTTCCAACCATAAATTAATACCAAAACTCAATTGCTTCACAATCACATCAAATTTCGTTCTCCCGTGAACAAAGGAAATTGATATATTTCTAAAATGTGATATCTATAATTCCGAATTATAATTGCAACGATTATAATAATTGTGCTATAATTGAAGCAATTGCCAAAACTCATTAATGTGTATCAATATCGGAACTAAATACAGTTGATATACCTTAGGTTCAAAATTATGCTTCTTAACCATAACTTAATGTACTCTTTCAAAATAGAAGTACAACACCAAACTGACTATATCCCAGGTAAACGTAAAGGTGATGAAGTCATAAAGAAAATGCATAGATCATGAAGATATGAATTTTTATGCACCATATCCATTAAATGACTTGCTCCCATATCATTCTATAATTCTAGTCTACAACGAACTAAAGTAAATCATTTTCATGCATCACCATGATGCAACTACGAGAAGGGCCTCCCTAGAAAAATGCCAATAACTCAAAACTATCAACAGAACTCCTACATCTTACCAAGAAAACAAAAAAGCTCATGCACTCACATGAAAATACATTATTAATCTCATGTAATGAGTCATTAAAACAATGAATCAAGAGGTACATAGTAGAGGAGAAGAATGACTTACTTTAGAAACAAAACAAGAAGAAAATTTCCAGCCAAACGGTTCCTCACGATCCAAGTGATAAAAGTTGACGGTACAAAATCTAGCCACCAACCCAGAAACTGATAATGATATTGGTTTTCTGTGCGTGTGTGTTGTAATAACAGGTGATCAAAACTCTTCTGAATTAATGAAAATGTCTCAGGGAACGTTACATTTTATATAGGTCAGTTATGCATGATAAAAGAAACAGTTAGACACAAAATCTTTGTCTTCCAGAGATTTCGCGCTTCATCCACCGCTGCATCCAATCTTCTCTAGATTTTCCGTAACGGGTATGGTATGGCCCACGTATTCTAGCCACGTGTCAAAACAATACTTATTTGTGACGCTTATATATATCAGAACCTTCGGGTACTTTTGCGTCAACCTTGTAATTTTCAAACGTAGTATTTTACAATTAAAAAATATTTTATTTATAATTTTTGAAATTTAAACAAGGATATAAAATGGAGAAGACAGTATAGTTTTTATCGATCATTTAAAACTTAAAAGATAAATATAAACGATGATTATAAATTCTTTTTATTTTGTAATTGTTAATTACACTTGTCATTTTTTTAGTTGTCCCATGATCCACACATCTTTGTTTCCTCTCCATATATAGTTATATAATTTCATTAAAAAATGTATTATTATTTTTATTTATTCTCATTTTCATATATTACATTTATATCGCGTCATTTACCAGTGTATTTTTCATGCTTTTGTTTAATAATGCATTACTAATTTACTGTATTGAGTTTGATAATGTTAAGATTCACAGTAGATACAATACATTCTCATTAATAAATAAATTCAATTTAAAGTAGTTAACTTTATCCAAAATATATATCAAAATTTATTTTATTTTATTGTTCTGAACGTCATTGTCTTGGGCCAAGTACGAAGCAAAATATGATGTGCTAATAATGGGCCATTGAATGATGAAATGGTCTTCATTTGGAGTTGATTTTGCAGTCAGTACTGTGAAGCAAGCTGTTCATTGCATTGATAGAAAAAATTGCAGATAGGCCGAAGGCCCACTGGAATCTTTCTTGTAGCCCACATCCATAACCTTAGACTAGGCTATTCGACGACTATTGCATGAAAAACTGATTTTGAATTTACCAAAATTGTGTTAAAATTGATAAACATTTAAAGAATATTGTAAAATGAGTAAAAAAAGTTCCAACTTGGAAGGAAATACAACAGGAATTTCCTTCGAGTTTCGTAACATGGGAAGTGGCAACAAGGGTGCTTTCAACACGACAAAATGCGGAGTTGATGGTCACATGACAGAAACAACTCCCATCTCTGGCTCGAATTCCACAGGGCATGCTCGCTCTGGTTCATGGAAAGCAAAACATACGCATTTGGGTCTGCAATGCAATCGCAAATTCCAAAACTTCACTTTTTCAGGGCACAAGGAATTACGCGCAGATTTATGAGGATCGGCATTTTCCTTTTCTTTTTCTTTCGTAATATTTGAAAATATTAATGTAAGAAATCCGTAAAAATGAAGGGTCAAAAAATGGTGAGGAGTTGCATGGATTGGTTGAAGTGATGGATGTGATTGATTGATTGAAAAGAAAAAGAAGGGTTAGATCGAATAGGGTTACGTAGGGGTGTGTTGATCATTGATGGAGCAATGCAAAGTGATTTCATATCTGACGCATCGGCGCGGGGACTCTCAACTCTGCCTGTCACCCTGCAAACAACCCCTTCCGCTTACGTTAACGCCTTCTACTTTCAAACTACTCACTTCAAATATATCCTTTTTTTATTTTTAAAATAAACATTTTAATATATTCATTATTTATTTTTAATTTTTAATACAAATTTATAATTTTTTATTATCACTGATAAATAAGTTTTTTTATTTTTATAAATATTTTAAATAAATATAAAAACTAACAATGTGTCTGCAACCAAGGGATCTGAACTTCCTACTATTAATCACTCTTATTGTCATAATTAATTTTTACGGCTCATTTCTTTTTTATATTTTATTAATTTTATTGGTTTTAGAAAAGAGAATAAAAGGCTCCTCCTTTTTGTCTTAGGCGAATGGTGATTTCCTTTAGGAGTGTGCATAGATTTGATTTCTCAAAAATTAATTTTAATTTATTTAAAATTTAATTATATGAATTAATATATTTTAATTTTTTTAAAAATTAATTTAAATTTAGTTTTAAAATTTAGATTTGGTTTAAAATTAATTTTAAATTAAGACTATAAATATTTTTTACATTATTATTAAATTATTAAATTTAAAAATATTTAAATTTTATAATAATATAATTTTTTATTTTCATATTAAATTAAATTAATATATATTTACATATATTTTACTTTTTATCATTGATTGTGCAAACTAATTATATAAATTATATTTTAAAATATTTTATTTTATTTTTGAAAATTAGTTTAAAAGTAGTTTTAAAATTTAAAATTAGTTTTAAATTTAATTTTTATTGAAACTAGTTTTAAATTTATTTTTACATTAAATTAATTTTAAATTCAGTTTTAAATTAAATTTTTAAGACAAAACTGATTTTTAATACATTTATGAAAATTTTTTTAAGATAAAACTAATTTATTTTACGCATTAAATTAAATTAGTGTATTTTAAAAAATATTTTAGTAATATTTATTAATTATATTATATTTTATTAAAGTTTATAAAATATTTATTATATTTTTAATTTATAATAAATTAAAATGTATATATATAATTTTATTTTGTATGTACTTTATAATATTTATATATCATTTATATGATATTATACATGTAATTATATTTTTATTAAAATATGCATTTTAATTTATTTAATTTTTATTGATATATTATATTTAATTAATTTTATGATGATATGACATAATAAGTCTCTGTATCTTTATTTTTTATAATATATTATAATATTTTAAATTTATAATTTTATTTAAAATACTTATTTTCTCATACGATGAATGTAATGTATGGTTAATATTTGAAAAAAAAAATTGAAAAAAAATTAAATTAAAATGGTCAACTCAAAATTAATATATGCGAATCTTCAATTATTCTCAACTAGTTATTGAATAAATGTTAAACAAAGATTATGTGGAAGGATGGACTAAAATTATTTTTAATAAAAGTAAATTCAGTTTTATAAAATAAAATTCAAATTATATTTAGACCAAAAATAGAATTGGTTAGATATTTTTCTTTTTTTTTAATTTAGTTTAACTTAAGTTATAAATTGGACTTCTGTATCTAGATTTTTTGTCCACTCCTAATTCACTTTGGTATCAAAAGAGGAATACAAAAATAAAGGAGGTCAGATATTTTAATAAATATTTGTAATTGGTTTATAAATTTAAATAAAAAAAGATTACTTTAATATATATAATTTGTTCGCCTTTAATCAATGTCTCTAAAATTATGTTGGAAATATTTTAAAATTGTTGAAAAGTTAAATTGAAGAGGGAGCCACATGTAAGAACATGTGGCTTGCATTTCAACATAAGAGGGAAGACTTTTTCTTCTCTCATACAATTGTCAACAGAGGCAAGTAATTTTTGGTGCATAGATGGAGGCTACAAACTAGCTATGGTGAAAATGAGTGGTAAGAACATGTGCATTGAGAGCATTGAGTTGCCTATAAATAGGCCTCATTACATTGGCTGAACACATAACAAGCATCCCAAGCAATCAACGAGATAGTAGTCAATAAGAAGCAGAAAAATAGAAATTAGTTTAGCTTCTTGGTGTATTTGGGTTGTGGGCTGTGAGTGAGTTTGAGAGTATTTTGTAAACACTAGTGTATTTCTTTTCTCCTAGTAAAATATCTGCAGTAATTCAGAGATGTAAGCATTATTGGCCGAACTCCGTTATCAATTTGATGTGTCCAATTATTCCGCTTTTATTTTACTTTCACAGATCCGACTTCATGAAAAATTCAGCGTATTTTTCTCAACAAAAATAACATAAAATCTTACATTGCCTGTAAACTTTGGTTTTCAGTGGTTGAAATCGGTGTATTTTTACTTATCGCCTTACATGCATGATTAAGGACTCTTCAGAGATTTTTCAACCTTTTTTCGATTTTAGATAGCGTCCAAACACATTCTATATCATCTCTCTTAACATTTTGTGGTCTCCAACAGTTTTTACTAATATTATCAAATGAAAGCAAATATTATAAATAATTTTTATAAAAATATTCCAATCCAAATGCACACTAATTTTGTGATGAATTTCATTGTTCTTTTGCAAAATCTTAGAAAAAGTTGATATAAAAATTGTGTTCACCCTATAGACCACTAAAAGCCTTCTCTCTGATTTTGTGGCTATGGCTCTGTTAATCTTAATATCCATTATAAAGACTTTAATTTGAAAACTTGCAATTGATCAACCTCTCACTTGAAGCATAAGAAAATTGCAACTCGGTGCACTGTATATTATTTTAGGAAAACACCAAATAATGCTACAACAATATTAGTTAAAGAATAAAAATAAAATATTTTATTAAGAATATAAAAATAGACTCACTCCCATATTTTAAGTATATTTTAATATAATTTATAATAAAAAATATTATTTATTAATTTTATTTTAAAGGTATTGGTTACCAACACCCATTCCTTTATTAATTTATACTTTTTATATCCTCCATTTTCATTTGTAATAGGTTAGTTCAAGCTTTTTTTTAGAGGGTATAATTTTTAAAAATTACTTTCTTAAAAATAATAAAAATTCAAAATAAAATATTAAAATGGATAATTACTTTTTACAATAAAAAATTATATAAATGTTAAAACAAAATAAGTCGCATAATTAGAGTGTGTCACTTCAGATGTTTCAAAAAGTGGAGTATAATTGTTTTAATTTTTTACTAAAAATATATATTTCTAAAAAATACAGATATGATTTTGATATATAATAATGAATAATATTATAAGTTAAGAATAAAACAATTTTTTATGTGAACATTATATGATTTTGATATATACTACCTATAGACTATGCTTACGTGTTATATATATATATATAACTCAATTCATTAATATAATGCGTCGCTTTCATGATACGTCGATCCAACCAAAACTGAATATTTGCTGATACGCTTGGATATGCAACTATATACTTTTTCTTTAGAATACAATTAATTTCCAATCACATGAATTGGAACTTCCACATATATTCTGTCCCAACAGATTAAAAATGCGTCCAAGAGCTTATAATTTACCCATTACATGTATGAATCA